TTTACTGGTCTAGACGCAACCATCACTTAATTTGCATTCATTGGCAATTTGCAATCGTTCCAGGGTCATGGCGTTTTCTCATCCATGCGTTGTAGTAGATGGCTTGATCAGGATATTCAAATCATAAAGACGCTGCTTTCGAAGCACTTTTTACTGTACTCAAGGAGATTTTTGAAGACATCCTGCTGCTGATGCCACTGTTTCTCATGCTGAGACCCTAAGGAGGAAGATAAGCGAAAACAATTAGGAGGGAAAGGGGGACTGCCAATTTAGTATCGAAGGGAGACTGATCATCCCTATAGTCCTGCAACCCTATCTAGATTCAAACGCCTAAAAGAGTAAACGGTTGAGAGAATAAAGTTGAGCATATTTGTCTGGGAAGACTGGGATAACAGAGCCTCAGAATCCTTCGGCAAGGTGTAGGTTCGTTGGGGAAAGATTGTTGGTCCCCTTTTAAATTACCTCATTCCTTCGCGAGTTCTCGAACGGCGCTGTACACCAGTAGCCATAGGGACTATCTATCAACCTGTCAAGCCATCATGCCAAAAACAAAAGCTAACCCATAGGAGGGGAACCTGGAATCCCTCCACGTCAGCCAATTATGGGTTTTGATTCCGCGTTTGGCCAAAGGAATCCGGCCGGAAGAATAAGGTTGTTTCACCGCAACATAATGGGAGGGAAGCAGTGTTCGTCCTGCCGGAATCAAGGAGCAACCATCGGTCAAGTTTCTAGCGAGAAGTTAGAAGTTCGAAGGAATTCCGTGACTCCGAAGCCAGAATGCCATGCAACATTGTGGATACTCCATGTCATCTATCTAGGGTACACCCGACGGTATCATCATCATGCATCGCATGTCGGAAACAGAAAAGGGAACAACTAAAACAACCTAAGTGCTAAGGTACCTTAACGTCCTGAAAGTCGGGTCGAGGAAATGGAAAAACAAGAGGCAGCGGTGTAAAAATAAGTTGCTGCGCCTCGATTCAGTCGCAGACCCATTAGCCGACATGGGATCTGCCAATGGTACGGCGAGTAGATCCATGCTCTGGATGATGATTGGTGTTCGCAACGTGGCTCACACCAGGGTGTGGCGCTAAGGCTTTTTAGGAGAACTTTTCTCACCGACCTTGGGCGTTCTGTCATCTCCTCCCGGAGAAGAGCGTCACAGTCGATACAGGTATTATTTGGCCTTTCTTCTTCATGTATTGACTCAAACCGAAAGGCTTCCCGTTTTTTTTTTTTTTTTTTTTCTTTTGCATCTCGTGGGGCGGATGCAGCAGAATTGGCAATTAGCTGCATCATCATGACTGAACTTTTTTTATCGACGATATCGTCAGAGTCAGACCGTACTCTGTAGAATATCTTGTATCTTACGTAGCGCTGGCATTCAAGAAGTCTGCCAGTATATTGTGCCATTAACAACCACTTACACCTACTCTACCAAAGGTACCTACCTGCCATATAACATCGTACCATACACTTGTAATATATGCACAGTCCTATTGGGATCCCAGAGTTTACCATAAATGATAGTATTCAGCCTTGTAGCTACTCAAGGTCGATCTATCATCCACTCTATGTTTTCCCCTTTGGGCAAGTAGAACGTCTGGTGGAGTGGTGGCTGCGTCACCACTCACCAGAAATTGGAGCAGGCCCAAAAAGAGGTAGATCGTTTGATAATTGATGTACGTACCAGGGGTACTCTGTGCCTAATAATGTACAAATTACCTGCAGTGTACTGTATTTCCCACGAGACTGTGGTCAAGTATCTACACCTACCAGCGATACAAATCAACGAGGTTTGATATTTCTAGTTTTTAATTTTTTTTTTTAATTTTTGTTTTTTTGTTTTACGCTCTGTTTCCGAACCCAAGGAACAATGGATGCTATCTACCAGTCCTGTCAACGTTAATCACATTGTTGAGCAGAAAGGATTTGTTCCCTCGGGACCGTTTCTACAAAGTATTCTGTAAATGAAGCGATCTTCCTTCCGTCTGGTCGCACTTACAAGTTACAACATTTGATTGGGTCAGGATTCTCATGCTTCCTTAAGCCCGCCAAAAATTACAGCCAATCATTCCAGCAAGCGCCGGATGCACGTTCCTTGGAATGGCTGGGGATGTGGAGCTGAACCAAGATCGTCGGCCGGACCCCAGTAAGGATAGCAGATCTAACCAGATCAGGGGGATGGCTGCTCGGAACTTGCGGCCATGGTTCGAGATCTAGAGTTTCCTGCTAGAGTCACTGCTAAAGTGCCTCCTGAATGATGATGATCTGTACCGGATTGACGGGACGGAGTGAGGAGGCTTTTTTTGCCCGGCTGCCAATCTGCCAGGTGATATGGAAATCATATTGTCTATCTAGCCAGTCAACATTGATTCATCATCCGTCCATAGTAATTATGCTTGATGATTATTAATGATTATCAACACGTCATGTGTTTAAGCTCTGATAGAAGCAATTGATTTTCCCAACAAAATATAACACATAGAGGGAAACCAGTCACTGATTTCAAATCATCCTAGAGATCACTGATATTACCCCATAGTCCGCCCGGTCTGTGTCTGTGTGATACCCTAGAATGGGGAAAGCAAAACCAAATTTGCCACCATCTTATCAGGAAAATCATCCCAATAAGCCAAGAAGATTGCTTGATAATTGGTTCTAACTTCTGATCCGTCGCTTTGTCCGGAGTACTTTGACTCCATGCTCCGTAACTGCTGTCTGTTGACTTCGCGGTCCGGTCTGACGGCGCCAAGTCAATTGGACACGGACTTGCCGATGACATCTGTATCCACAAATGTCAAGCATGCATCCCTAGCGAGGAGAGACACGGTGTTCCCGATACCCAAGGTTGACAAGGCATGCCACAAGAGAAACATGTAATTTCAAGGCATACAGGCTATGGATCAGGTAGTTTGGGATAAAGTGGTTGATCATGCTGCTTGTTGAATGGGAAGTCATACTTACAATACTCCGTAGGCCAGTCGGGGAACCATTTGGGGAATTGAATAGCTGTAGTTCCCACGAGAGAGAGAAAGAGACAAGGTCGTTTCAACTGCCATGAAGATATGGGAGGGAAAAAATGCAGGAACCATACTTCATAACTGTGGTCCTGATATATCTACGGAGTACAGTTATTCCAGGCTCACAAGCCCCTAAGGTACGGCCGAATCCGTGGAAAATGTGCTTGAGGTTTATTGGACTTGGAGATATCGACATGGCTTTGATTCATTGGAGGTTGAGTTGGATGACTGTGCTTTTTTTCTCTTCTCTTTTGTTTTATTTTCTTTTATTTTTTTTTATTCTTGTTATTTTTCTGCTTGAACTCTTTTTTGAGCGGCCTTTTTTTGAGTGGCCTCGATTTTTTTTCTTTCCCCTTTTACTCTAATTTCTTCTGTAATGATAATACTCTAGTCGGCTGTAACATACAACCAAAACTTACTGACGCTATTTGATTCCAAAGATACTATTCTGAATAATGACGAGATCAGTGTCATCGATTAAGACAGGAGAAATTGAGTCCAGCACATGAGCCCCATCCTGTTCATGTAGCCAAGAAAATTTCTGAAGGCATCGAGGAACATCAGTGCACTGGAGCATGCAGATTTAGTTGTATCTCTGTAAACTCAATTACCGCTAAAAATAAAATAATTTGTTGAATTAAAAATAAACTACTACTATAAAATTAAATTAGTCCATACCATTTGCCTTACGGCCTTACCTCAGTCACTCGTACGTACCTATTATTGCCTCTGGTGTCCCTCCTCGCCCGACATCTCCACTTCAAGGTCTTGTTTCTTTCCCCGTCCTTACCTTTAGTCCTCCTGAGAGTCCAATTGGTTAGGGAGGTATCAGCATCGTTAGGCTTTTTTTATTTTATTTTTTTTTTTTACCCTTCCCGTCTGACGTCTTGTCAAGTTACAATTACGGTCAATACCCAGATACCGTAAAGTACCATCATCATCCCAGTCGGTTTCAATGCACACTAAACAGTCCCCTGTCCCCTGCTGCGCATTCCACCTCCAGTAGTCTGGATGGGCTTGAGTTAGTGTTATTATTTAGTTTTTAGTTCGTCCAGTTTGTATCGAGGTAACTAGTACTATAGTCTAGTTCACTTAATCTAGTCGCAATCCACTTTGGACTAGTATGCTGCGAGTCCAGAATGAGGTACGCTTAACTTCTCCCATAGGGCGAGTAGTGATAAAATCATCCATATAAACATTTAACAAATGCTCCCCCTCCCCTCCTTCGGTGTTTTTTTCTTCAACTCTGTGCATGCGAAATCCTCTTTTTTTATTCTTCAGAGATTCAGACAGCTGTCTCTTGGAAAGACATCAAGAAGAGCAAAGGAAGAAATCATCGAAGAAAGGACCTTACCCCACCCTCTGCTCTTTCTCTCCTCCTGTACCTCTTGCATATACTACTTCTTCCTACTTCTGCTCGGACCTATATCATACGGTATCGCTCACTCGCATTGACTCGAATATTTGCCGAGTGCTGCTGTCTCTCTTCTTTGCTATATACTCCACTATCCAACCTGAGTCACGAACTGGAACATAAGAAGAAACCAACTCTCTCCGTCCATCTGCATTGTACAAACTATTTTTAATTAGTTGATGACCCCCATTCCGTCTTGCTATATGCCTTAAGAAAAAGCTCCTCGCAAAACTTGAAAGGATCAATCATCCTGTGGATCTCCCCTTGCTTTCTGCAGTCGACGATCTATTCCGCCTACTAGGGTATTCACGTTCATTATCGGACGGCCCGATCCCTCATTTGAGAGGTGACTCTCACGGTATGCTTGTGTTTATTTCCCATTCTGCCTGGGGCAGTGGACACAGTGTCAGACACAGAATGATAGCTGACACTCAACTTCTGACAGTTCTCGCGCTTCGACTCCCTTACTCGGAACGCAACCCTCGCATCCCACTGCAGGGCAAGGCCAAAGAGCCCTTTACGACTCTGTTACATACCCTACAATACTACAGGTCAAGATCAACATGATGGCATTGGACTCGTCGCGTCAACAGCAACCATCATACTTCCACACCGTCCCAATGGATCCAGCCTTGGTCGATCCCTTCGGATTCCATGCCGACACCTTTAGCGGCTTCGGACAGTCTGCTACCAATGCTCCACCACAACCCTCATACTACGAAACCTCCCCAGTATATGGGAATCCACACTCGGATGCTAAGACTTCCAATTTCCCCCCTATGCCTCCTACCCCCCCTTCGCTTCCACTGCCTTACTCCACAGAACCTTATATGTCGGGGCTATCGTCTGCGTCCGGTCCGTCCGTCGCGAGTGCCTCATCTTCAGCAATTGGTTCACCATATTCTGGCATCACACATACCTTTCAAGAGAGCTGGATTGATACCAATAACGGTATTGGGCTTCCTGCCGCAGTCATGGATGAATTCTTTCCCAATGACTTTATAGGCAACTCCTTAGACTCGGAAGACATTTACCAAACGAAAGGCCCCGACGACTTCGTTGGTAAGTCCTCGTGTGCTGGCACCACACATCGTCGACCTTGCGAGTTGCTAACGCATGCTGCATAGATCCTTCATTAATCCAGCCGATTCACCGGCAACCAAACTTCTGCCCTCCTACCATCGCTTTCCCCGAGCAATCGGGCTTCCTCGCCTCTCATTGTGGCTTCTTGCTCCAGTCTCCTGATACATCGCACCTTCCTGTTCTTGAGAACTACTCTGCGGATCATCTGTCACCGAATGCTCTTGCTGGCTCTTCTCCTCTCCTGAACCCAACTTCTCACTCGCGTCCTGTTTCCATTTACGACCGAAGGTCATCCATCTCCTCCATCCAGTCCCGCCAGTCCCGACAGAGCCCAGCTGCCAGCCCAGCAGACCTCGATGAAGAGATCAAGGAGAAAGGGCGATGCCCCCATCCTGACTGTGGGAGAGTCTTCAAGGATCTCAAGGCCCACATGCTCACACACCAATCCGAGAGGCCCGAGAAGTGCCCCATCGTCACTTGCGAGTATCATACCAAAGGGTTTGCTCGCAAGTACGATAAGAATAGGCACACCCTCACACATTATAAGGGGACCATGGTCTGTGGCTTCTGCCCAGGATCTGGCTCACCCGCGGAAAAGAGCTTCAACCGAGCGGACGTCTTCAAGCGTCATTTGACTTCAGTCCATGGGGTGGAACAAACACCACCAAACTGTCGCAAGAGGAGCCCAACTGCGTCCTCTAACAAGAACGTTTCAGATTATTGTCAAGATGCCACGGGCAAGTGCTCGACCTGCTCCGCCACTTTCAGTAATGCGCAGGATTTCTATGAGCATCTGGACGATTGTGTTCTCCGTGTTGTGCAACAAGTCGAGCCTAGCGAGGTAATCAATCAGCAACGGCTTGCTGAAGTGGATTCCGACGATGAAGTGAAGAAGACCATGGAGAAGCACAGATTACTTGACACAACCGAAACCATCGATCAGTTTGACGACGACCAGTTCGATGAGGACGACGATTATAACGAACTAAATCTCCATCTGCGCTCGAGCAAAGGCGCTTTGAAATCGAACAAAGGAAGTCTCCACGCGACGTCTCGTCCTATTCTGGGAAACAACAACGCCATCACCAAGAACAACAAGGCACGTCCGACCGTCTCCAAACGGCGGAACAACCGTGACCGATACCCTCCCTCCTGGGGCTGCCCAAGCAGCAGCATGAAGACCAAAAAGCGTGTGCTCTGCGTTTTTGACGGGCAGCGCCGACTGTGGAAAGATGAGATGATGCTTGATAATGAATTCGAGGTTCGGTTGAAGCTTCCCGGGGGCGCTGGTGACGGCACCAACCGAGAGGCGTACATAACCGACTTGGATGTCGAAACGCTCAAACGCGTTGAGGGCGTGCTGAGCGCTAACGAGGAGGAAAGAGGTCCTTGGTTACAGGGACCATCTACCCACCTCATCGGACAACCGGCTATGGTCCTGCCTGACTTTTCTCATTCCCACGAAGACGTGGATATTGATGAGTTGATGTCTTGAGCACGACTTCAATGCCGTTTTCTTCTACCTTCTTCACTCTTGCATTCTTGATACCTGTCTTTTTTTTTGCATATGCTGCATGATGATAGCGACATCTTGTGGGCTGTATATTGGAATATGATACCACTGGCCATTCTCCCTGCTTTGATAATATGGTCTCCTTTGAAAAACCAACTGCTTCTTCTCAAAAAGCCATCTCTCTCTGAAGTTATCCCATAGTAATACATTATTTCTCTTTCAGACTGAGAATAATCAAACATTTGTCCCTCGACTAGTCCAGGCTGTGCTCATTGGTGACCTCATTGTGTATCTGGATAGCTGTAATTGAAGCGATGAACAGGAATGTCTACTCTGGTATGCGAGTCAGGAGCATCGAACTATGAACTCGTATGTTGATTGCAGGGTAAACGTCCTTAATAGACAGTGGCCACTGGGTGGTGGACTGTTGGTGATGTTGTCTCAAATTTTCCCCGCAGTCCGACGTCTCTGCTCCTCAATCTCCGAATCGACCCTCGTGCTTCACTCTGTTCTTCTCCCTCCCTCCCTCCCTCTCTCTCTCCCCCTCTCTCTTCTAAACCACCTAACAATTGAAACAGTCACCAAAAAGAGCTTGGTAAAAAGCCTGGGAACAGACAATGCAGCTGGGCCTGACAGACAGCCTCCCAGCTTTAGTGGCTAAGCGCTTCACAGCTGCTAAGGAAGGCAGCCATCTCATATTCTCCCATACTCACCTCGCAATAGTCCGCGCTGGAGGGATATCGGTAAGAGATCGCGGCCATTTTCTTCAACACCCCAAAGAGTAATGACCACGGCCCAGACGTTAACCCGTTCCTTCTCAGTATCAACTTCGCTACTGCCCCGCCCTCGCAAAGAAACCTTCCAGCAGCCCCAAAACCGACCAAGACCGATCAGGTCCCAGATTCGACCCTTTCGAGAACCCTTCGCAGGAGCTCCTCATCACACAAATACCCCGGGAGGACCCAACGCACATGCTCGTTCTGAACAAGTACCCCGTGATCCCCAACCACTTCATCCTCGCGACCAAGGCGTGGAAGCTGCAGACAGATATTCTTGAGAAGGAAGACCTGGACGCTGCCTATGCCTGCGTGAAAGCTTGGCGGGATAGAGAAGCAGACAAGGAAGATGGGCCTTCAAAGCCAAAACGGCGGCTATTCGCCTTCTTCAACTCCGGCGACGAGAGCGGCGCCAGCCAGCCGCATCGACACTTGCAGTTCCTGCCGGTGGAGGCCATGGCCGAGAGCCAGGGCGACTCGGAACTCTGGCAGCCATTGATCGACTCCCTGCCATCGCAACCTGTGGGCCCGGACTCGGAGCTTAGACGGTTAACCCAGTTGCCGTTCGCGCATTTTGCGCTGCCGCTGCCGCAGAACCCGTCCGCGGATGCTCTGCATGCCATCTACCTCTCGCTGTACAGGGCCGCGGTGTCGACTGTGAAAGGGTCGCTGGGGGATCATGCGCATGTGACTGACGGCCCCGCTGCCGTGAGCTATAACTTGGCCATGACCGAGTCGATGATGGTGATCTGTCCGAGGAAAAGCGAATGTGCTCGGGTGCCCGTCGATCCGGCCGTCTCTCAGGATGTCGAGGAGGCTGGGATGATTGCTCTGAACGGCACTATTCTTGCCGGAACGCTTATGGTCAAGGCAGAGGCCGAGTGGAATGAGATTCGCCGGAACCCGGAGATTCTGACGAATATCCTGGGAACCGTTGGGTACGCGCAACCGGACTTCCGAGGGCTTGCTCTGTTATGATGAGTTGTTCGATCTGATTATCAAGCGCCTTTCTCCCAACAAAGGGGGTTGTAGAGATGACGGCTTGGGGGTTGGTTGATTCCACTTGTCTGATACCAATGGATGATACAGAACGAGATACATGATCACCCGAGACGGGTAAGACGGATTCCAGAAAGCTTTTATTTGACTAGAGCATCTCGGAAGTTTCAATTAGAACACGCTAAAGAGCGCCCTTTTTTTTTTTTTTGACGAACACAACAGCACAAGAAAGATACCATGAGACGAAGAAACGAAATTCGAGGATGTTAGAGATAGCATAATTATCAGCGCCAAATTTTGGATCATATCTTTACACTGTGTACTTCACACCACTTCTTTTTGCAAGTGGCATTCCCAAAATGATACGAGCCTCCATGCGTCCAAATGTACTGCGCGACCTTCTTCCAGGAGACTTTCGGGGGCAATCCCAAACCTCTAGGCCGACACGACCAACTGTATGAATTCGAGACCTGCTTTCCGGAATTCGAACAGGCATTTACCGCCTCACAGAGAAGTCTTATCTGTCATGAAGGTCAGCCAAAGGGCAGGGGCAAGCTACGCGGCCCGCGAAGGGATCACTTACATCCTTTTCCTTCCACTGTGGCTTCCTCACTCTTTGCTCCTTTGTTTTGGTGAGCGTCCGAAACCTGCCGCGCAGGGTGGACTCGGCCTCCTTGAACCCGCCGAGCCTTTTGATGTCTTTGTATGATAGCCCACGACGCTTGCACTCGATCAAGAAAGCATTGCGGTTTTCACTGTGACAGGGGATCGCTCTCGAACCTCTTCGTCCTGGACATGGTAATGTTGGGTTGCCAGCGAGGTCCGACTGTACGGATGGGGTGACTTCGTACCCATGCTGGTGGTACATGAGCTCGCTGTTGGCAAAGTGCAACGGACTCGCCCCCTGTTCGACGGCATCCCGATCCTTGCCGCTCGCGGAGCCGGCGCTGTAGACGGGCGGTCTGCTGACATGCAGGAACGATGGTGGATGCTGAAGATAGGGCTGAGCGTCGTTGAGGAGAGGTAAACAGCCATGAACGTTGTCGATTGTATGCGTACTCAGCTGAGGGTCCCCGCCGACAGGGCGCCCATGGGCGTGTACGCCGGGAAAACAGCGTACGTTGCCCCAATGAGCCCCCTGGAGATCGGTCTCCTGGCTCTGCATCTCCCAGGACGTTGGAATTCCGCTGCTTGACCAGTGGAGAGGCGCGGTGCCCCCGCATGTACTCACAACAGGGGTATAGGGATCCTCGACGCTGCCTGGCGAGCTCTGGCTCAGCAGCACAGCGCTCCCTACCTGGCCATCCAGCCAGTGGGTCTTGTGGATGCCATGTCTGCCCACGCCTGGGAGGTACTCCTGCGAGCTTGCGGGCGATGTCGTACTTGAAGCGATTTCAGGGTCTGAGAACGATTGAAAGGAGGTGGCGGTCGAATATGAGTTGGGCTTGCGGATTGGATGGGCATACACGGAAGGAAAAATGTCGGGCTTGGACTCCACGTCGGAGAAAGCGTCCGCGGATACGGTTGTGTCCGAGGTGGACTCATCATGTTGCTCGACATATTTCAGGACGGAGAGATTCCCACCATGAAAAGTGGGATGGTGATGGTCTTGAATCATCGAGAGACAGGTATATTCGTGGGATGGAAACCCAGAATCCTCAATCTCGAAGGGAGTCAGGGCATCTGACCAGAAACAAACGTCTTGTTTCATCGTTTGTGTGTTGGCCATTGACAGTTTGTTTGGCGTATCAGGGAGCATCTCGGTGGCTCCAGTGCAGTGGTTTGCCCAGGGCTGCTCACAGCTCAGGATTTCCTTTGGAAACGGTTCTGACTGCTGGCTAGAGGTCTTTGCCTGGACGACGTCCGGATTGTTGTCAAAGAAGTAGTAAGCGTGAGCGGGGTCTGGAGAATTAGGGCTCTTCTCGAAGATCACACATGTTTTGGAATTCTCCGGATCAACGAGAACGCGGAGCATCGCTTTAAGAGAAGCCATATAGCCTTTGTCGTCGCCTAGTTCACCGCTCCGATCAACCAAGGCCGGCAGAGATGGCAGGCGTCCTGCGTGCACGAGAAGTTTCGATGCCGGAATATGCACGTTTCTGGACCTTATCGGGGCACCTGCAGGACACATGTGCTTGCTGAGCATCTCAAGATTCATATGGAGAGGTTTCACCTGGCATGGGGTATGATCGACCTATCGACACTCTTTGACTGGGCCGCCACGCAGCGTTATTATGTGCGTCGGCTTTCTGGAGGAGGGGGTGGGATGCAATGTCTCAGTCGTTGATGAGGCGGTCTTGAGCAACTGGCACCTTCCTAGGTACAGGGAGGTGAAGTAGAACGAAGGCGAAAGAAACCACAGTGCTAGGGAGGTAACAAGCCGTTGTGGCAAGGACAGTTGCAAGTCACCGCAACGTCTGATATTGGTTGGTGCCAACAGGTTTGATTGGCCCACGAAGGAGAAGCACAAGTGCAGACAGACGTTATGGATGTTTCAGCTCCCTTGTGTCCTCCCGCGAGCGTCGCCACGATTTCGAGAAAATTCACGCAAACAGGGTGATATCGAGCCCCAAGGTAAGACTGTCTCAACACAACCGGCCCGTTGTAGACAGGCAGCCTTATCTGGATCGGAAGCGAGAGTGGGATTGTTCGAGCTCTAAACGATAGGATGGGATTGGAGTCGAATCAAAGGGAAAGACAAGGCACAAAGAAGTGGCAACGGGTCTCAGGCTGGGACAAGACAATCCATGGGCTGATCATGTTCGACATCGGACGGCCAGTGAGCCTGTCTTTAATAGGGTTCCAGACCTTGGAAATCCCCCTGGAAGCATCGCGGTCTTCCATCATGGATCTTCGACCTCTTCACGATATCAGTCTAGCCAAGTCCCTTCTCTCTCCTCTCTCTTTTCTTCCGCGATATTCTCTATTTGTTCTCCCCCACCCCCTGCCTGACTAGAGAATGGCTGAAGAACTATCGAATCTCTCGACTCAATAACTCAACAATGGGGGATACCAGCACTGGAAAGCTTCGGATCTGCCGTGCTTTGCTGGACTGTCTGTCATACCGATGATCAATTGACCAGTCGCAAGAGTAATATCCGCAGGGCTCCCAATAGTCCAGATACAATGGGAGGTACTTCCCTCGTCGCCTTTGAACGACGCTATCAGTCCGTGGGTACTGGCCCAGCGAAACCGACCCCGACGAAGGGGGAACTGCTAAAAAACAATTAAACGAACAACCAACGCAACGAATGACAAAAACGCACTGACAAAACCAACCTGAGGGCTCGGGTTGGTCTATGATAGTGCAGCGTTGGGACATGCTGGCCGCGGATAGCTACATATATAGGGCTTTGTTCGTGCATCTGCGCCAATCCCACCGAACGGGTGGCTGTACCGTACCTTTGACGGTTCTGGCGCGTTGGTGCAGCAGAGCCTTCTACCATACTGGGACATTTTTCAATTTTTCTTTTATTTATTTATTTATTTCTCATTCTTTTCCTTTTTGTCTCTGGCTTTCCCCCCCAGGCTGAATCGACAATCATAGCCACCGGGGAGGGTTTTGTCCCAACTCGACTGTTGGGCGGGCCGTTGTTATGCTTCTTCCTATCAGCCGGCTGTGGGATGCTAGAGACAACCTACCGCACTTTTGTTAGGACTTATCAGTGGTCTAAGTCCTCTGTAGTGTATGTAGGGTGGTGCATATGCAAGATGTAGGTAGGGTCCTTCACCGTCACAGCCATCAGCAGCAGCCTAATCTCCCAGCCAGAAAAAAAAGAGGATCGATGCATATGCCAGCATCAGAGTCACTTAATTTTTGAATGTATAGAGTAAGTAAATAATGTTAGGTTAATACCGCATGTTTAATGCCCCTGTATTTATGTATATATGTATATATGTATATATGTATGTATTTACTCCTTATGCTCTGGGCGATTGCCATGGGGTTTAAGCTTCATCGCTTGCCTTTTGCGCCTGACAGCTATAGCCGATGTCCATATCTGGCTATACTATAATTATCCGTCTCGCTGATGGCTCAGACACTCCCACCTCTTCTTCTTTTTCTTCTTTTTTGAGCCTGTCTTGCTTTCTTTGTTCCCATTCGCGCAGCCTACAGCAACCAAGGCAGAGACTAGATTAGACGGCGTAGTCTAACAAACCCGCCCAGTCCAACCTGACGTATCTCAAGAGTTAAGCCATCAAACATGTTTGATGGGCTGATTTTTCCATCCCCGCGGTCCTGCTTGGCATGCAGCTTGCCATCGCCTTTGGTGGGGATGAGGATCATAATGTCGATCCTATTCCAGGGATTGGGCGATGGGTTTATTCTTCTGTAGATGTTGGACTTGGTCCAATCGCTGGCTGTTAGTAACCAAACAGGGGATCTTATCAGTCAATAGAGATTCTTCTACAAACTATGCCAGGGGACTTGAAATTGGCTTACGGATCGGATTATTAGGATTGAGAATGAATTGCACCCTCTGTGAACATCTGAATATCATCTTATTGATTCTGATACCAACCTACCTGTCTCTGCTGTGGCTTCCCGCTGCCGTCCATCCGGTTTGCCATCGCCCGTTGCTCTGTTCGGTTGGATACAAGGCAGCCGTGGCGAAGTTCCGAAGATTTGGAAAATCAAAGGCGAGGAGCTTATATTATCTGCTGATCAGGCCCTTCCGATTGATCAGGTTCAATCAGTAGAATAATTTGGATTGGTTTCGTTTCCCTTTGCCCGGCAAGAGAACAGTTCCGGTTCCTCTGCGGATCAACAAACCGATACATACGGAGGGACAGCTACAAGCTTAGACCTCAGCTTATTTCGTTTCTCGCATCCAGTTGGCGCACGTTCCTCGAGGCTGTCGGGATGAAACCAGATCAACTGTTCAGGCTTGCCACCCGACCATCCGATGTTAGACGCTCCTGACTGATGGTGATCCGATAAGAGGATGAATCAAGGACGACCATTTTGGGGCACGATGAAATGGCTTTGGCATTGCATTCCCGGACAGCTTTTGCCTCGCGGCGTTCTTGGAAGCGGTCCAACAGTCGGTCGACCAAAAGCACTACATTCGGATTAAAATACTTGGAAGCGGCATTGATACGAGAGAATGATAAAGGCTCACCTAGCAGAAGTATGAACGTAAAGGCGTATAATATGGTTGGAGAAGTCATGAAAGAGTATGCCAACGCAAAATGGCGGACGAAGGAAACCATACCCAGTAGGAAAACTGCGAGTATTAGGCGAATGGCAATGCCGATCCCGGCGTAGAGCTTGCGATAGTGGCGGTTCGCCAGCAGAACAAAAGCCGCAAATAGAAACATCGTGATTGACGCAACAACGAAAAAGTACACATAGACAAACCCCAAGACTTCTACATACATCCGAAGTAGCTGACTATTGTTCAGCTGACTGATGTCTTTGCCCTCCGTTGGAGTGATCCCCATGCTGGAGAATAAAGCCGCGGTTACGTTGCCAACCAGATCATTGATACGATCATTCGTCAGGGAGTAGAGAGTCGCCTCATTGCTTGGACACAGCGGCAAATTTGGTAGATCCTCCAAAATCTCCGAGATCACGGCTTTCTCCTTGATAGCACCACGGCCGTAGTCGATTTCCATATCAGAAATGGTGCTTCGCAGCAATCTGATGGCGACCTCCGCCTTCGGCCGCGGATCTTCGCAGGCGAACAGAATCGTCTCCGTCAAGTATGTGAGCTTCAAGGCTACGTCCAGAGTCAGAGCGAGAATCTGCGATCCCTCAAGAAGGAGAATGAGGGCCACGTGGAACGGAAAATGCAGCTGAGCCCAAATTTGCTGAGAGATCCTGCCAAGGACACCTCGCGGAGAAAGATCAGAATACGTCTGCCAAAGAAAATACTGAACGCAAGGTATAGTTAGGAGACATTGCCAGCTAGACAAGCGGAATGGATATGGGTGGCCGAAGCCTCTTACCACATTGGTGGTGACACCCAATATGTGGACAAACGACCACTTGGTCCAGCCACCTGGGCGAACTGTTTTGTTGGCAATTCTAGTGACAGCTATGACGCCTTCGCCGATAATAATCAACGTAAGGAGGCCCATTCTGACACTCAGATGAGTGTCTTGAAAGCCAATTTCTGGAATCATGTAAGACACTCCCATCACCATCCACATCTCGAACCCAAACAGAGCAAACCAAACCGTCCAAACATAGGTGTGGAGTCCATGATGTTCTCGAAAGGTAAAGTACATCTGTCGAAAAAGTCAGATTGGGCAGGTCGGTCGGTCCCATGCAAGATCCTCGCGAGGAAGAGTACCTACCCCCAGATATACCAAGCTTGAAGCGAGTAATGCTGCGACTATGATCGCCAGTCCTTTGGCAGCAGCCTTCATCCGCCTATGGATCAAGCATATATTGATAGTATACTGTACAGCCAATAAGATCCGACTTCCGCCAAGTAGGAGACTCAACGATTGAAAAGCCCAAACGTTCTCGTCCCGGATATGTGTCGTGAACCGTGTACCCGCGGAGGCAAAACCGACCATGGCAGCCAATTGAGTAGCCTTGCAAATCCGTTCGAACACCGAGTCTCGGGCAAATCGAATATCAAACAGAGTGATCTGGAGCCAGGTAAACCATATGACCCCGAGAAAACCTATGTAAGCTCCAAGAGCTACGACTCATGGTAAGACAGACCCAGGCCCAGGAAAGACTATGGAGCCTGAGTCATACCTTCGACATTATTGATCTCATGAGTAGCGGTGAACGAGGAGAGATTCGCCACGAAGAACAGATCAAAGAAGAGTTCAATGGGTGTGGCATCTGAATGACGATAGAAATGTGGAGAGTGCTCGTCTCGCTCATCAATAGGAGTTTCGATCAATGGTAGGCCTCTATGCTGTCTTGAACTAGACATGAGAATGGTATCACGTAGATGTAGCTTATTGTACACTTACTGCACGCTTTTCTCAACCCGCTTCGTCTTACGGAGCGGTTGACGAAAGAGGGAAAAGAATGATGACCGGGTCATAGTACACTCGTAGAATGCATATTCATGGGTATCATAAGTTGGGCGATTTCGATCTCAGTGAAATGAAATATACTATACACGACGGGCTTTTGAAGTTGAAGACGCCCAGTTGCAACTCCCGCCAGCTGTTGGCCGGAAAGCGCGAAGGGTACCGCGTGGGAAGGAAAGCACGCCAGTCCAAGTAGCACATCACGACTCGCTCTCGGAGCTGCCTGTTGAGCCGGGTATGGAGGCTCCAAAGCTTTCGAGTCCGCGAGAGGTCATCATGGCACCGGCAGTTGAAGGATCCTCTTCCGAGCCGGGAGTAAGGCCAGCCTCCTGTTTCAGTCTCTCATAATTATCCCCGGCTTCTTTGATAAGAGCTTGGATCTCTACTTCGCGTACAGCTATATCAGCCTTCTCCTTCCGCAGCTCTTCCATACGGTTGATCATTTGCGTCCTGGACTTTTCCAGAACCGCCAGGTTCATGCGCAATCGATCCAAGCTGGTCGAAAGACGAGGGAGAGAGGTCATTTTGGGCGGCGTCCTCGGCCGGTCGACATGCTCTTTGCCTCCGTAGCCGATTGCAGCCCTTGTCTGAGCGGCTTCGTAGGCCGCCTTCTCCTCCAGATCTGAATCGTCCTCGTCCGAGATGCCTTCAGCATCCTCTATGAGTTCTTTCATCTCCTCGCGCTGCTTCTTTCTCTGCTCGCGCTCGGCTTTTTTCCCAAGGGAAATTCGACCATCCTCCACGTACTCATCGAAACCTTCGGCAAAATCCTCATCGTCGCGGATGAGCCTAGTATCGCGCAAGTCTTCTTTCTCGGTTGTAATCCCCCATTCGTGATCTTCGACATTGTCCTCCAAGGATATGTAGTCCTCTTCTTTCGTATCGTATGTCTGTTCCTTCGCTAGGCGCGCTCTCCGGGCTTTCTTCTCTCTGATCTCTGCCTCGGTTGGGATAGCTGAAGGCGCCGACACTTTCATCACCTCGCCGAATTTCGCAGCCACATCAATCGTGTTGTCTTTCTCTTCGTCCGTTGCTGACTTGGGAGTCGAGGGGGTCGAATCCCGGAGTTCTTTCAGATATTCCTCACTGTAGCTGGGCCTGTCCTGTTCTAATCCGATCCTCATGGGAAGCTGATCGCCCAAGCCAGGCGCATTTCCTACTCTTTGAAGTGTACTTTTTTCCAATACTCGTCTCCCCAGACCAAGCCGCTTCGGCAGAATGACTTCGCTATCCGGCCCGCTATCCTCTGTCATTGATGTCTCCCCGGGTCCGAAAGATAGCCGTAATTTCGACTTTTGTTTCGCCTTGACGGGATTCGGCCGCTTGACAACGGGTCCAGTGTCTAAAATTCGATAGTTAATGCCTCGAGCCTGGAACCATGAGGAATCAGCTTGTCCAGAAGTATACTGACCTTGATCATCACCGTCGTTCTCCTCGTCGTCCACGTCAACCTTGCGAGGTTTCCTCCGATTAGCAAAAGCAGAACTCATATCGATGATTTTTAGAGACGCCTCAATGAAAAGAAAGTAGAATACCGCATAGAGATGCCAATGCAATGAACCCTTTGCGTCACAGCAGCTGGGGCATCTTTTTGGAGCTTGCGGGAACATCGTTTCTCCGGCAGAGCTTATCCCACTGCCCGCTCCCAAAGTCCGCATCGCGCCAGAACCCATCCACCAACCGTCGGTGACATCAATTCAGAACGAGCTAGTCAAGATGCCTCAAGCTCAGCCCGAGTTGAAGAAGGTATGCGCCGCTGCTTGCGTCTCCTATTTTCTTATTGACGATGATTGGGGCTGACATCCTTGGTCAACTAGTATATGGAAAAGCGGGTGTTCTGCCAATTGAACGGCAACCGCAAAGTCATTGGTATCCTGAGAGGTTACGATGTATGTGTGCCCCTGCGGAGGCAATCTAGCAAATGCGCTCTTCTGCTAGAGTATCTACGTCGCGAGTGCGGTTTGACCAGAGGAGATTTCTTCTTGTGCTAACCGATGGTTTTCACCGCAGGTATTCATGAACATCGTCCTTGACGAGGCATTCGAAGAGAAACAGGGCGGAGAAAAGGTCGCTATCGGCATGGTGGTAGGTCACTTTTGACAATATATTGGAGGTAGAAACAGGCCGCAATCTAACACGTTATCAGGTCATTCGCGGCAACTCGGTGGTCATGCTTGAAGCTCTCGAACGGATAAGCGAGAAATAGAATCTACGCCTACGTGTACGAGGGGGAGCAAAAGATGAGAAACACGGGTCGGATATACAACTTCTTTGTGGGATTGATTTAATGCAATTGGGAGTTCATGGGTTGGTTGCTCATATGAAACCATCGAAAGCATTTTGGCTTCATTACATGTTTGCTCTATGGGAAATAAAGAGTTCTGATTGTTTTCTCCAACGCTAGACTTGGTATCGACGAGGTATATCCTACGGACAGATCTCATTCTGTCTAGAATCTGGCATTTGCTAAGATATCATCATCTATGAACAACAAGGAAAACAAACCGAAGGGTATCGCATCAGATGGAGAAATCGATGGACCCGAATGCAGGGAACTCAGAATTTTGAAAGAGAAAGAGGAGAACCAACAAGTAAAAATCGTTTAGAACAGATTCATCCCAGCCATGCGCCTTAATGCTTGATTCGGCCTGCCCCTTCGCAATATGAGTTGAAAGAAATATAATAAAGTACATAAGTGAAGCTTTAACATGGAATTAAGAAGGGCCTATTTCGGCTTCTGACCGAACTTGAGTTTTAACTTGAGCCCACCACCACCACTTGGGGTTGACGGGGTAGAGGGAGTGGCCGGCGTCTTCGGTGGCTGAGATGCCGGCGAGGCAGAGAAGGCTGGGAGATGCAGCTTGGGAAGAGGTTTGGGAGTCTGATGTGCATTGGCAGAGGGGGTACTAGGACCCGGTTTTGACTGTTTAAACGTGATACGGGGGCCGGGAGGAGGCATCCCGTTCTCCTCGCGTTTGCGTTTTCCATTTGCTGTAGAATCCTTTGATGGTGTGAGAATTGTTCTGACTCGTGTTGATCGGAAGAAATGCATGCGGCCCTAGGACTTGTTAGCTTCGCTAAGGAGGTTCAGGAAACGAAGTATTGGGGTTTACCTTTCCAAGATGCTTGGCTTTCCAATACCGCGGATACTTCAACGACACCATCACCGAAGTAATTGGGTCATATAAGATTCGGCACAGATCCGCAAATTCGGAAAGTTCCAAAATGCCAATACCAGGTGAGTTACACGCGGCCCATAGGCATTCCTTGAAAGCCTGGTCACCGGATATCTCCTTTTTGAGTGCCTCGATAGCTCCAGTGACAGTTTGTTTCCGGGCCAGTTCTGCTTGGCGAATCTCAGTTGAAGATTCTTGCTCAATAATCAGGCTATCCATATTAGCAGACGCCCCTTTTTCAGGCTCGCGGCCAAAAGCAACCGGTGCCAAAGCCTTGCCAAACAGATCGTGAAGCCGTCTCCTGAACCAGAGAGAAGAGTCGCTGGACATGGTAAAGAGAAACCATCTCAGGAGTTCGGGACTTCTGAACATGTCGAGCTCGACAAGGCCCTCAAAAGCATCTGCACGAAGAAGATCGTAGGTGCCGGCCCGTGTGTATGGCAAGAACTGCATGATGTCAAGGTCCAATATCTTGGCTTGCATGAATTGCCGTTGACAGTGTAATGCTGCACGAGAGTAGACGTTCTGAAACGAACTGGACCATTCATCCATTCTCCTGTAACGATCAATCTCCGCAATAGCAGCCTTATCCAGTTCTTCTTCCGCCTGGGCTTCAAGCATGCGTTCCATGTCAAACTCATCCATGTCCGCGGAACGAGATTCAACTTTCCCGAGCATAGCGTGGCACAATGACCGCATTAGGGTTGCAACATAGAAGTTGTCCGAATACTGTACAAAATACAAGGTAAATAAATGATATGCTCAAATCATATGACTTGTTACTTACCTCATTGTTAGAGTTATCGTTAAACTTCAGCTTGTCATATAAGAAACGCTTGACTCTCATCGGCGTCTTTCCGTCATTGTCGCGCACCTTCGATATAGCTTCTGGTATCACTAACTGGAGCACGTATGCGGCTCTATCCGAGAAGTCATTGGAGCGGGTCATAGGAGATCCCGGAAGACAGAATAACTCTTGAAAAGCTCTTTCCAAGTGGAAGAGGCCTAACCAGTTGACTTCTTCCTTGGCATGTTTTACCAACGCTCGTGCTGCGGCTGCACGAATGCCGTAGAAGTACCTCCGATCCATCAGGGTTCGAACAAAGATGGTTGAGATCAGCGGATGCTCTCGCTGGGCTGCCATGTACTGCAGAGACTGTTGCGGTCAGTATGGTAAAGGACAGGGGTAAGATGCTTGGCCTACCTCTAATTGCGCGATGACATCTCGGTCCTGCTGAAGCTGAGAGAGATACATGTAGCCCGGCATCACAAGCGAGAGTTTGCATATCCACTCGAAATCAGCATCCATTCGAATCCACTCATAAGATTCTTGGCCCATTCGGTCCTCGTCCTCTTTACTCCAATCTGCCAATCGCCACTCTTGCATTTCTTCTTCCGTCTGCAGTACATCGCCAAGACAATACAGCAATACATCCTCCTGGACTTCTGCATTGGGATCGCCACCTATTGTTGCAGCTGCACGCTCTTTTTGCCTTTTGTTCCGCTTCAGTCTCTTGTATTTGGTGTTATACGGAATATCAAATTTGGTGACTCCTTCTTTGATCTCGACTATGTGCTCATAAGGGGTACCGTCGGCTTCGTGAATCCTGATGGTCATGGAGCCGGAGAAGACTGGCTGAACATGCCCAGCATAAACGCCTCGAATCTCTTCCTTGACGTCTCGCATGAACGTGTTCCTATCCAAATCACGTGTGCTTGGCTGGTCGGCCTGAACCTGTTTTATCATCATTTCTACCACGAGTTTCTTCTTGTTGAATCTCTGCGTGGCTTGAAAACGGGGGCACCCAGCGCCATAGACCCACTGCTGGAAAAAAGTATCAAGCTTTGCGTGACCGAGTCGTTCGCAGGTTTTTTGAAACTGCGAACTGGTGATAGCGCCGTTGGGTAAGTCGCCCATTCGAGCATTCAGAAAAATGCGCGAAATAATCCGAGACATTGTGGCCTTCCCGCTTGCCTTTGTCAGCCTTCGATCCAAGATAAACAGCACAAGAGGAGCCTTGAGTGCAATGAAGTCGATTTCAGACGGATCAAGATTTAAGATGTTTCCCATATCGTAGATCGATGGTCGTTCATAGTCCAAGTCGCAGACCCGATCAGACATTTGTTTCAGCCTAAATCGGTACTCATTGTTACCACAAAGCTTCCTCAAAAAGGTGTCTGTAATATACCAGGCGACACCAACGGTGACCCAGGTGTCTACAGGCTCCTTGGGGATGATGTTGACACCAATCCACTGGCACGAAAGAGCATAGACAAGAGCACGCGTTGAGTCATACATCGGATCGATGATATCTTCAGGGAAGATGAGGTGGCTGCTGCATATTGACAAGCATGCAGTGGGCAGTGTATTTTGGGGGCAATCATCCACGAAGCACATTTTGTAGCTTGCGAATGGATACGATCCGTAGGTCAGAGAGAGGAAGTCAATGGCCATTGCCATGGGAAAGCAGGTATTTCTGACCTCATCTCCCCTGCCCGGGAGACAGAAAGCATGTAGGGGAATAGCATTCTGGCCTAGCTGCTCGTCTTGGTCACTTTCACGATAGTCAGAGAGATTGATGTATTCAAAAGGACCGACAGCAAACCCAATTTGATGGGCGGAAAGAGGCGTTATGCATGCGAAAGAGACAGTCTTCTTGCTGGAATCCCGCGGGTCGATAATCTCATCCGTCATGTCTCCGGAGCACACCACTGAGAGGTCCAACGTCTCATCCTCGGGAGAGATATATCGACTGCCTCCTGGTGCCGATTTTGACCGACCGACTCCAGACGGGTCTCGGCTTTTGCGGTCGAAGATATCCCCCAACGAGCATGGGCACTTGACGGAGATCTCCCATGTACAGCGAGATAAATGGTCGTCAACGCAAGGGAACAGAGGGCATCCGGCACCGTAACCGAGCGAGTTGGTCGTGTAAGCATGCGGATAGCGTCTATCTCCATTCTCCACCCCAACAAATTGCAGTCCATCTCGAATATTCTCAATCACAAACTCGATGTAGACGGTGAGAGCCGAGAACCGTGGGAGTGACGTTTCTGCCGCTTTCGAGCTCAGAGGTCCGTCGGTGTCTTCGGCGGTGCCGGAAGCTCGCAGAGTCATTTGATCCTGGGCTTCCTGAGAGAAAGGATCAAGCTCCTCAATCCGAACACTTTTCGGAATCGTAACGAGGAGATCTGGTGCCGGCGGACTTTTGAGCAAACCGTCTATCTTCGATGATAACCGCTGATGATAATGAGGGCCGTACAGCTGAAGAGTCTCGTAGGGATCGGTATATTTGGTCGTAGGCGCCTTTCCATTGACGTTTATGCGTTTCAGCTCGCCCTGTCTGAAATTCAAACGGATAACTCGCAGATCCTTGTAATGCGGATGCATCGTGATTTCCGTCTTTCCCTTGAGGCTTCGACTCGCAAAATCCACCTCCAGCTCAACTTTCTGGTGTGCGACTGTGTATCCCAACCCCGGCCACAGAGGCCCGCCGGGCGTATCGACGACGCCTGGCATCGCGCAAGATACTCAATCGTGCACTGCGCTGCGAGCGCCAGGCTGATCACCCTCCCTCATGTCCAGCTCACTGAGCAACCATCCCTTCCCCTAGTATGTGCCCTAGCGACGCTGCGAAGAATCGAAATGAGGGGGATTCTAAAGCTGAAATAAGGCGACGAATCAATGAATCAAGCTCGTCGACGGCGGGGAAGAGTGGAAGTTGATAGGATGGAAGGCAGCTACAAAGAGCAAACGAATATTCAGGAAAAGTTGAATGTCAGAGATTGCAAGCGACTGAATAGTGAGAGAGGGACTATAGAGCAAGATGAATAGGGACAAAGTGGTGGGCTAGAGCTCATCTATCTCTCAGAGCTCAATCAGTGTTCTGGTCATGTCGCGTCGAAAGCTGCGGAGCTTCCAGTGGAAACACGTGATCGTCCGGGTTTCCCTGAATAATTTATCGAATGTTGCGGATCGTCTCTGTCCCTGAAGACAATCCAACCTCGTCGTTTCTCCTGTTACTTGCCTTCAGAAGTCTTTTTTTTTTACAGCGTCTACGAAGCGTATGCGAACCAGCCACTATAATTTTCGAAAGGAGCTGAAGATCTCATTTGTGATTTCTCAAGTAATTGGCTGTGTGGCGTTGTTTCCTTCGTTGCATATCCGGACGCTATGAGATTGAGCGCAACACATTAAACCCGCATTTCCCTTGTTACATTCACCACATACAATTAGAGACAAAATGAGCGCAGTCTTTAGAAAAATCAAAGGTGCGTTCCATCTGGAGTTGTATCTGTTACATAGCAGACTAGCTAATCTATACATTCTCTGGCGCAGCGACCCAAGATACGCTGACCGATGACTTCCTACTACCATTAAAGAGTTATAAGTACCAGAGTGTGGATAAATCCTTCATCTCAAGATACATACTGAAACATTATGTATTACACCCATGGCTCCCTCTCCTTAACGCTACGCGCTTGCTCTGACGGAACGATCTTGATACCAGTGGAATGCATTTGTCGAGGTCCTTCCACTATGGATCGCGCCCAACATGGTCACGCTGTTGGGATTCCTTTTCATAGTTGGTAACGTGATGCTCATCGAGATCTTCATGCCAGATCTCATTGGACCGGTAGGGACAAAACGATTGTCAAGATTTGTTCACAATCCACTAATACTCCGTCCAAGGGCCCTTCCTGGCTATACTATAGTTTCGCTCTGGGCATGTGGATGTAAGTTGGTCAAGTGCGCGGTGTCTTGTAAGCGCATGCATCTAATCGCCTCCCAGGTATTCGACATTGGACAATGTCGACGGCAAACAAGCGCGAAGGACTGGAACGTCCAGTGGACTCGGAGAGCTGTTCGAGTATGTATTCGCTGAGAGACCAGCATGGACGATTACTCACTCATTGTCTTGACTAGCCATGGCATCGATTCCCTTAACTGCACTCTCGCGAGCTTGCTAGAAACGGCCGCCATGGGCTTCGGTTCGACTCAGCTGGGAGCTTACACAGCCCTTGTTCCTTGTCTTGCAATGTACTTTTCGACTTGGGAGACATACCACACGCACACCCTCTACCTCGGCTACATCAACGGTCCCACAGAGGGCTTACTCGTTGCGATTGGAATTATGATTGCTTCGGGATACTTTGGTCCCCAGATATGGTCGCAACCCATTGTTAGATTCCTGAATTACCCGCAGATCTTCGGCAATTACTCGGTGAAAGATGTCTGGGTGCCTTTCCTTCTGCTGACATTCTTTGTCGGGCATCTGCCAGGGTGCGTCTTGAATGTCATCGAGGCTCGCAGGAAGCAGGGTCTCCCGGTGTCCTCAATCTTCAAGGAGTGGGTGCCAATGATTGTCTTCACCGCTTGCAACATGGCCTGGCTCTTCTCCCCCTACTCGACGCTGCTGGCTCAAAACCGATTGGTCCTGTATTGTTGGACCATCTCGTTTGTCTTTGGCCGGATGACGACCAAAATCATCCTTGCGCATCTGCTCAGACAGCCATTCCCTTATTGGACCGTTCAACTCACCCCCCTGATTGGTGGCGCCGTGCTCGCCAATCTGCCCCGGCTGGGTTTCCCGGCAGTCAGCGCCTGGGTCGAGCTTGCGTACCTGCGGGCGTATCTGCTGTTTGCCTTTGTCGCCTACATGTACTGGGCCGTCCTGGTGATCAACCGGATAACGACGTTCTTGGGTATCAACTGCCTGACCATCCGGAAAGACCGATCCATGGCCCGGGAGCAGGCTTACCGCAGTTTTGGGGAGGAGACCCTGGAGGAGCCGAATTCGACTGATCCTCTCAAGGGCGGTATCAAGCACCACTGACCTCCTCGACCTCACCAACGCCGCATTTTTGTGAGGAACAGATCTTTGCTCATGACACTACGGGCCGGTCAGTGACGTGAATTGCTTTTCCACCTCTACTCTGCTCTCTGCTTTCATACCGTCCATTTTTTACGCCCGTATTTTGTACATGTTACATCCCACTCTTGTTTATATGCTCTCAACGTCATGACTTCTAATGTGTTTGATGACCCCCTTGGTTGATGGCACTTGATACGTGGCACATTTTTTGACTGGGAAGATAAGAGTTGCTGGTGAGTGGCTACGTTGCATACGAAAGACTTTATACATACAAGCATAATGGTAATATAGATAGATCAATCATGATTCTTTGGACATTTTCAAATGAGGAAGTGGTCAGAAGATATTAAGACCGGATGGATCAAACATATCAGCTCAATTAACAAAAGGATTAGAGGGGTTCATTAAAGTATAACCTGAAAGGAATCATTGGTAATCATGAAGCAAAAGTAGACAATAGCAAAAAAACATGCTGAACGATCATCAAAGCAAGTCCATCATAACCTGATCAATCTCCCATCCCCAGCACCGTTCTCACTTCCAAGAACACACTGACCCAACCCCCCCCCCCCCCTAGTTCTTCTTCCCCGTCAGTCCCAACGCGTCCGTCACAGAATTCAACCCCAGCCCTCCCAGGATCTTATCCAGGCCCAGTCCACCCAGCAGGCCATGCACCAGCGGACCCAGACCGAGGGTGTCAAGCAGACGGCCCACAAGCCCCAGCACGCCGCTCAGCAGCAGGCCCACGGCCGCAATGATCTGGAACAGCGGCTCGCTGAGCAACGCCCACAGCGGGTTGATCTTCTTCTTGGCGTGCGGCATATCGGCGATCTTCTTGCGGCCGTTCTCGATCGTGTTCATCACCAGGTCCGTCAGCTCCTTGAGCTTGTCGGCCAGAGCGTACTCCTCGGGCGTGGCCTCGTGCGCGGCGGCGCGCGCCTTCGCCGTCGCGGCGATCTTGCCGTCCGGGTCGAGCGCGCGGATCGCCCCGTTGCATTCTTGCAGGACTTGCCCGCCTTCTTCGATGAGGGGCTTCACGTCCTTGACGAGCTTTTCTTCGTCGAGTTCGTCTTTGGGCGTGCGCTCGGCGCGTTCGATGAGCTGGGAGGGAGGTTAGTGGGAGTTTGTTTTTGAGATGGGAAGAAGGGGGGGGTTGGGTTGGTTTAGGGGAAAGGGCTTACCTCTGCGATGCGTTTGCAGGTCGGGTGCAGGCGGTCCAGCGTCTGCGAGATGATGCTGGTCATCTTCTTGGCCAGCTCTCGGTCCTGGTCGGCCTTCTTCTGGGCTTCTTCTTCCTCCGGCGTGGGACCCGTCGCGGGCTCTTCCTCCTCCTTCTCTTCGGGCAGGTTCTCGAGCAAGGTGCACTCGCCCAGCTTGTTGCCGTCGTTGTCGACCACGTAGCCGTTGTCGTCGATCTCCTTGCCGACCAGCGTGCCCAGGTTGCCCGAGGTCAGCTTGCCGATGAGGTTGCCGTCGGCGTCGCGCACCTCGCCCTGGCGGTTGACCTTGCGGCCGGACATGGGGTTGACGCTGCGCTTCTTCTCCTCGGGCTCCCAGCGCTCTGCGCGGCCGATCGTGTTGCCGTTCTTGTCGAGGATGTCGCCGTCCTCGTCGACCTTGCGGCCCTGCAGTTTCCTCGCGTCGCCCTCGACCACCCGGCCGATGATGCGGCCGCCGTCGACCACGACCCCGTCCTTGCCGACCTCGGCGTGGTCGAAGCCGAAGAACGCGCCCTCGGGCTTCTCCTGCTCGGCGCCGGGCACCAGCTCCGCCCGCCCGATCACCTTGCCGTCGTCACCCCAGATCTGGCCCTGTCCGTCGACCTTGCGGCCCGCGAGCCGCTTGTCGCCGGACGTGATGCGCCCAAACACGTTGCCCTGCGCGTCCACCACGTTGCCGGCCTTGTTGACCGTCTTACCCTCCAGGATCGACAGGTCGGGCTTCGCCGCCTCCTCTTCCTCCGGCTGCTCGTACGGCTCCGCGTGGCCCTTGACGTTGCCAAACTTGTCGATGATGTCGCCGTCCTCGTCGACGGCCCGCCCGCGCAGCTTCTTCGCATCGCCCTCCGTCACCTGCCCGACGACGTTGCCGTCGTCGTCCTCGACGAACCCGTCCTTGTTCACGACCAGGTTGTCCAGCCCCGCAAACGGGCCCTCGGGCTTCTTCTCGCGCTCCTCCTCCGGGATCAGCTCCACGCGCCCGATCGCCTTGCGCCCGTCCCAGATCTGCCCGTCCTCGATCTCCTTGCCCGCCAGCTCCTTCACGTTGCCCTCGACGACCCGCGCGATCGGCACGCCGCTCGACCCGATCACGAACCCCAGCTTGTTTGGCTTCAGGCCGTTCAGCTGCGAGAGGTCCGTCGCCTCGGCCTCCGGCTCATCCGGCGCCTCGTAGTACTCGGCGCGCGCGATCACGTTGCCGTGCTTGTCCGTCACGTCACCGTCCTCGTCCACGGCGCGCCCAAGGATCTTCTTCGCGTCGCCTTCGACGATCTTGCCCACCCGCTTGCCGTTCTCGTCCTCGACCCACCCGTCCTCGACGACGTGCAGGCCCTCAAGCCCGGCAAACGGCGGCTCCTCGTCGTAGTCCTGCACCGGCAGCGTCTGCGCCTTGCCGAGGATCTTGCCCCGGTTGTCCCAGAACTGGCCCTTGTCGTCCAGCTGCGCGCCCAGCTTGGCGATCTTCTTCGCGTCGCCCTCGATCAGCTCGCCAATCGGCTTGCCGGAGGTCGGGCTGATGATCTTGCCGGCCTTGGTGCACTTCAGGCCTTCTAGCGTGGACAGGGGAGGCAGTTGCTCGGCTTCTTCCTCTTCTTCCTCAGCCTCGTCGGCTTTGGAGTCGTCGGCTGCCTTCTCTGCAGCCTCCGTGGCGGCATCCTCTGGCTTGGGAACAGCGTCGTCCTTGGCGTCTTCTACGTCGGAGCCGTCGTCGTCTGCTTTCTCAGTTGCGTCGTCGACGGCAGTTTCAGTCTTGTCGTCAATGTCCTCCGGCTGCTGCTGCTGCTGCACACTCTCAATGGCCTGCTTGGCAATGTCCTTTTGGGTTTGCTCGTCTTCGGGAGCGAGCTTATCGGCCTCGTCGACTTTGGCATCTTCACCCTCATCAGTTTTGTCGGTGGCCTTGTCGGTGGCGCTGTCGGCCTGCTGAGAAACAATCTCGGCACGGCCGATGGCATCGCCGTCCTCGTCAAGGACCTCGCCCTCGTTGTTCAAAGTGTAGCCAACAAGGTCCTCGGGGTCTCCCTCAGCGATCTTGCCGACCACCTCGCCGGATTTGTCCTTGATGACGCCTCCTTCGGAGACAGGCAGGCCGTCGAGGTCAGCGAGGTCCTTCGCGGATTTCTTAGCCTGGTCGACGGCATCCTCGGCAGTATCCTTGGCCGTGTCGGCAGCCTCGCTGGCATTCTCGGTCACATCGTCCGCCTTCTGGGAGACGATCTCGGCACGACCAATTGCATCGCCGTCCTCGTCAAGGACCTCGCCCTCGTCATTCAGCGTATAGCCAACAAGGTCCTCGGGGTCTCCCTCGGCGATCTTGCCGACCACCTCGCCGGACTTATCCTTGATGACGCCTCCTTCGGAGACAGGCAGACCCTCAAGGTCCGCGAGGTCCTTCACGGTCTTCTTGGCCTGATCAGCCGTGTCCTCGGAAGTATCCTTGGCATGACTCGCAGTATCGTCTGCGGCGTCCTTGGCCTGGTCTACCGCCTTGGAAGCCTCCTCAGGCACATCACCCGCCTTCTGGGCGGCCTCCTGGGCTTCCTGGGGCAGCAGTTCCACACGACCGATGAGATCGCCGTCTTCATCGACGATCTCGCCCTCGTCGTTGACGGTGTAGCCAACCAGGTCCTCGGGATCGCCCTCGGAGACCTTGGCCACGGCCTGGCCGGCTTTGTTCTTGATGACGCCGCCATCGGAGACGGACAGGCCGTCCAGGTCTGCCAAATCGGTCACGGCGTGCTGGGCCTGCTCGGCGGTGTCACCGGCCGTGTCTTTGACTTGGTCGGCAGTCTCGCCGGCCTTATCCTTGGCTTGTTCAGCGGTTTCGCCAGCCATGTCTTTGGCCTGCTCGGGAGCATCAGTGGCATCATCAGCGGCATTCTGTGCCGCTTCAGGTAGAAGCTCGACGCGGCCAACGAGATCACCGTCTTCATCGAGGATCTCGCCGTCGTCGCCGATCTCTAGACCCTCGAGGTCCTCTGGATCGCCTTCCACGACGTGACCGAGCGGGTTGCCATCCTGGCCAAAAACCTGGCCGCCTTCACCGACCTCGAGACCCTTCAGAGCCGACAAGTCCAAAGCCGCGGGGACACTGTCTTTGGCCTTCTCGCTGGCGTCTTCGGCGGTATCCTTGGCCTTGCCACCGAGGCTCTTGGCTTGGCCGGTCAGGCCGGACGCCTTGCTGCTGCCGCCAGCACTGCCGCTTGCAGATCCGGATGCGAGGGACTGGGCGTCGTCCGGGGCGGGGGAGTCGATGCCCCGCTGCTCCGGAACGGACTTGGCCTTCTTCCTGCTCGGGTCAGGCGTCTCGGGGGCAGGCGCGTCGTCGAATTGCTCGTCTTCGTCATCATCCTGGTCATCGTCGTCTTCGGGCGCAGGAGTAGGTGCAGGCGACGCCTCGCGCTGCTCGGAGACGGACTTGGCCTGCTTCTTGTTCTTCTTCTCCTCTGGCTTGGGAGTCTCGGGGGCAGATGCCTCGGCCTGTTCCTGGTCCTGGTCCTGGCCGTCGTCGTCGCCATCGTCATCGTCTTGAGGCGCAGGCTCAGGTGCAGGAGCAGGAGAAGGAGCCTCGCGCTGCTCGGATCTCTTCTTCTTCTTCTTCATCTTTGGCTTGGGGGTCTCCGGGGCCGGAGTGTCGACTTCTCCCTCGTCGTCCTGGGGAGTAGGGGCCGGGGACGGCGCGTCGCGCTGCTCGGGCTCGGGTCTGGGCTCCCTCTTCTTCTTCTTCGGCTTGGGCGAGGGGGTGGACGGCTGCTCCTGCTCCTGTTCCTGCTCGGTGGTGTCTGGCTCGGGGTCATCGATGGGCTTGGACTTGGGTTCCTTGGCGTGGAGCTTGCGTGGGGTCTTCTTGGCCTTGGGGCTGGCGAGGTCGGGTTTCGAGACGGCACTGGAGCCGGAGCCCTTGCGGGACTTGCCGGGGGTGCGCTGCGCGGGGGTGGGATTCTGAAGGCTGGAAGAGGCCATTTCAATGGAGTTGGAGTTGGAGTTGGAGGAGGAGGAGGGGTTCCAGGTGTTTCTTAGGGAGGTGAGTTGGGGACCAATTCTGATGGTTTGGGATGGAAGAGGTTGGTTAGATTGATGAGTTGATGAATTGTAGGCTGTAGGCTGTAGGCTGTAGACTGTAGAGAGGTGATACAAGTAGAGTACAGTACAATACAATAGAGGTTGGGAGGTATCTCAAACTCGGTACGGTGTTTGATCGTGATGGTGAAGGTGATCGTTATCGCGTGTTGAGTGATTCCGTTGAGTCAAGAGTCAAGAGTCAAGAGTCAAGTTAAGTGAAGTAAAGAAAATGAAACTATCCAACTCATTTCCCGCTCGCACCCTGTTGCATTTAAATAGATGCATCTTGGACACTGTATATCTTGGATAGTTGTATCCATCAACCCACCTACGTCATGGACCGACATCATCACCAGCATCATTCATCATCGTAGTCCAGTCTTGTTAGTCTTGTTAGTCTTGTCTGTGTTGCAGTGCTTGTGGTGATAGAAGGAAATGATCCACAGAAGCACTGACTCTTCTGGCAGACCGAGAAGACTCGAATCATCGTCCACGACTATAGAGATGATGGAGTAGACCCGCGGTACACAGACAGGGACATCCCAAGAACCGAATGATTGATTGATTGATTGATTGATTGATTGATTGCTCCACTGTCTTCTGGTTAGAAACCGCTCTTGGCTGGAGATAGTCATGGTCATGGTCATGGTTGCGTCAGTTGTTTGTGAAGTATACTAGAGGATATGGGTTGTATATTCAGATCGTGAACAGATCCTAGTATCCTGAGTATCCAGACAGTCTCTTGAGGCTTACAGGACAAACAGAGTGAATGAGAATGAGATCATCTGTCGCACACCAGACTCCCGTCCTGTCAACTCCATCATCGCCGTCATCCCAATCGGAGAATTTACAGGTTATTGAAGAACTCAAGCCCGGACGGTCCACGACGGAGGATTTCCTGGTCCACTCTGCCGTCTGTTGATATCATCTTGGTCGCTTGTCGCTCGGTCTCATTGGGTCGATCCAGTGTAGGCTATAGGCTGTAGGGCTTATGACGTGCGGTAGAATATTCTTGTATTTGTATGTCTATCTAGTGTGTAGTACCTAGTTGTGATATGGATGTGGATGTGGATATGATGCCGCGTGTTTCTCCACCCGTCACGAATGAATCTCATTGTCCTTGTCCAGACTTTGATCGTCGATAGTCCTCCGTATCTGGGTGCTCCTGTTAAGATAGGAGTCATAGTGGTCAGGCTGAGGTCTAGATGTCTTCTTCCTGCTCAGTCTCTCTCTCTCTCTCTCTCTCTCTCTCTCTCTCTCTCCATCCACTCTGTTGACATAAGAAACTTCTGTGCCTGAATCCAAGTGATTGTTCACCCACTAATGTTCAGATGCCTGACGTCAGATGATGGGGTGGCGTGGATATGACAGCCACCATTGGTGGAGCGATAACGCATAATTACTAAGACAAGCATAATTGCCTACTCATAAATCTCATACATAATACTAGTTCCTCCGTAGTATGTTAGCAGTTAGCACATCCGCCCAAACAGAAACTCCTTGACAATGGGCGACCCTGAAAACTCCGGATTCAACAGAACGCAACTAATCCAATGTCCATTAGCATCAGTAACTCGCGCCAGCCGGCAATCGGCCTCCACCTACTGGAGGAAATATTCGAGTCCCACACGCCGAGACTCCAGAAATGACGGGCGGAATTTATCTAGAAACCCAACGGGTTAAACCGAGGCCCAGCGACCAAGAAACCCCCATCAGGAACACATACAGAGGACACTTTTGGGAGGGAGTGCCGGTAACGCGCTCTTCGCGTGCGGGAATGCAGCTTGTAACTGCCGTCGTAGGTCATCAAACTCGGAATATCTATCAGTCCAAAAAAAAACTTCAAATTAGCCCCTGGTCCAACAACTGGTGCGGGTAGGATTGCTCCAGGACATACCTCATGCGCACCGTGATCGGGCCACCCTACGACTACGTGAGCATCAAGGTCACCATAGACAATAGAAGCAAGCCTCAAGGCGCTTGGGACTTGTCCTCTTGAAGAACATACGTCAAGGGTCTGTATCTTGCAGTTCCATACCACGTACGCTCCAATCCCTGTCTTCCCCTGCACAACCGCATGTTCGTCAATCGTGACGCTCTTCGCCCATAATCCACGGCTGGTCTCGGAGTTTGGATCTTCTGTATGATCCTCGAGTGTGATGGCCGGTTGCTCTGAAGACGCTTGGGAGGTGCGGGAGATATTCCGATGGTGGCTCCAGTACGGGGGGATCACACCAGAAATGGGACGATCCCTGCGGGCCTGCGGGAGAACCGAGCCATTGCTCACACTAACCCCGTCGGAAAGCGCAGCTGTCACAATTGCGGTTTTATCTGCACCCACGGCGATGGATGAGGAGGGGGCTGTGGTGGTGGTTGATGTTGACTGGGGAGGGGAGGATGGGAGCGGTGGCGGCCGAGGCACCGGACCAGTCTCCTCATTCGCTGGCTCCATCCATTTAACCAAGGGGAGGTCAGACCGTCAGAAACTGACGATAAAACCTCGAATGGCGGGGGGGGGGGGGACAATATCGGATACTCGACTAAGACAGGGAGGTGGGATAGGTCAGATGGAATGCGGCCTAAAAAGAGGGGGAGGCAACAGGAGATAGTTTAATGGGAAAAGCAAGGGCACGGGGGAGAGGCGTTGATAATGATATTCATCACTAACGTGGTTCACTACTAGCGGAAGCTGGCTGCGTGGTTGGTCTGAGGTGGTAGGCGAGGTCAAAAATAGAACGGAGCTGTACACAGTAAGAAGTTCAGATTAATACTTTGTAGTAGTGATTCTCAGAGAAACAGGAATCTGCGACAGGATCATCGTTCATTTGAACATCCTCGCTGGTCTCTTCTTGTTCTTCCTTAATCGTATCCCTTCTTGAACCTCTCTCCCTTCAGATCTTGTTGTCCTAATTAGATCTTTCACCTCATTCAGTCTAGCCAGTCAGGTCACGGGACCACCAAGGCGCCCAATCCAGCGAGTCATGTGCATCTGAGCAGTTTTCCTGAACCGTACTAGCTCAGCTTGCCTTGGAGATACTCCTAGTACTTCCAAGTTCCAAACAATAAATCATATTATTTCTGCAGCCTCAACGCTTCAATATTTATATCATCGATCGATCACCTACGGAGTAGTTGCCAGAAGAGTCAAGTTCTTCTCCCTCAACGGTCACTGCTTCCCAGGGCAGCATCTCCTGATGATCGGAGCCTCCCAAAGCTCCAGACCTCCAGACTGCCATCCATCTAGTGTCAACACTAGAAGAAGCCAAGAGTCGTTCTGACCAACCATGGCTCCTGTGGACAAGAAATCAGATTATTTCTAACCCTACAGAGTAAGTAAGTGAGACAGAGTGACAGACATCTTGAACCCCGGCAGGCAGTCCTCATCTGTTCCGTCAATCAGATTCATCCGTCGGAGGTCTCTGCAACCACACCGACAACCATGTCTCAGGTAGAACACTCGGTAGATCGAGCAGTGCGGAGAAGAGAAGAACAAGGGCATCCAGAAAACCTTTCACCTTCCCTTCCTACAATTATGAACAATCATGAATATCACAGTTCAAGTGTCAATAATAGCAAGAAGGAAATGAAACCCACGTGTGGCTTTTTATGGGATCCCTCAATAGTAAGGGGTTTGAGTTTGGACCTTTGATGCTGGGAACATACTACATACTACATACAGTATAGACCCTTAGGCCTTAGCCTTATTTGAGAATATCCCCCCGGATCGACAGGTAACTCTTCTGACCCTGTCTGTTTCTTCAAGAAAAGAGGAATAGCCCCTTAACCAGATGCCTCCCTTGATTTCTGGCCAGAAGCCGTTTGGAACTTTTTTTTCCGTCCTTACAAACACAATCAATGAATAGGCTAGCCTCGGACACTCCCACCCAAATCGCCTCGTTCAAACGGAAAAGGGCTGGGATGGTCTGATATACCCTCAGAGACAGAAATAATAATAATGATAATAATAATAATCAGACAATCGCGCTATTCCTCCGTACACTCCGTCAATAATTCCGTGCTTAGTTCCTCAGATAGCTCGCCACCAGATTAGAATTACTCTTACAGTCTTACTAGATACTTCCTCGGTCTCTTTATGCTGTACAACTAGTCAAGTGCTAATAATAATCATCATCATCCTCAATCAGTAGTCTCCTGCTGCAGTACAAGTACAACTCACCACTCACCTTTAATTTTGGGCCATATCAACCGAGCTTCTTATCCTCACTGTCAAGTGTCGACCTGTTTTTGCTTCTCCACATCGAACCCGACTCTCCCAAGATCAATAAATAAAATAAGAAGAAGATACGAACCGAACAGCCCATCTTCTTCTTCCCCTTTCCATCCAGACTTTCCGTTATCAGTAAACTATTATTTATTACCTATTACCTATTCTCAGGGCAAAGACCGTGTCGACAGTCTATTATTAGGAACTCCCTCCTCCTCGCCAGCAAAACAAAAAAGAAAAAAAACCCTCACCCTTTTCCTTCCCCCCAGACCCTGGCTTGTTGGTGAGTATACTCCAATTTCCTCGTCGCAGATCTCAGAGCTCACATCGGTCGGAATAGATACGTTAATACTTCGGTCCAATTTATATTCAATATGATCTTCTCACGTACTCTGCTTGCTGCCGTCTCGTTGGTTGGCCTGGTGAGCGGCCAGTCATGGACCAGTGTGAACATCAGTAACATCGACATTGGGTTAAGAAGTAGGTCTATCATCAGCCCTCCCATGATTCTTTTTGAGCTTCGTCTAATTCAGAATGCACTCTTCCAGATCAATGGTGTCAGAGCCAGACCTCCTCATGCCCCCTCCTCTGTCTTCAGATGAAGAACGCCACTGACTCACCAGAGGAGAACACCTGTGACTCTGTAAGTCAACCCGCATGATTGACGAATTCCCTCCCCCGGGGAGAAGCTAACATTCCCTCGCCAAACAGGACACGCTGGAGTTCAGTTGCATTTGCGACAACAACAAGTCCCCCAATGCTTCCGAGTACTCCCAGACAATTCCCTATTTCCTCTGCTCGCAGCAGAACGATGATTGCGTGACTAGATGCGACGGCGATTCCACCTGCCAGTCTGATTGCCGTAGCAAACATCCTTGCGGAGCTCAGGCGCCCAAGCGTGTCAATGTGACCACCACCACCAGTGCCACATCGAACCCTACCAACCCTGCTAAGACTGCCACCGGCACCCTGGCCGCCTTCACCGGGGAGCCCTCGGACAAGAAGAATGCGGCCCCGGCCATTGACCGTGGATACGTGTATGGTCTGTGTGTCGTGGTGGGTAGCTTCGTTGCTGGATTCACTGTCCTGTTATAGGCGGCTTGCACTGCTCTGATGCCTCGGATGGATCCCCCCCCGGGCGGCTGTACAGCTGAAGCTTCGCGGGCGGCCCACCCGGCTGATGTTCATTTCTTGGTGATTTGGTTCTTGAAGCATACGCACTGGTAGTGTTTTTTTTTCCCCTCCGCTTTTGCGGTTTCCTTGCATTCAGCATGGAGTTCGTGTTCTCTTCATTTCCAGCTATTTCATGCCGTGCCTGGCCTAATACTTTGTTGGGTGCTGCTATCTGTTGATATTATCTTAATGATGGATCCTTACCTGGATAATCGTAATACGGTGATTTCATACCAATCTTTTTCTTCAAAGATATTATTGATACTTCCAAAGTATGGCTTATTCGCTCAGGTAGAACCACATGGTGACCATCCATCGCAATGGTATACACCTGGAAGTGTATCGAGGTATCGCCTGCTTCGCCTCTCCAAGTATAAGCAGACATCACACCTCCCAATGATAGCAGATCCAATACCAATAAGCAACTCGTGAGCATACTTCATCTCAGTCACCAACGGCTGGGATCGATCACTCCGAGGCCAATGGAAACAGTCATCAATCAAGCCCACCTGCTCTTACTCCATTTTCTTCGTTCCATGCTCCGCCTGCCTCCATTGCTCTTTCCTCAAGGCATACTCTATCCCCCCGTACTTCTATCTGTCTTTCTCGACCCAACTAGAAATTAGCCATGATCAACCCCAGAACCACCATCAGGTGGCGCTAATTCCTTCTCTACGCTTCATCTCTCCTCACATCGCGGGTCCAAAAATGGCTAGAAAGGTGGGAGAGTGCCCTGCATCATACAAAGCCTCCAGAACCGATGGCCTTGGAGCAGTCACTGACAGTGGAATAGCTTCCGCGGTGTTTCTACTGTTCCCGGCGGGGGCACACCATGTCCCAGTGCTCTCATCATCGGGATCTGCTCGCCACTGTAGAGGAAATGACCATGAGTGCGAATAAAATGCTAGCTGAAGCGGCTGAGATCATGAGGAATTATCAGATGATGTTGCCCAAGTCTGCTCGTGCGAGAGCAGCTTCTCGTCGGAATCATAGGCGGCATCATGTTGTATCTGGCACTAGCAGTGAAGGGTCGGGTCGGCGGCGTCGTAGGAGACGTTACCGGGCTCGCCGTCGTGAGAGGATACGCGCTCTGAAGAGGAACAATCCGGTGAGTTCTTATAGATGTCTGAGAGGGGTGGAAAGAAGGAGTATTAACGTGTGAGAGCGGAATCAGAGCCATCCCGACACCACTACGACCATCCAACATGCGCTGCCTCCCCCTCTACCACCTCCTAACAGCGGGTAAACTTGATCTGAGTCGTTTCACTGGGGTTCGCCGCTGACGAAGCTAGAAGTAACATGAGTACGACTGGCGTTGCGTCGGCTACGACCGTTGGGTAGGTCTGAGCCATAATGACATTGATTAATCCCAGAACTGATCAAGATTGGCAGCACGTCGTCATCTTCGATACTCCATCAAAACTGGTGTGAAGAGCTTTCTGGCATCGAGTGGAATCAGTGTTGACTATCTTCACAGCTCCTCCACAAGTATTTCGACTATGGCAGACGAAGATCTGTAAGTACTACCTGAGCCACCTGGGTATGGTCACCAAACTCACTCGTTCTAGGACAACTCGGTAAGCTACTTTGCTCTCCTCACCGATAGTTAATAGGTCGAGTGATAGCAGCCAACACCCTCCCAGATTCGGAGATGTCAATGTCAATGGCACCGACACCTACACCGACGTACTCCCGTCAATGCCCGTCAAACAAGAATCTCTACCCGAAAGGCCTCACAACAATGATATCTTGACCGACTACTCTTACTCGACCATCCCGCTGATGGACGATGTTTCAGGCTGCGACGACGTATCGGTAGATGGTGATATTTCAATGGCTGGTTCAGCTAAAGGTATAGTAGAGCATCACTGTAACGAGATCTTTGCCATTCTTTGATTGCCTGAAACCATGGGAAATCGCTGTCGTTGTTGTTGTTCTGTATGCAATCAGTCAAAGAGTATGTCTGAGAGGCGGTGAATAGGGCGGTCGGGACTCGACGGTGATGCCTTGGTGATCAGCATGTCAAATAATGCCAGTGATGATGACTCGGATAACTCCTCCATTCACATTTGTCTAGCCTCATTGCTTTCAGCGTCGTAATCACCTTCCTAACTCACGGCGGCCTACTGTCTCCTAGTCAACGATTCCCCAGGGCGTGACATACTCAGTAAGACTCCCTTCCGGCTTCGAATCCGTTGCTTGTTTGATTGGACAGCAAGCTCTCCACCCCGCGGGCAGCACATCCTTCTCCGCATGATCCAGACCAGTTGCTGAGACTCTGAGAGAACAGCTTACAGAAATACATATCGCACGTTCTATCTGTGGACAAGGAATACTTCCAAAAGCTCGCTATATTCCATCCGTAACCAAATCATCATCAACCCCATAGCAACTATTCGTGTCGACGCAGGCGTTGCACGTGCACATTGATCAAGATGGAATCAATGCTTCCGGATGCTTTTGATGCATCTCAGACGGGGTTGTACACAGGACAGACGCTCGGCGCGGGAAATATGGATCTAGAAAGTGTGAGCGGGAACGCATCAGCGCCAGCACCCTTGGTCAAGGTTGATGGTGGGTGGTCCCCATTGATTGTAGCTAGACGAGCTGGAGGCGATTGACGCTGAGACTAACGGTTTGCAATAGACCCTCCTAAATTTGAGCTCGAGTCCTACATCGCAAACTATACCGGTGAGCAGAATCTCGAAATCCTATGCGCGGAGCGTTGAGCATTGTTACTGACGCCTGCTTGCAGGCCGGACCAGGTTCAATCGCTTGTACCTCATTGGCACGTGCTCCACCTATCTCTCCACGGAGGCATTGAAAGCTGCCGTCGCTGAGGCCAAATCAGGGAAGGATGTAGTCAGGTATCAACACGCTGTCCTAGCCCTGGCTGAGGTAGCGCCGAATGAACCTGAGGCGACGATGGACACGAAATGGGTGGATCATATGCAAAAAGTCGTCAAGGCGGAGACGGACCGGCTGGAACACGAGCTGAGGGGATACAAGAATAACTTGATCAAAGAGAGCATACGGGTATGCCTAATCCCCTCCCGGAACCAAACGTGATGATTTCCTAACTTGGGCGGGGTGTCTAAAGATGGGCAACGAAGACCTCGGGCAGCACTACCATCAGATCGGTAACCTCGTCGCAGCCTCCAAGGCCTATTCCCGCATGCGGGACTACTGCACAACACCCAGCCATATCGCCTCGATGTTGTTCAAGATCATCAATGTGGCCATTGAGCGGGGAGACTGGCTGAGCGTGCAATCCAACGTGCACCGGCTACGCAATCTGCAGTCGAAGCCGGAGGAACAGGCCAAGAACCAACCCAAGATGTCGGCTGCCCTGGGTTTGTCCCAGCTGCACTCGGGGTCGTACTTGGAGGCAGCAAACTGCTTCTTGAGCACCGACCCGTCGCTGGGTGACTCCTACAACGAGGTTCTCACCTCCAACGACGTCGCCGTGTACGGTGGACTGTGTGCTCTCGCGTCCATGGACCGCAACGAACTCCAGCGCCGCGTGCTCGACAACAACGCCTTCCGCAACTTCCTCGAGCTGGAACCGCACATCCGCCGGGCGATCTCATTCTTCTGCAATTCCAAGTTCCGCCCGTGTCTCGAGATCCTCGAATCGTACAAAGCGGACTACCTGCTCGACATCCACCTCCAGCGCCATGTCAGCACCATCTTCACCCGTATCCGCACCAAAGCTATCCAGCAATACGTGGTTCCCTTCAGCCGCGTGACGCTCGATTCCATGCTGAAGGTGTTTGCGCCAGGAGTCGCCGGCGGCCACGCCCATCCGACCGACTTCAACTCGCCGTTTGTGCAAGAATTGATCGGCCTGATCCAGGACGGGACCCTGGACGCCCGGATTGACCTGGAGAAGGGGGTGTTGGTATCGAAGCAGACGGATTTACGCACCGAAGTCCAACGGGATACGTTGGAGTCCCTGTCGAGCTTCCGAAAAGAGGCGCATCTGCGGCTGCTGCGGACCAACATCCTCCGCGCCGGGCTCGAGGTTCGCTCCCCCGGTGAAGAAAGAAGATTCAAAATGGAAGAACGCGGCGGAAAGGCACTGGCTGGGCTGGGGGGTAGATATTCCCGATAATGACTCCCCTACTTTTACGAAGCGTTCGTTAGCGTCCTCCTTCCTCCTCCTTCTACGAGCCCACGAACCGATTCTTCCTTTTCTTGCTTCCTTCTGTGCACATGACAGCATGACTTGACCCGGATTAGATTTTACGATTGATGGATCCTTGGATCTTTGTATCACTGCTCAGAGATGATAAATGTGATTTATTCCATGGATTCTCCTCAAGTTATTTACAGGTTGGTGTGTTGATGTGGCCATCACATTCACGTCATACCTCCGTTGCTACAACCAGATGGAATATAAATCCCAGCGCTCAAGAGCTGGAGTCTATTCGTGCATCACCTAGTCTACTTACTTCCCTTTTTAACACACATATTCGATTCCATCTCTCGTATCTGGTATTAAACTCCAACTCACCATGGCCCTCGTCGACCAAGCAGCCACCTTCATGCACCAGTACATCTACTCCTGGCTGCAATCCACCCCGAGCAAAACCCCCGACGCCCTCAAACTCGGCGTCATGTCAACCGCCCAAATCAATCCCGCAGCCGGCAAGTCCAGCCTCTTCTCCCTCTCGCATGAACTACACCGCACCGCAAGACCAGACCCCAACCAGAACCATCGCCCCCCCCCAATACTAACCCAACCAACACAGTCATCCACCCCTCGGAAACCCATCCCGGCGTGATCCTCTACGCAATCGCATCGCGCGACCTCCCCACCGCGCAGAAAGCGCAGCGGCAGTACCGCTTCACGAAGGCATACGGCTCGTACCAGGCGCTGCTGGACGACGACGCCGTCGACGCCGTGTATGTCTCCACGCCGAACGGGCTGCACTTCGAGTGGGCGGCGAAGGCGATGCGCGCGGGGAAGCATGTACTCTGCGAGAAGCCGTTTACGGCGAATGCGGACGAGGCGAAGCGGCTGGTTGAGCTGGCGAGGGAGAGGGGGTTGATTGTTGAGGAGGCGGTGGGGTTTTTTCTTTTTTTTTTTTTTTTCTCCCTTGTGCCCCCCCCCCCCGCGGATGGCTGGGAAAGCTTGGGGCTGATGCCAATGCCGATGGGAGTGGTGTTTAGTTCCACTGGCAGTTCCACCCTGCAGCGCACGCGTGGCGCCAGATCCTTGATTCGCTCGAGTACGGCAAGATCCTGTGTACGAAGGCGGCGATGACGACGGGGCCGGCGGTGCCGGCGGGGAATATCCGGTGGAAGTTTGACTTGGGTGGTATGTTTCTGGTCCTTCTCTCAAGAATATCTGTTTGGGGGGGGGTGTGGAGAGAGAGAGAGAGAGTAAAGATTTTGCTAAACCGGTGGTCAGGCGGCTCGGCGATGGACATGACATACGCGCTGTCGTTCACGCGGTTCGCGCTGCACGCGCAGCTCCCGCAGGAGATCATCTCGGTGAGCGTGCGGCCGTCCAAGGCGGACCCGCGCGTCGACGAGGCGATGTACGCGCACCTGGACTTCGAAGGGCCGCAGGGGACGCCCGTGCACAGCCGGGTGTACACGGACATGGCGCGCGAGCGGCTGGGCGGGCTGATCCCGCGGATCTGGGAGCTGCCGTCGATTGAGGTCGAGACGGAGAAGGCGATCATCTCCTTCTACAATGCCATGATGCCGCATCTGTACCACTACATCTCGGTCACGGACAAGACCACGGGGAAGGAGACCGTCCGGAAGCAGTATGCGGGTGGCCCGCTGTGGGGGAACGTCGTCACGAGTACGGGCGAGAAGGGCGGGAATCCGCACTGGAGTACGTACCGCTGGCAGCTGGAAGCGTTTGTGGATGCGGTGCGTGGCAGGACGCCCGCGTACTGGGTGTCGAATGAGGAGAGTATCTGGCAGATGGAGTCGATTATGCGCTGTACCGAGCGGCCGGGTTGCCGGTGAGGCCGTCGTTGGGGACGAAGCAGGCATGAGTTTTATTTTTTATTTTTTATTTTTTGTGTGTGTTGGTTTTTTTGTCAGTGAGAAGGGAGAAAGTCACAGCGCGATATTGTCATATATAATCAGTGGTATGGTGAATTAATACACTAGGGCCCTTGGAGCCCCCGCAAGCATACAGATACACACCAAAATGTCCAAAACTGTCCAGAAATTCCAAAATCCGCATCGCATCGCATCACATCATCAAACATTTCAAGCCATGGCCATAGCCAGAGCAACGGCGGCGCCTCCAACCACCCACTGGGCACGGCCCGTAACCTGGGGCATGGCAGCGTTTCCGCTGGAGCTGTGGGAGGCGACAGCCGAGGAAGCGCCGGAGGAGGCAGCGGAGGATCCCGTCGCAGCCGAGCCGGAGGTGCTCAGCGTGGTCTTCACGGAGCCGGTGGTAGCGGTGGCCGTCGCGGCGGTGGGGGAAGCGCCGGTGCTCGCGGGGACGGAGGCGGCCCCGGTGCCAGTGACGACGACGGTCCTGTACATTTCCGGAATGGATTCAGTGACGGCGGTGCTGTCGACGTGGGTTGTGGTGGCGTCTTTCTGGGAGACCATGCAGGAGACGGAGGTGGTGCCGGCGAGTTTGCAGCCGTAGGAGACGTAGCTAGCATTGAAATGTCAATTTTATTCACTTTTTCTTTTCTTTTGCCAGGTCGTCCGCCCGGGAGTAACGTACTAATCGTCATAGCTCATCACCTGCTGGTAGGTTGAGGGTCCCTGGATGACGGTGTAGTCAGCGGGAATACCGCAGTCCTCCGAGGAGGTTCCGGGAGCGCAGTTGAGGACGTAGGTAGTGGCGGAATCGCTCTGTGGGATGAAATCTGCATCAGATTCTGCGCAACATATACGGGAGGGTAGTCGGATTCAGCCTGGAGAGTCTTACAGATCCCACGACCTTCGCCTGAATACTCTGGGTATCAACGGCAGGCAAGAAGAGGGTCACGGTGCTCTCGGCGGTGACAGTGGCTGCGGTGGCTGCCAGCAGAGCAAAGGAGCGGAAGGTAGCGGAACGCATCTTGATGGATAGTCAGGGGTAGAGGGAGTGTGCAACGAAGCAGATGGATTCGAAATGGTCGCAAGAAGAATGACTGTGTTATGAGGCGATGTGGGTATCTCGGTCGTGCAACAGCGTAAAGGAGTGACTGGCGACAAATCTCAACGGGATCCGAAGCGAAAATCAAACAATTGCAGTAATGAATGAAATGAATAACAATCAGTAGTAGTGATGAAGAAAGGAAAGAAGGAACGAAAGCACCATAGTCGTCCTTATGGGCCGTCAGTCATCCCTAATTATAGCGGCTCAGGCTCACTAAGAAAACTAGCCGAAGTCTGATTATTGAATCAGATTCAGGTCCAGACCGCCATAGACAGATTTGTGCCTGACTAGTAGTAATCCTGGTCGAGATTCGTCAACTGCAAGATTGAATGATGATTGGCTGCTGTGCATTCCTGCTGATTACCCTCAACTTGCCTCAATAAATTCGATGGATATGATTGGCGTACATGGAAGTCTGTTGGACTCTATCCTGAGGCTATACTGTTTTAAGAAAAGATGGACAATCGGTTGCCTATCACGGTAAGGCGTCTGGCGACTACTCCATAATAGTAATACTGTATGTTTGTATCACTGATTAGATCAATAACTGGGGTCATGAAAACGCATTAATCGCAAGGATGGATAGCTTGTTCTTGTAGTTTTGTACCATTCCTTTATTTTAGTCAAGCACTAGACAGTAGACATACATCCATACGCAATGCCAATAAAACCAAACATTGCCAAGTGATCAGGTAAGCATCACATCAGGCCACCTCATGTCCAACAACCTTTCGGGAAAAGCCTATCGCGCCGGTGGCAAGCCCGGCCAAGAATAACACCCCATTGAAGCCAGCCATGATATAGAACGGGGTACCGGGGGACAGATCATCAAATAGAAGACCGCCGACTTTGGTAAGTATCAAAATCCCCGCACCTCCATATAGAGAATAGACCCCCGCAATCGACCCTTTCAGATTCGAAAGCTGATATCGGCTTGCGTGTGCAGACCTCTGCGACAACAAGGGCTGATGCTCATCGGCGCCTTCGCCCGCTTCAGTCGTTGAACTTTGTCCATTGGCAATCTGGGACGGTTCTTGCTCTCCACTGTGGTAGATTACCGGATGTCCAGAGTCAAGGCTGATGTTGAGGATCCCATTGCTCAGCACCGCCAAGCTGCAGACAATGGCCCCGATCTGACTGATACCAATCAGGCCCATTACGATAAACACTGCTGGGCTACCGTCTGCTCCGCTGAACTGGGGACTGGGCAGTAGCGCGAAGATTGTGTAGCCGACAATACCCGCCAAAGATGCAAGCAAAAGCGGCACATGGTACTGGCGTGACTTCTCAGACAGAAACCCGAATGCTGGCGCCGCAATCAGCGCAATCAGCTGGGAAACACCAGTGAGGATGGATGCCAAGATGTAGGCTTTGCGGCAGGTCCGCTTGATATCCCCGGGAACGCTTTCTGGGTTCTCGTCGAGGCCATCCCCACAAAGTCCAGATTGTCGATAGTAATGGTTGACAAAGAGCGGGATGAACAACGAAATACCGACCGATGAGGCTCGTGCTACGAAGCCTCCCAGGTAGCCAAGAAAGATATCCCGGTTTCTCAGCCCTATGGCAAATGCGGTACTTAGTTGGTTCAGATACGGTGACTGCCTTGCACCATGGCCTGGTGAACTCTGAACTCCCTCATGCGGCTTGTCTTTTGAGGTCGGCCACAATGAGCTCCACCCCTTCCCTTCTTCGCTTGCTAGCCCTTTCAGGCCCATGAAGCAGCAGAAGCTGATCAAAAGTGCAATCGAGGCAACCAAGTAATAGCTATTTTGGATTGCTTCCGATGGGGAATAGCCCCAGCTTTGAAACCGAGCGGGTAGCGGGAGGAACACAACCAGAGATATCAGGGCACCGCACCCAGCGCACATGCCCACAAAACCGGCTAGTCTAGAAGCTGGCGATCTCAATTGAGCCTGGGGCTCAACTTCATGGCCTGGTTGCTGGCTGGGGTGAGCTTCGGTCACAGCAGGCAGCACAGCGGTAACCATGGTTGAAACTGCAGAGCCTCCCAGGCTGAAGAACAGCCTCCCCAGCAGCAGTTGAGGATAGACATTGCTTGCTTGCACGAACAGCACCAGGGCAACAGCAATGATGGCGTACCCGACGGTGGTAACCTATGATAGCATGTTAGGTCCGACTCATCCGGAGCAAGAGGAAACGCAAAGGCTATAGCCAACTTACGTTGCGAACACCTATATGATCAGAAAGTACTCCCCACATTGGACACGCGGCCAGCGCGAGCAGTTCATCTGCAAACCCCAGTGTACCAACAGCATCGCCTGTGCCATCATGTAGCCCAATCAATTCAGTGACCACGAATGAGACGGATGAGTTGATGAAAACTAGAAAGGAGATTGAAAATGGACAGATAGCAAGCAGATAGGTGAGCGTCTGGGTTGGAGTGGCGGTAAATAAAGCTCGTTGTGACGCCATCACATCATGAACACCGCTCAGTGGATGTTCTAGAAACCGAGCTAGAGAACTTAGATATCCTGGCTGTTTATGAACCTCGACTATATGGAGGAAACATTAATATACAAATGAGAGATTTGAGAAGGGTCATTTCAGCTGACGATGGCTGACGAGTGATGACTGATGCATATTAATGCTGTAGCACTCTGACGTCCCCAGGTCACATGATGAATATTGAATCCCTTTCCCAGTTCAACGCTCCACGCTGAGAATCATGCAAATAAGAACATTAACCATATCCAATAAGCTCTAGGGTATGGCCCGAATTCCCAGGCGGTCTGGAGGGTAATCAAAGGAGCGAGCGAAAGTGAATGTTGATTGGTTGCGGATATATATATATGTGTCTACGGGATACTCCATTGTTGACCTGTATTGAGCCAGCATTTGCTGAGGGCTGTTTCCAAATAGTCATAGATGTAGCTCGCAACATCCCCTTCCTTGCGATAGAACCATAAACAACGATCCTAATTTCATTTTGACCAGACGTTTATCCTGGTATCATGTACAATACTAAAGCCGAGTAGATCGAGTCTGATTGATAACGCCGAAACTCCGCTGACGTAAGGCAGGGCGGGCGGTGGCGCGCATTCTGCCCCACGAGTCCTCCGTGCTCCGGATAGGTATAGCTGTCCAGAACCACACGCGATACCAACTCCATTCCTGTTCATTCTCTATCACTATTTAATGTGAGGTGCTGTGGCAGATTTATCCATGATTCTTTAACAGTAACGCCCACACATTTTTCTATTGTGTCCCTATCAATGACATCGGGCTTCCTGCCCACGTCCTTCACTTTGTGGCCATGAGACTAGCCGCATATGCCGGGGTAAGCTTCCTCCACCTCGTGCAAGCAGCTACAGCGTGACGATTGCCTGACTGATGTGCTTCATAGGCCTCTGCGGCTCTGGCCACGGGTGTTGTTTTGAAGGCAGTGCATCAAAGAGCGAATTTCTATGCTGCCTGCGTATACCTCTCTCAAAGCAGTGCGAATCTCATGGTCAGTTCTCGAGTCTCTTCCTAAGTCCTGTTGGTACTGACTCGACGCAGATATTAACAAACCTGTGTCTTCTCATTGTCGGATACCTATTGTTTTGGCTTCAACGCCTCCTTTACGGACCCTTGCGCCCGATCGAAACCGAACAGCTTTACGAAAAGGCATGGTTTGCAGTTACAGAAACATGTTTGGCCATGACAATATTCCGAGGGGAACTGGGCGGCTGGTTCCTAGTTATGTTCGTCTGTCTCCTAGTAGGGAAGGTCTGGGGGTGGATTGGAGAAGGCCGTGTCGAGTTTCTCGAGCAGCAACCCCCCGCCAATCCGCGCTTGTTTCACATCCGACTGTCAATATCGCTAATGTTGTCGGTGCTGTTCAACTCCTTTATGCTCAACTACTGCGTACAGACTGTTCTTGAGCAAGCGCGCCCAGATATGATGGTCATGTTCGGCTTCGAGTTTGCGGTCTTGACCATTCTTTCCAGTTCAACTGCTGCCAGATACATAATCTCTCTGGTTGAGCTGTACATCAACCGCCAGCAGATGAAGGCCAAGGTTGAGGAGCGCCGTCGAGAAATCCGCGCAGCCAGAGCGCAAGCTCACAATGAATCCGGAGAAGCAATCTCAGCCGCCAATCTCCCAGACGAGAACGACATCGATGAAATGGAACTCGATGTTCCAGGTTGGGAAGAGAAGGGTCGCTGGATCTTTTATCTCGATCTCCTGACCGATTTCCTGAAACTGACAGTGTATTTGACGTTCTTCGCCATTCTGTTCACCTTTTATGGCTTACCCATCCACATTCTGCGCGATGTCGTTGTCACCATTCGTTCCTTCGGCCGACGGATTATGGATTTTGTCCGCTACCGTAATGCCACCCGTGATATGAACGAGCGGTACCCAGATGCAACTGCAGAGGAGGTCACAAGAGAAGACGTCTGTATCATCTGCCGTGAAGAAATGACCCACTGGCAAGAGCCTGCTGGTGCAGGCGACGGTGGAGCCGCTCCTGCTCAGCCAAGAGCTCGAATCCCCGAAAGGCTACGTCCGAAGAAGCTCCCATGTGGTCACATTTTGCACTTTTCTTGTCTTCGGAGTTGGTTGGAGAGACAACAAAATTGTCCTACCTGCCGCCGTCCAGTCATTGCGCCGCCCCGTACCCGCGATCATCCCGGTGGTGCTGCTGGATTTGGCCAAGCCGACGGTGCTGCAGGAGCTCAACAAAATCTGCCGGCGGGCAATCAACCATTGGGTCAGAATGGCCCTGCTGGCAATCTGCCCAGAGCTCGTATCTACCAGTTTGGGCCCTTCCGGATCGGGTTTGGAGCCGGCCGAGGCGATCTCTTCCGCAATCTACACCAGCAAATTCATCAAGGCAATGTCCCAGTGCAACAGAACAACAATGTCATCCCCCCGGGCGCCAGACAGATTGGCTTTGGATTGGGTTTCGGACGGCGTGCCCCAGCACCAGTGCCTCAACCTCTGCAAGCACCTACTTCAAGCATTGTCAGCATCCAAGCTCAACTGCGGCAGATGGAACAGCAATTGATGCAGGAAATCAACAATCTCCGTGTCACTGCTGAACAGCTGAATCTCGTGAGGCTGCTGCAGGCAGAGCTTCAACGTCTTCGGAATCTTCCTATGATGACCCCTGGTGATTCTCAGACCACGTACTCCTCGGTGTCTCCTGTGCAACCCTCTACCGCACCCTTTGTTGCATCTCACAGGCATTTAGTATCAAACCCCCAAGCGCAATCCATCCCAGCCGGTGATTCTCGACTCCCCGAAGGTCTGAACTTGCCAGAGGGCTGGTCTCTCATTCCCCTTCATTCGCCTGAAGCAGGGTCGAGCGGTTCGCAAGATCCATTGGTCCCTACAGCTACTGCTGCGGCACCGGCACCTGAGGGGCCTTCTGATACCCCGACCCAGCCCGCGGCAGAGAATACAAACGATGGAAACTCAGGCACTTTCACTTCAGCTCGGCCTCCTACTCCGCCACCATTGCCCGCCTGGGGATTTGGAACGTCTACGGTGGCTCCCGACTCACATGTTGATTCTTCATCACAGGAACTCGAGAATATCACTACATCGGCCCCTGCGCACGATGCGCAAGCTACCACTGCGGATGAGCCCACAAACTCACCCGGCTCCAAAGGCAAAGAACGGGTGGCTACGGTCGAAGACGCCGTGGATGAGGAAGCTTAACGGTCTCACTATCTCTTGGAATCTCCACCTCCCCACCTTCACGATGCATTTCTTCCTGTCATGTTGCTTTATGGCGTTCTTGAGCGATTCTGGACCATACCCGAGTTTCTTGCGCATATATACCAACCATATCACAGTGCTCACCATGTACACCGACCATGAGGTCCGTCTCTTCTACATAGCACCTGCGGTTCCCTCAATGTACTTTGTTGGTTGGCAGAGCTGTATTCTGGTCTCTGGCCATAGGATGTGCCCTCAGCTTGAATGATTCGTCCCCCTATTGTACATATTCTAACCTTCTACGTGATGAACATTCGGCTTGGTCCTCCCAAATCTTCTCATCAGTTGTAGCGTTCTCAATAATAGATCATCATGATTGCTCTCAGCAATGAAAAAAACTTGTGTCAATGAGGCTGACCAAATAGGGCGTCAGATACAGTAGTTGTTGGATGTCCAGTATCTCTCTATAGCACGCTCAACTGGCTGCAGGGCAGAGGGTGCATGTTTGCGAAGGTGTCACAAGAACAACTGAGATGTCATCACAAAACTTGCATTTCCTTCACAATGCTAGTCGTAGATATCGAGCTGGTATCACTAATATTCAGTAATACAATGATGCTTTCCCCAATCCCATTCAAAAAAACAGTTCTCGCTCTCCATCGGCCTCCAGGTCCTGGACGCTTCTCTTGCGTCGTCACCATGTTTGATGAGGGCTCCACCTCCACCCGCGGTCGGGGAATAATGCTCCAGTCTTTTCTACGCTGATCAGTGTGGACTGTGGACTGTGGACTGTGAACCCTTGACCGTTCTCTATCTGCATCGATCCAGATACACTTATTCTTCATGCATTGCTCTCTCAAGATTGTCTCCTTCCGGCCCTCCTCATAGTTTCATCTGAGCGGCTGCGGTGTCGCGTTGTGCACCAGTTGTGACTCCTGGAGTTTTCTACGACTGTGCGCCTTTGAGGGTCGCAGGTTGGCATCACTTCGTTTTTTCATTGTATTGATCTTCCAAATCTCTTGATAATCGAGGGTTTATGCGCGAGTCCATGGTGTTCGCACTCTTTTAGATTGGATGTAGGTTGCTGACCTTCCCCCAACAGCAGGACAATTTCAGGGGCATCCCCTACAGTCCGATTATTCAATGGATTAATGACCGCGATGAATTGAGCTGACGGACGTCTTTGATCATGGCAGCAGAATAACGTACCTTTACTTCTATCTGTATAATACTCAACATTCTTTTCAATGACCTTCTCACGGCGAGCGGTCTCCCTTCTTGGCTTCGGCTTCTTCCTCATCTTCCTCTACACGGTCAGCAGTCTTTCGCAACAATGGCGGCGCGTGCCACCGGCCGAAGGGCAGGGTAAACTTGTCGCAACACCAGGTCCGACGCCATCCGGGGACTTCAACATCAGTATGCTGGTAAACGGCCCACCCCGGACCCCCTATGCTCCTCGACCGAACTATGTGCCCGGCGTGCCGAAGCCCGATGGAGCGACGTACACGAAGATACTGGTGGTCCCGAAAACGCAAGAAGAAGACACGAATTGGATTGAGGCCGAGCTGCCCGAGTGGCAGTCGGCTGTCTACGTCGTCGACGATCCAGCGGCGCCGCTGCATCCGCCACGGAACAAGGGACACGAGGTGATGGTTTACCTGAGCTACATCATCGAACACTACGAGAAGCTGCCGGATATCATAGCGTTCATGCATGCGCATCAGTTTGCCTGGCATAACGAGGAGATCTTTGGAGGTAATGCGGCCGAAATGCTGCGCCGGCTGAGTGTCGCGCGAGTCATCCGGGAGGGATACATGAATCTGCGATGTGTGTGGGCCCCCGGATGCCCGGACTGGATGCACCCGGGCACGGTGGAGGAAAACGAACTGAAGCAGGAGGAGACGATGCTGGCGAGATCTTGGGGGGAGATCTTCCCGGATGACCCGGTCCCGGCGGTCCTGGCGCAGCCCTGTTGCGCCCAGTTTGCCGTTTCTCGGGAGCGCATCCTCACGGTCCCGAAGGCGCGATTTGTCTTCTACCGGGATTGGATTCTCCGCACAGAATTGAGCGACTACATCTCCGGTAGAATCTGGGAGTATCTGTGGCATGTGATCTTCACCGGTGACCACGTTGTGTGTCCCAAGGAAAATGTGTGCTATTGCGATGGCTACGGTTTGTGCTTTGGTGGTGAAGCCGAATATGACGCCTACAGGAACCTAGTCTTGGAGAAGCAAGAACTGGAGGAGGAGCTGAAGCGGTGGAACTCGCGAGCTCAGACCATTGAGATTGCGCGGATGCAAGGCAGTCTGGGTGAACAGAGTCACCTCAAGATTCCCGATCCGGGCAAAGACCTTGAACTTCAGATGAAGATTTACGAAAAAGAATCAACCATCAGCGGCCTCCTCACCAATGCCCACACGCGCGGTGCGGACCCGAAAGCCCGAGCCCTGGAAGCAGGAAGAGCCTGGAAAGAGGGCGACGGATTTTAGGCCAATGGCCTTCTTCTCTTCTAGACTGAATTGTTGGCCCTTATTCTTCGACAAAATCCATGAACTTCATCCCCTTCTGCTGGCAGAAGAGAGGATACTTGGGCTTGATATCAAGGTTGTCTACTTGCGGTGCCTTTTGGATTCTTGGGTTTGGAAATGTGCTTTCGATATGAACTTTAGATCTGGCATTTCGATTTGTATCATGATAGATGGCAACTGCAGTCCTTTTTAGCCATCCTCGTCAGAGGGATTACTACCTACTCCGTATAGTATAGATGGAGTAAGAGTAGACTGCAAGCGATCATGTGACCGAATCCGGACTTTTTCACCCTCCGACGCGGTCATCGTTGCTGGACAAAGTTTGCACTGTCTGTCCAGTCTTCAAACTGCACAAACAACGCCTCATCTAAAGCTACTATCAGTCTGCTTGATCGAACTTATCGCGATCTACGCGAAATACCTCCGGTTTTATACTCGGAAGCATTTAGCTTCCCAGTACCTATTTATTTTTCTTCCTGCTTTCCCTCGGACCCGGTCCATATTCGTTGCTGGGTGGCGAGCCGTTGATAGAAGTGAGATTCCACATCGAAAGGATATAAGAACACAATAGGTTACGCGACTACGCTTACAACTTACCCAGCAATGGGTCGATTCTCTTGAAGATCATACTCCGCTCGATTATATGACTTTTACGCACCGCGGAGGACGGCAAGTAACGGTATCCATCTGGTTATAAAGTGAAATCGAAATCTCCTGCAAAACGAACCATTGATCGTGACATTCCGGTCCGACCATCCGTGCTTGTCCACCATATTACCTTCAACGAGTATCTCGCGGATCGAGGAATTTCCGATCGTTGGGTTCAATTACTCTCGGGATTCATTTCCAACTTACCGTCATGGCATCGGCGTCGGCGTCCAACCACCAGCATCCTCCGACAAGTTCGGCTGCCGATTTTCCAAATCAGACATCACATACCTCCCATGTTGACTCGAGCGGACATCTAGCGACTAGCGGTTACGCGCCGAATGACAATCAGCTGGCTGGATTGGTGGAAGCTGCTACAGCTGCGGCCGGGCAGGACGTCTCGGAATGGGCGGCGGCGGCGGCAGTGGCTGCGGCAGCCGGCGCGGCCGGCCATCAGCATCACCTGGACAGCTATGGGCCGGAAATTCACATTGAAGATGATGGTTTTGGAGACGCCAGCTTTGCAGCGGGAATGGGCACGGGAAGGCAGCTGCGGGGGTCGACATCCGCTTCGGTCAATGAGCAAGGCCCATCGCCGGGCTTGTCGAGATCGGTCTCCAAGAAACGGAAAAGAGGGGAAGATGCGCTCGATCCAGCGTTAACAGCGTCCGGCGCTGGGGTTGGTCTTTCGGGTGGTCCGCAGCAGCAGCAGCAGCAGCAGCAGCAACATCACCTTCATCCCCAGCCTCACCATTATGACGGTGATAGCTTGGACATCAGATCAGTCCCGCCCCAGTCTCTGTCGGACGCTCGCGCCGCTGGCGTGCATTCTGCCGCTGCGCTGTTTCGCCAACCATCTACTAACAAGAAACACACTCGCCCGCCCATGTCAAAACTCTTTACCTCTCTAGAATTGTCGCCAGAGAACTTCTTACACTTACAGGCTGCTGCCAAAGCATATATGCTGGACCCTAAACATCCAGAGAGACGAGATTGCGTCGGTCAGCGGGGCAAAGGCGACACCGAGATGGTCAAATTGAGGCTATGGAACTGCGTGCGTCATTTCTTGGAGATTGAAGGCAACGGAGAACGCTTTTTTGGGGAGAATGTGACCAACGAAGGCATGGGTCCCAGGACCTACGTCTGGCCGCGGGATCAGCAAAAGATCATCTCATTAGTGATCCCTCTGCTGAGAAGAATGGTCACCAATGAACGCCAGAGACAATATGCGGTTGAGACGAGAAAAGGAGGCGGTGCTGAGGAGCGCAGGAGGAGAAAGACAAACGAAAGCTTTCCGAACTTCAGCAATAGCGCAAGTCCTCCGAAGTTTCCTTCGGATGGACAACTGCAGATGCATTCTCAGCATCATATCCCGGACGAGTATGCCTCAGCACCCGTTTCGATGCAACCGCAACATCACATGGACTCAGCATCGCAGAACGTGGAGCTTGGCTTGACGGACCTGTTCCTGGACGGCTATCCCAATGACTGGGGGGTGATCAACAAGTCATATGATATATACAATCATGACTTTGAACTCGATAATTTGTGGTACCTTTCAGGTCTTCAGCAGCCAGATTGGCGCGGATTAGTTGCTGCAGTCGACAGTCACTACCAGGTCTATCATGAAGGAGGTTTCAACTGTCCCACTCCCTGCGAAGATCAGAATGTGAATCGCATTCTGAATTCGAATGTCACCTCAGATCTTCGCTGGCGAATCGGCGGAAATCACAACCGGACCGCCAAGAATGAATTGTAAGTGTTTCGCTCATGGCATTCAAATCATCAATTACCCACTGACAACCCCACAGCGCAAGCAGTATCACTCGTGACATCTCGCGAATCATTCGCGACAATCTTGCAGCCAAGCAGGGCGCTCATGAGCCCACGCACGAGCATGAACAACTGCCGCAACACCAGCTCTTCCCGCCACTATACTTCCCTACGATGCCGGGAAACACAAATACCAACAATGCCAACACACATACGGCCGTCCCTATTACCCCAACACCTGTCTCTCTTCATATCAACATCTTACAGAACGGGAAGCGTATCCTCCCTCGCCTGGATATACCTGCTGGGCAGTGTCCTGATCTGGAAACTCTCAAGCAGCTCATCTTACGCCGATTTGCTGGCCAATTACCGGGTGTCACATCCGACTCGATGATGGATGGGACAGCGAATTCCTGGAATCCCTCGTTGGGGTGGAGGTACAAAGCCTGGTTACCGGATGGATTAACCATGGTGCAGAACGACGGCGAATGGACAATGGCTCTTCTCTCCGCTGGGAATGTCGACTGGATGGAAGGCGATTTGAGGGTCCTTGTCGAACTCGAAAGCTCCTAGATAGGCCGACATTGACAACAGCTATCTACACCTCGCTTCTCCTCGAGTGCCATCTTGGGATGTTTCCTGATATTCATTTTGCACGCCCTATTTGAAGTTGTTTCGAGTACGAAAATTGTCTTTCGGTGGGCTGGGGTTTTCTTTGGTGTCTGAGTTTCAATCGTTCGCTGTGGTTCATCATTAGCTTCATACCCTTGCATGTTGGCGCATGACTTATGACTATGGACATACAAATGTTTCTTTGCTTTCCGAGAGTGGCTTTCTATACAGACAAATGGCTTGTTTCCTACAGCTAGAGGGATCATGCCCTATCACGAATAGGCATTAGCACACACACAATACGAGACCATAGAAGAACGCATGTCCCTTGTAGTAAGACTTCCTTTCCCGGATTCATGCTTGTTGAACCAGAGCCCCATAGTGGAGGCGACATTTGAATCTAGACATTGGCCGTCGCCCTAGCTGCCGTTGGGCCGTACCATATAAGCTAGAGAGCGAAAAGGTAATTAAATGTATAAGCCTGCAAAACACTATATTATCATCATCCAAGCCAACCAGCTCACACATGCAGTCCTGCAATATCTTTCATAAATCTTAATATAGAATGCAAATATACCGGCTAATGTCAGCGATCGCTTCTATGGTCTAGTGGTTATGACTCCGGATTTTGAGCAATCTGCGCCGAAGTCTTCCGGCAACCCCGGTTCGAATCCGGGTAGGAGCTTTGTTTCCTTTTTTTTTGTCTTTTTGCCCTTTTTATTGCTGTCTCTGCCTCCCTCATATGCGAGGTGCTTGTTGAGAGGTTTGGCTCTTTTTTTTTTTTTTTTTTTTAATTTTTTCTCTCCGCGGGCTGTAGTTGGTGTAGGACCTGATCCTTTGGGTTCTGTCCGCCATATTGTGCTTGTGGTTTGGGGATGTAACATATATTCTTCTGGGACAACCGATGGTTATCGTTGCAAATCAGAATATCAGTCCATCAGGGCAGATATACATGCACATAGGTAGGCCCCCAGAGGTAGTAAGGCGATATAAAAATAATACATTCCTACAATACGAAAAGTCTACATTATGGAGCGGACTTAAATGCGTTTTCATCTTCTCATGGACAGTTCTTAGACGTGTACGTATGGCTACTAAGTCAGCGACTGTCGCACTGGCCACCAGTGTAGCTGCTCCCCATACATGGACCTAATACTATTGACCTCCGGCAATGTAGCGAATCGAGAAGGTACAGAACCGCAAATCTAGCGACATCGTAGCAACATTAGCTTGCGGGGTCCAAGTCCCAACTCGAACAGGGGATAGCTAATCTCCGCTGCTGCAATATCCCAATGTCAGCAGGTCGAAGATGTTCGATGACTGAAAAAGGGGGGTTTTGCTCCATGAGCGCGAGTGGCAAGTCTGGTTCACAGACTCAACACATAGAAGTCGTGTCAGCATACCGTGTCTGCCCAGACTATGAAACCGCACAACATCCAATATGCAGAAAGCAAAGATATGCACCCTTTGATTCCGAATGGCAACTGGCAGCCGCATAGGATCATGTAATCCATAGGACATTGGCGCGGATTGTCTAATGCTTGCCTGGCGCCTGGCAGAACCGAGGTAGATAACAGACTAACGGCAAGGTGATGTTGGCTGTCGACTTGGAGAGACAAACTGAACTCAACCAGTAGCTGTGTTCACTGTTGAACCCTTTCAGCTGACCGTCGCTTCCACTGCCTCTAAGCGCGCTTTCTTGGCCCTTCGCTTCATTTCGCGTTTCGAGAGTGGTTTTTCGTTATCCTCCACAGCTGCTTCTGAGCCGAGTGACGCCTTCCTCTTCAGGTTGTCCCCGCTCCCCTGAGTCTCGGAAGCACCTTTCTTTTTAGAGACAGCTCCGTTCTGGACCGACGCCGGTTGTCCATGTCCAGTTTGTGGGGTCTTTTTCTGTCCTCCGTCGACGATGTCGATTATCCCGCGCCAGCTCGTGCGCTTCAATTTAGCCAATGCAACGACTTTTCTTGCTTCCTCGCAGATCGCCTCCTTGCCCCGCTCCTGTGATAGACCCCATACGCACGCCAGATTGATAACATCCCACGGGGCTCTTACACCCAGAGCTTTCCGGGCCTCACTTGACACGATGATACCTCTTCCGCGCGTGGCACGAATCAGTGACATGGCATTGCCGATGAGGTTCCGTCGAGCTTCAAGACCACTCCCAGTGACACCAGGCCCATAGCAGACCTCCAATCGAATCCCACGCGCAATGGCGGCGGAGAGCATCTTAAATTTGAAATAAAACGGAAGTCTGACGGAGAGATCCAAAGAGATCACGTCACATTCAAGACTTGTGCACGCATTCAGAAGCGCTTTCTCATTTGTAGGCCGAAGCGCGACCAAGTCATACACCTGAGCCAGACTGGCAAGACGCTGATTTTGGGCGGGGTCGGACAAAGTCAGGTTCACACGGGACAGAACTTTCACATTCTTCGGTACGTTCGCTGGAGTGGGAGGAGGAGTAGGGCTAGGTGGGAGTTTTCCGCTTATGGTCTGCGAGAGAGCAACGGTTGTGTAACCGACTGGTAGTCAGGTCAGTTCCTCAGGTGGTCATGATACAGCGTGCAGAATGCCGCCAAGGTCTTGTGCCGGGGAAGAGTGACGAACGTTCTTCAAGGAAGCTCAAAGTATGAGCGATCTCGGGATCATCCGAGGAGTAGGGGACGTTGAGATCGTAAAACATTGTATCAGGTTGAATACCAGGGCCGTACCCAATATCCCCGGACCTTTTTCTTCAAGGCAGACTCGCGCGCATCAGTGATCGAGCTGTCGAAACTGTCCGCAAAAGGAAATCTAGAAATCGCCCCGCATCAACAGTTGATCCGGCCCAATAACCGCACTAGCCTTATCGGGACAGACCTCCAGAGCATCATCACGTGCCTGTGAAGGCGGAGCGAATGGTCCTCGCTATTCTGATCATCACCATAATAATAATACATCTCCGTCTATCTGTACCTTGGGCGATAACACGGCTGCACTGTTTAGACAGGCTTTTATGCTCCTAGTCTTGCAGCTGCTGTTGTCTGTCCTTCATCTCAATTCCCTGTCGCGACGAATCTTTCGCCCCAGGTTGCTCCTCTACCCCGCCGCCGCATTTTATCTTCCATCGATTGTGGGCGCACTCGGAAGCTGCGAACCAGCCGCCATCACCATGGCGCGCGTCTATGCTGATGTCAACGACCATATGCCTCGGTCCTACTGGGACTATGATAGCGTGAACATCTCCTGGGGTGTCCTTGAGAATTACGAAGTCGTCCGCAAGATAGGTGAGTGAAGAGAGGGTGCCCCATCGCCCAACGGGGTTCTCGCACACCTCGAGGACGATATACCCTTTGTGCTCTCTGTGGTCGCAGTCGCTTACCACGTTCAACACAGGTCGCGGAAAGTACTCGGAAGTGTTCGAGGGTATCAATGTTGTCAACTATCAGAAGTGTGTCATCAAGGTCCTCAAGCCCGTCAAGAAGAAGAAGATCAAGCGTGAGATCAAAATTCTCCAGAATCTGGCAGGTGGCCCCAATGTGGTAGCTCTGTTGGACGTCGTTCGTGATAGCCAAAGCAAGACCCCTAGCTTGGTGTTTGAGTACGTCAACAATACGGACTTCCGGACTCTGTACCCTCGATTCACCGATTATGATGTCCGCTTCTACGTTTTCGAACTCCTCAAGGCTTTGGATTTCTGCCACAGCAAGGGCATCATGCACCGGGATGTCAAGCCTCACAATGTCATGATCGACCATGAGAAGCGGAAGGTGTGTCCTATTTGTCCCCTCAGATCTGGTTTAAATTGCGCTGAACAATATTGGGGTTTAGCTACGCCTGATTGACTGGGGTCTCGCCGAATTCTACCATAAGGGTACTGAGTACAACGTTCGCGTTGCCTCTCGCTACTTCAAGGGCCCCGAGCTGCTTGTTGATTTCCAAGAATACGACTATTCCCTGGATATGTGGTCGTTGGGAGCCATGTTCGCTTCCATGATCTTCCGCAAGGAGCCTTTCTTCCATGGACAAAGCAATTCCGACCAGCTGGTGAAGATTGCCAAGGTCCTGGGCACCGAGGAACTTTTCGAGTACTTGGACAAGTACGATATCGAACTGGACCCTCAGTACGATGAGATCCTGTCCCGCTATCCCCGGAAGCCCTGGCACTCTTTCATCAACGCAGACAACCAACGCTTCATCAGCGACGAAGCAATTGACTTCCTTGACAAACTCCTCCGATACGATCATGCTGTAAGTTTATCTGAAAACCTGTCCGTTGATCATTGCTGACCTCACTTGACAGGAACGACTTACTGCCCAGGAGGCCATGGCTCACCCTTACTTCGCTCCTGTCCGTGCGGCTGAGTCCCAGGCCGCCCGGAACAACGCCACGACTCAATCATGAACCCCGGACGTTGTTGGCATGACTACTTCTTCATACATTCAGGGATCTTGCAAATCCTAGCTCAGCACCAACTGTGATCAGTCGTCGTTCTTGAACATCGCCGACTTGGTTCGGAATTTTGAGTTTAATTTCTGGGTCCGGCGAGAGAGGGTGGTGATCATCAATCTACACACATGCAAAAGGGATACCACAGCGCTATCTCCTGGCTTCTTCTGGTATCGATTGACGCACCATTTGGTGCGATGAGTGATGGAATGCGGACATAACGATGATGACAGATGACGTACACCTAATGTGTTGGGTATAGAGCCCATCTCACCTCAATCCTCTTGGGTTACAGCGCACTCAATGTATCTGATGACTATTAAGAAGGGGATGTTATACTCCATTTGCCATGCTTTCCTCGATCTTTCCATGCGGTTTCCCCCTGTTTTGTCCCTCTCGTAATTGCCCGAGTGCTCCCAAACTATTTCATACTTTCGCCCTCTTATGTCTCTTGTTAATACATGTGTTTGATTGTGTCTGTCTGTCTCATGAAAAGGAGTGGGGGGGTTCTTTTATTTATGGGGGAGCTGAATTTGATCTGATGCCTTTTGTTGTTGTACTTGGCCGCGTTCCTTGCCTTAACACGTTCGACTTGTGATGGACTCGGTCCTGACCATCCACTCCGATGAGTGCCAAAAATTGCGTATTCCAATTCCCCCATCCATCGTCGTCGTGGAATGCCACGAAGCTCCCGTAAAGATAGTCCCAAGTCCATATCCCGTGGCATGGAGTATACATCACGTGACGTGACTCAGACTCGTGCGTTTTTTCTCCCTATCGATTAGGATCGAGGCTGTCGTCCGTCGAAACGAAAAGCACCGAAGATGCTCTTGAAATTGACCAAAAGGTCGTCCAACCGCGAATAGATCTTGTTCCTCCCCACGATCCTCCGTATCTGAAGCCATTGAAAAAAAACCCATCTCTGTTTGTTCTCCACCGCCGGAGTTCCTCGCTGAGCCCCGCAGTAACATCCTCTGATTCGTTCCGCTCTTCTGCTTTTGGGCCAGCGAAATTTAATTGCCCGCATTTCGCACAACCACCATACCTGCCCCTCCCCCTCGTTCTTTTTCCCGGTGTTCAAGATATTCATCCGGCGATTAGCGGCGCGCTCGGCGCCTTGGAGATTTTTGAGTCCTCCCATCTCTCAATCATACTCCAGAATGTCTCAACCGACTCCCTCTCCGAACCCAGGTGAGTACTGTGCCCGCTGTGACTCATGGTGCATCGACCGTGGAGGGAACCGCCGCCGGCTGACAGTATTGATGTGCTTTAGTGGGTGAACCAAAGGCTCCCATCGCGGACCCTGCCCCCCAGGCCGACGATCAGACCAGAAACCAGAGCGCCGATACCACTGCAAACAATGCAGAGGGTGCTCCCAAGGTCAAGAGCGAGAAAGAGTGTATGTCTCCAACGGACCGGATAGGGTCATATTCTGGTTTTCAGTTCGTTGCTGATGTTGGGATGTTGGCTTGGGTTAGTAGAACGAGAACGACGAAAGGCCGAGAAAGCGAAGAAGTTCGCCGAGAAGAAGGCTAAGGCTGCTGCGGCCAAACCTGCCGCCCCCAAGGCCGACAAGAAAGCCAACAAGATCGAGAAGGAGAAGACCACCGATGCCTACGACCCGAAGACCATCGAAACTGGCCGCTACCAATGGTGGGAAGAGCGTGATCTCTTTAAGCCTGAGTTCGGTCCCGACGGCAAGGTCAAGCCGGAGGGTTACTTTGTCATTCCGATCCCCCCTCCCAACGTGACGGGCTCCCTTCACATGGGCCATGCTCTCACCAATGCCCTCCAGGATACCATGATTCGTTGGGAGCGGATGAAGGGTAAGACCACGCTGTGGCTGCCCGGTATGGACCACGCCGGTATCTCCACCCAGAGTGTTGTCGAGAAGATGCTCTGGAAGCTAGAGAAGAAGACCCGTCACGATCTCGGCCGCGCAGAGTTAACCAAGAGAGTCTGGGCTTGGAAGGATCAGTACCATGCAAACATCAAGAACGCTTTGCAGAGAGTCGGTGGTTCTTTCGACTGGTCGCGCGAGGCTTTCACAATGGACCCCAACCTGTCGGCCGCTGTCACCGAAACTTTCGTCCGTCTCCACGAAGAGGGCATCATCTACCGTGCCAACCGTCTCGTGAACTGGTGTGTGGCTCTGAATACTTCCCTGTCCAATCTCGAGGTCGAGAACAAGGAAGTTGAAGGACGTACGCTGCTTGATGTGCCCGGCTACTCCAAGAAGGTCGAGTTCGGTGTCTTGACGCACTTCTATTATGAGATCGACGGGACTCAGGAGAAGATCGAGATTGCCACCACCCGTCCGGAAACTATGATCGGCGATACTGGTATTGCTGTCCACCCCGACGACAAGCGCTACCAGCACCTGATTGGCAAGTTTGCCCGTCATCCCTTCATCGATCGTCTGATGCCCATCGTTGCCGATACGGACGTCGACCCAGAGTTCGGTACTGGTGCCGTGAAGATCACTCCAGCCCATGACTTCAACGATTTCAACCGTGGGAAGGCCCACAACCTCGAGTTCATTTCCGTGCTGAACGATGATGGTACTTTCAACCAGAACGGCGGTCCCTTCGTCGGCATGAAGCGTTTCGATGCCCGTTACAAGGTTGTTGAGATGCTGAAGGAGAAGGGCTTATATGTGAAGTGGGAGAACAACCCCATGAAGATCCCTCGTTGCGCCAAGTCGAATGATGTTATTGAGCCTATCATGAAGCCCCAGTGGTGGATGAGGATGAAGGAATTGGCCGAACCTGCCATCAAGGCCGTTGAGGACGGTGAAATTGTCATCAAGCCTGAATCCGCCGAGAAGAACTACTTCCGCTGGATGAGAAATATCAATGACTGGTGTCTTTCCAGACAACTCTGGTGGGGTCATCAGGCTCCGGCCTACTTCGTTAAGATCGAGGGCGAGAATGGTGATGACAGTGATGGTAACCTGTGGGTCACTGGTCGCACCGAGGAGGAAGCTCACAAGAAGGCTGAGGCCAAATTCCCTGGCAAGACATTCTCTCTGGTCCGGGATCCCGATGTTCTCGACACTTGGTTCTCCGCTGGATTATGGCCCTTCTCTACACTGGGATGGCCTCGCAAGACCCATGACTTGGAGAACCTGTACCCTACATCCGTGCTTGAGACCGGCTGGGATATCCTGTTCTTCTGGGTATGCATATTCTATCCATATGGACGGCAAGCACTATACTAACAAGTATGCAGGTCGCACGTATGATCATGATGGGTATTAAGCTCACTGGCAAGGTCCCCTTCAAGGAGGTTTACTGCCACTCTCTGATCAGAGATTCGGAGGGTCGCAAGATGTCCAAGTCCCTGGGGAATGTCATTGATCCTCTCGACGTTATGGAGGGTATCGAACTTCAATCTCTTCACGACAAGCTGCTTGTCGGCAACCTTGCTGAGAAGGAGGTTGCAACTGCTACCAAGTACCAGAAGAAGGCCTTCCCTAAGGGCATCCCTGAGTGTGGTGCTGACGCTCTGCGCTTCGCCCTTGTTTCGTATACTACTGGTGGTAAGTTTCTAGTTCCTTGAGAAGGTCTAGCTGGGCTCGAGTGATGGAACCAACTAGTATCGTTCGGACAATTTATCGGTTCTCTAAACTAACTTTATGCAGGTGGCGACATCGCATTCGACGTCCAGGTCATTCATGGCTACCGTCGTTTCTGTAACAAGATCTACCAGGCCACCAAGTTCGTACTGGGCAAGCTCGGTGACGACTTCAAGCCTCTGCCTGCTCCTTCAAAGACTGGCCGCGAGTCTCTTTCTGAACGCTGGATCCTGCACAAGTTCAACATTGCCGCCAAGGAGGTGAACGAAGCTCTCGCACAGCGTGACTTCTCCGTCGCTGCTTCGACCATATACCAGTACTGGTACGCCCAGCTGTGTGATGTCTTCATCGAGAACTCGAAATACCTCTTGGCTCCTGAAGTGCCCGCCGAAGTGCAGGAATCCGCCAAGCAGACCTTGTACACTGCCCTCGAGGGCGCTCTGACTTTGATCCATCCCATCATGCCTTTCGTTACTGAGCATCTGTGGCAGCGTCTGCCTCGCAGACCTGATGATGAGACGATCTCGATCATGAAGGCTCGCTATCCTCAATATAACCCCGAGTTCAATGATGTCGAGGCCGAAACTGCCTACGAGCTCATTCTCAACACCTCCAAGGCCATCCGGTCGATTCTCGCCCAGTATGAGATCAAGACCAAGGGCGATATCATTATCCAGACCTACGACGCTGTCAGCTACAAAACTATCTCGGACGAGCTGACTAGCATCAAGTCCCTTGGTGGCAAGTTCCTCGGAGAACTGACCGTGGCTAGTCAGGACAACACCACCCCTCCTTCGGGCTGCGTTGTGGCTGCTGTTGGCGCCCAGGCCGCCGTGTATCTTCGCGTCTCGAAGGAGGTAGCTCTCGAGCAAGAAGAGAAGGCCAAGGCCAGCCTCGAGAGAGCCCGTGAGACTGTTCGCCGCCAACAGGCCCTTGTCAACGGCGCCGGCTGGAAGGAGAAGGTCAAGCCAGAGGTCTGTGAGCAGGAAGAGAGAAAACTCCGGGATGCCGAGAGCGAGGCTGCTCGTCTGGAGGAGCAAATCCGCGAATTCGAAAAGCTGCGTTTGGAGTAAATAATCTTCCCATAGGGTTAGCAAATAAATGTGTGATTCAGGTTTTAGATGTCGTTGATTCGTCGATTGTCGCTTTTTGTAAGGTAGTCACGTAGCACATATGCTCGGGGATGGATCCAAATAGATCCGACAAAGCTGTCCTGCAGGAGACCAGATGACGAACATTGAGAAGAAAGATTGATCAAGGCTCAGACCAGATATTTCATAGGATGCATTCTGGACGTGGTTGTTAGTTCTTTACATTTTGTCTTTGAACATCTCCAGTTAAGCTTATCGATAAGCAGCGCCAAGACAATTCCGCCAAAACTTTTCGCTCCGCTTTTTTCTTTCTTTTCGACCAGACGAAGTCGGTGATCAGCGAACACACAAGTTATTGTCTTCAGAGCAACAGAGGCCAAAATGCTCAGAGAAGTGTAGGTTTACAATGTGATCGAATGGAGCAGCGTCTGACGAGACATCCTTGACAGAAAACCCAAGAATCCGCGCACAGCGCGCATTCTCAAGGCCCGTGAGCCTCAACTCGTCGAACCCCCCAAGAAAACACTTTTCATGCACGGCTCGAAATGCCCAACCGCCCTTAACACAGTGCTCAAGACTTTCCACTCATTGACGGTCCCCAACTCGGTGCTGTTCCACAAGAAGAATGAGAACATCCGCCCGTTCGAGAGCACCGAGAGCATCGAGTTCCTGGGCAACAAGAACGAGTGCGGCATCGTCGTCTTTGGAAGCAGCAGCAAGAAGAGACCCAACTGTCTGACTGTGGCGCGGATATTCAACACCAAGGTTCTGGATATGTGCGAGTTGATGCTTCTCCCCAGCCCAGACGGCGACTCAATTCCCGCCATGAACAACCTGAAGATGCAGATTGGGATCGGACTGCGGCCCATGCTGCTTTTCACCGGCAGTGCGTGGGAGGATTCCACCTCGACGGCACATGTCATGCTGAAGAGCATGTTTACGGATATGTTCAAGGGCGAGGAGTCGGATAAGATTGATGTCGAGGGTCTGCAGTACGTGTTGATGATCGCCGCCGAGGAACCTACCGACGGCCTGTCCCCTGTCGTTCACCTGCGGTGGTACAAACTCCGGACAAAGCGCAGTGGCCACAAGCTCCCCCGTGTCGAGCTGGACGAGATCGGCCCCAAGTTCGACTTTAAGGTCGGTCGTCTGCAGGAGGCTCCCGCGGATGCCCTGAAGGAGGCCATGAAGCAGGGCAAGAGGCCCAATGAGAATATGAAGACGAAGAAGAACATCACCATGGACACGATGGGTGATAAGATGGGTCGTGTGCACTTGGGCAAGCAGGATCTTTCTGGGCTGCAGACGAGGAAGATGAAGGGTTTGAAGCGTCGTGCTGGTGTCGAGTCTGACGAGGAGGATGCCGACATGATGGAGGTGGACGAGGTTTCAGAGGATGAGGGCCGCAAGAAGGCACGGACGGCATAGAGCCTTGTCGGATTGTCTGGCGATGTTTTTGACTCATGATACTTTGTCTATCTATCCCACATAAGGCGTTCAGGTGGTCTGGTTTTTCTGTCGAGTGTGTCAAGCAGATCGATCATTTTCTCCATAGTCACTATAGCTTAAAAGTATTCAACACATATCTATATCACTCTATCCAATTTCGCAAGCATACAGTCGGGTCGTGCGCTCTGGATCGTCTGGTCAATATCGGTTGTCATCTCGGAGCGAAATGCTTCTCCTACGAAATTCTTCCTCTCTACATCATCAGTCCCTTTTCCATTTTGTGTGCTTGTATGCATCCCCATTCCTCTCGACCACGTGACCATGACGTTCTTCGGCACGAGACTCACATGCCGAGGATCTTTGGCAGATTTGCGGATGCAGCTCTCCATTAAATCCCGTTCTCCCCACCCTTCGTCCTAGAACTGTACTCATGCATACCCGTACTTATACCTCATCAAGCTGCTCTTATCGAATATTCTTAAAGCCGTGATCCTTTCCATATCCCAAGTTCGTCACTCGACACCTGGTGTTCTCCGTCGGTAGACGTCCAACGAACCCGTCGCTACTCCGATCTACCTACCGAGGTCCCGAGACATCATGGATGCGCTCCTTGTATGTGTGATGCTTTACTGGGGACCTGTCAACCATCATTCTGATCGCTGTTTAGTCCCGCCTGGACGCCCTCGTCCTCAACCCCGAACTCGCTCCCCTGCTGTCGCTGGTCAAAGGTATCCGAAATGGCGTTGTTTATGGATCGAAAGTGCGATTCCCGCACGCTCTGGTGTATGTCTCCGCTACCTGCGAAATTATATGATCTTGCTGGGAATTGCAAGCTGATATGGGGGCGTTTGAAAACCGCAGGATGATCTTTCTTTTCCGCTCTGGAACGTAAGGCGACACCTCATCGACATGCCATCGACGCCGAACATACTGATTGCGCTCTAGATTCCGGGAAAAGGTCAAGCTCGTCCTCAAAGCAACCCGCCAGCATGCGCGCAATCTAGCCACGTTCGCGTTCATATATAAAGGCTCCATGCTTCTTCTGCGAAATATCAACCCGGCGGGTGTTGGAAAAGAAGGTCGCTATGATAGCTTCTTCGCCGGTCTATTGGGAGGATACGCTGTTTTTGGCCGGAAGAAGACAAGCATCACTCAACAGGTACGACTGCCTGTCGCGTCACATCTCTGATGGATGTTGAGCTAACAGCGATTGATTTTATAGATCGTGATCTATGTCTTTGCCCGTGTTCTCCTCGCTCTCGCCAAACTCTCCGTCGAACCGAACATGCATCCTCTCTCCTCGCTGATCACACCCGACTCGCGAGCGCAAATACAGGCGAATGCATGGCCCGTCTTTGCAAGTCTCAGCTGGGCGCTCGTCATGTACATCTTCCGCTGGCATCCAGAGACGCTTATGTCGAGTTTGAGGAGCAGCATGGTATACATGTAAGTCGCGACTGTGCCCTTTCCGGATGGCTCAATACTGATACTTTGCAGCTACCAAGACTCGGACCACTGGGACTCATTCCGCAACTTCTTGATACACAACAAATAGACGGACTAGGGTTTGAATTACATACTCACCCTACAGTCGAACAACGGGTTCATACCTTTCACCACGGCGTACACATGGCGTATAGAATGGGTGCATTGTCTCTTTTTTCACTTCTTGTTCATTTTGACCCTGTATTATGTCTCATTTCACCAGTTGGGCTCGGGTTCATGGAACATGGCCTCAACTACGATGGCATGCATAGTCGATGTGAGCTGCTGAATCTCAAGGCAACCCTACCGCAGGCGGATAGGGGAAATGATGTTCATGAATCACTGGATAGATGACTTTCATCCCAGGTAGTTCTACAGGTGTCGTATACCTAGGGCTATCTCACATTATGGATAGAGCTGGCCAGACTGTTTATGAGCGAGATCCGTATCCTGAAATTGTTATGAACTGATGGGAACTAAGCCACATAGAATGCACACAAAGCCTTTATCCCTTTTGGTGTTTGTACTATTGATCTCTCACACATTCAGGTCGATAGTACTCCATAGATATTTAGATCACGTGGGCTTCCTACTCCTAGTCTTACCCACTCTATTGTCTGTGTCAACCACAATAACGCCTCTCCGTCTCTTCATCTATATACCCAGTCATACAAAATCAGCAGCCCTCCTAGACACGCCCTTGATTCAGCCAGGATACGACCCACCCGTGTCAAGATGTCTTCCACCGTTTTCCCAGGCAATAGCGTGGACCCCGATCCAAACGGGGATGTGACTCTTTTGGTGTCACTGCCACAAGTCTCTGCATTATTCGGGGCCTCGCATGAGATGACTGTAAAATATCGAGCCTCCTCCAAACACTTGAGCCTAGCTTCACGTTACTTCGAGAAACGGTTGAAAGCAGAATGGGCGGAGGGTAAGGCATTGCAAAGTGATGGCCACGTTGAGATGAAAATCCCAGAAACTGATCCACAAGTCTTCTTGATCTTGCTGAATCTGATGCATTGCCGCACAAAAAGAGTCCCTACCACAGTGACCTTCGACGAGCTGACCAAACTTGCTATTCTGGTGGATTATTACCAGTGTCATGAAATCTTGGGACTATATCCGCAGCACTGGCTGCAGCCCTGGAGAGGACAGACCCCAACCACGTATAGAGATGAAATTGTTAAGTGGATATTTTCAGGACGCATCCCTTTTTAGTTGCGCTACGTCCATTGCAATACGCCAGAGCAAAGGCGCCATCAACACGCTGAATCTTCCTATCCCAGCATCCGTCACAAGTGAGTTGAGCTGAGCCAAAATGCGAGATATTGCTACTTATATTGCTAGATGGAATCGATGCACAGCGGAAAGCGGCGCTGTTCAAGTTACTTGGTGCCGTAAAAACACGGCGAGACCAACTCGAAAATGACAAAATTATCTGCTCCTTCGATTGCGACGCGCTCAAATTGGGAGTCATAATAAAGGAGATGGCGAGATACAACCTCCCTTGGTGTTTGGATGGATCTGAGTACAAAGGACTCTCACTAGTAGACGTTGCTGAGAAACTAGCCAAGTTTTCTCAGCCGAAGTGCCTCAGCGACAGATTCGGCGGCCCTTCTGCATGTATGCATCGCGAATCCCAAGTGACCGCAGAACTCGACGCATTCCGAACCAAACTACAAGCACTGACGCTAATACCTCTGCCTTTGTAAGAGAAGCGACTTGGGGAGTTGCAAGATGCACCAAGGAAGAAATTGAACTCATGCCCTTCTGGCCTTACGGCTACTTGATTGGAAGACCGATCCACAATCAGTAAAGATGTCGCACCAAGGACAGTGCAAGACCCATGCCGCGGCTGCTGGCAAATCTGAAGCCATTCTTGTCTTCTAGCAGCCATCCAAGATATGGTAACGATGCACATTCTTCTATCGAATGGCTGAAACCCATACTCGCTTGTCGATTGCTGCATCTCGCCTAGAGACCCGTCTCTCACTCGAAGTTGTATGTCTGGATTTGATAACCACTATGGCCTAATTAGTCTGTGATTGCCCATCAATCGCCAATAAGGAATAGCAAGATTCTAATCAAACAGCGGATAAGCATTCTCATAGAGTGTTCGTGAAGTCAAAAATCTTCAACTACATTGCGCAATATCATACCTGAGGGCCCATCTTCTGGCAACTTGTTCCGCAGTGGCATATAATGATGAGCCGTGCCATAGAGATGCCAATTTCTCTTCCATACCATGAAACGCAATACCATTCGTACCAGGAAGAGAAGTTTGCATAAGACTCCTTCACGATCAAGCTGTGTGCCACTGCAAGTTTGGGCCTCCCGAATATCTTGACCGTGAGCCACCCGCCTTCTTGCGATCCTTTCTATCTGGAGACATGTTCCCTGGCCCTGAGATAGGTAAACAGAGTATCCAAGAATTTTTGACCTTGGAAGTGGTTTGGATGAGCTACGGCCCACGTACTGCTACCTGGATCAACTCTGGTCCTCATATCGAGATCTATTCAAGCTGCGACTATGTGTGATCGTTTGCCAACAAGCACGCAAATCTATTTGATCCATTGACCAGCGAGAGCAGATAAGTAATTCTCTAAGTTTACAACTTGCTCCTCGGCTCAATCAGCTTCTCCACCTCTGCAAACTGATAGTAGAAATCCAAACTCTGCGGGTTGAGCAAAGTCCCCGACGGCTTGATCTTCTTGCCAGATACGATCTGTTTCACAGGTAGCTCGACCTTTTTCAGATTCACCGTCGTCTACAGATGTAATAGTCAGTAAAATGACATACTCGAAATCCCCAGGGGATATCCCACGTACCGGAATCTCAGGTGTCTGGAAGATGTACTTGGGTACATGCCGAGCACTCAATGCCTTCCGGATTGCCTCTTTCACCCGTGAGACAAGGAGTGGTGTGAACTCGAACCCGGGCCGCATGAGCAGGAACATCATCACTGACTCGTCGGCGTCTGTTGGCCGTCTCTGGCCCACGCAGATGGAGTCCACTATCTCGGTTGAGAATTGCGTATCGATCACGTTATAGATCTCCGCGGAGCCGAAGCGGACGCCTGATGGATTAAGGACGCCGTCTGATCGGCCCAAGAAGAAGATTTGTTTTGTGGCGGGGTGGATGCTGATGAAGTCGCCGTGGGTCCAGACGTCTTTGATAAAAGGATTAGTGACTCGCAAATGATTGAGATAAGGCAGGCAAGAAACTTACTGTCGAACCGGCCAAAATACGAATCAAAGTACTTCTGAGGCCCATCGTCGCCCAAGAATTTGACTGGCATGGTTGGGAATGCGGCCGTGGCTACTAACTCCCCGGGTACACCGTCTGGAAGAGCAGTGCCTTTGACTCCAGTGGCACCCTCGTCCGCTTGGTCGAATACAGAAATGGGAATGCCGAGACCAGGGCCCTGACACCCGCCAACGTGCAAAGGTGTGATCGGGTTCCCCAAGCCAAAGCATGCGGCAAGGTCTGTTCCTCCGGAGATGTTCGCCAGCTGCGTGTGAGACAGGAAGCCCTCGTCGTAGAACCACTCGAACAAGGATTCAGAGAGGACCATGCCAGTACTGGTGACGACGCGCAGCGAACTCAGGTCCGCAACGTCCTTGGGTCGTACATTATTCTTTCGCAGCTCATGCAGATAGCGCGGTGATGTGCCAAAATGAGTTACCTTGTGCTCTCCGGCGAGTTCGATAAGAAACTTGACGTCAGGTAGGAAGGGGCTCCCATCATAAAGGACGGCTTTGGCGCCAAACAAAAGCCCTGATATCGCAGATAAATACATGATCCAGCCTGTGGTAGTGTATTGCAGTACTGTCGAGTCTGGTCCATGATCGCAATGCAGTCGACTCTCTTTGTAAGTATTCAGGATCACGCCGCCCACTCCGTGCACGATGGGTTTGGGCTTGCCAGTTGTTCCGGAGGAGTACACTACTAGGAACGGATCGCGGAATCCGACTCTAACGAACTCGAGTTGGTCTGATGTTGCCTTTTCAAGGAGGGCTGTCACGGGTTGCGTCTTGGGCACGCCACTCACATCAGCTGGCTGAGTTGGAAACCGGGGGATTGCGATGATAGCTTCGAACTCTGAGACTTCTCGAAGGCCTTCAACAATCCCCTTGATCTTGGGGCGAAGATCAACCCGCTTTCCATTGTAGATAGCAGAATCATCGACGAAGACAAACTTGGGCTTCAACTGGAGTAGTCGATCGAGAATTCCCTTAACCCCAGTGTCCGTGGAAGTGGACGAGAACAAGGCGCCAAGAGCAGTCGTTGCAAGGAGAACCACGAGAGTATCGACACTGTTACTTGCCACCGCGGCAACTCGGTCTCCCTTGACAACTCCAGCTGCTTTCAACGCTTGCACCATTCTTCCTGTCATTTTTCTGAGTTGGCCCCAGGTGACGTTGGAAGAGGGCTCGGAGCCGCCCTCTCTCATCTGTGTTAAAGCGATTTTGGTGTCCTCTTTGTCTGTTGTCGTGATCTTGGGATGACCAGTGCTTGAAGGGGTTGTTGAGAAGAGCATGTTCTCCGCGAAGTTCAGTCGAGCACCCTCAAACCAGGAGGGGACGCTATCGATGCGAGCCGATTCATCAACAACAGTACTGTAAGACCCTTCTGAGATAATAGGGAAGTAGTTCCAGCAGAAGTCCCAGAAGGCTGCCCGGTTCTTGGTAGACCACAAGAAGAGAGAATGATAGTCCTAAGTATACGTTAGAAGGAAGAGCTCCTCGATACGAGATTCGCACTACGTACAGGGAGTGTGACTCCTTTTTCTTCTTCTAACTTCGTCTTAAATGTCCACATCTGAGTGGAACGTGGGCTGGGATGTTCCCAGAGCTTCCTGGGCACATCGGCTGTTGTTGAAGCCATTGCGCTAGTATGTAGCCTGGGGAATGTTCGGATCGACCGCACGATTCAATTGCGACGATGTGGTTAAAGATTTGATAGAAGACGCGATGCCGAAGACGATTCTCCTCTGCTTTATAGTAAGGAGCAAGGCTCGAAGCTAGCTGACATATCTCTGGGTATCTCGATGCAAGAGCAACTGGCCTCGGCTATTCTTGATGCGAATCGGTTGTTGCGGAAAAGGCGGCAATGCGGGGAAGACGAAAGGAGATCTGGAGTATTTTGAGTCTTGGAGACCTCGAGAATTGCTTTGAATATTTGATACTTTGATTAGCTTGCAGCGGCCCCTAGCATGATTCGCCAGAAGTCGATGGTTCACAGGCAGTCAGTGGTGGGACATCTGATGCTGATCGATGGGGGAGAGGGTGAGCTCCAAACGTCTGCATAGAGGCACTGCATAGGATACAAAGCAGTATCATGGCTGACCGGCCAATAATGAGTGCAGGAGCCATCATTCTGCTATATCTATCACCACAGTGATGTTGGTTGCTATACAGAGTACGTTGAGTAGTTGGCCTGACTTGTTAAATGTTAGGTTAGTTGATGGACCACTCGAGTGCTATTGCCTCGCATATGAGGCAAATAACGATGACTGTCGATATATGGACAAAGTAGAATACTGAACTTGAAAGTACGATGAACTGGAATCATCTTCGGTTTCATTGTCCTCTTAATAATAATAATAGCTAGATGAATCGGTCATCGATACGGAGTAGTAGAGACAGAATAATCTCAAGTTGACCCAGTTCGGGCTCTTCCGAAGCTGCTTTTTAGCCGGTGTCACTGACGGTGAGTGCCGACAACTTCATCTTTCAACCACTGCTCTTATGTATTAATCCAGCATCGCACGCTGATTCTGCAAAGGCTAGTCCTTGAGATCAATACTCCAATTCAAGGAACACCTTTTTTTTCCCCCCAAAAGAACAATTCACCATGGCTCCCACCCTCACCTCCCATCCAACCCTGCGCATCATCCCCGAACCACTCACCCCAGAAGCCTTCGCTCCCTTCGGCACCGCCATTCGCTGTCCCCTACCACGCGATCTCGCCTCAGCGCCTTCCATCGCCTCGCTTCCTCCTCATGATCCCACCCCAGTCGTTGCAAACCAATCTTCTGCCCTCAAGTACAGCCCCATCTCCCCGCTCCTCGACCGCTACCCAGGCCAATGTCCCAGCGGCCGCCCCTCCGCCGCTCGCATGAGCATGTTCTCCTGCTTCCCACGCAAGCTGCGCAGCGCACCGTCCCCCGGATCTAAGGACAGCGAGACCAGCAGCGTCTTCGACGTCCGCATCCTCGAGCGCCACCCCTTCACCACCCAGACCTTCACCCCCCTCGATCTGTCCAGCCAGACCCGCGTGGCCGATGCAGACGAACCGTATTACCTTGTTGTCGTGGCGCCGACGCTGAAGGGCCAGACAGCGACGGCGGAGACCCCCGCGGGGACTGTGACTATCCGTGATCCTCCGGATTTGGAGAATGTCAAGGCGTTTGTGGCTCGCGGGGGCCAGGCGGTGACGTATGGGGTTGGAACGTGGCATGCGCCGATGGTGGTGCTGGGCTCGCGACGGGTCGATTTCGTCGTCGTGCAGTTTGCCAATGGGGTGGATGATGAGGATGTGCAGGAGGCTGCGTTTGGGGAGGGGATTGTGGTTGAGCTGGGCAAGGGGGGTGCTCAGCGCCGCGCGGGGGGTGGTTCGAAGCTCTAATTTGAAGCTCTAATCACGCAGAGCATATTGTCGTCATGTTTGATACTTTTTGGAAGAAAACTGTACATAGACTGGCTAATCTTATGAATGGACGATGAATTACAACTAGATGGGTATCTCGAACGAAACCACTATGGACAGAAACATGACACATATACATCCAGAGGAGGAAGGGAAGTCCTACGCGACTGCTAATGCAGCTGGGTGTCCGCCGACCTCGGAACATGATGGGTTGACATCCTTGCTAAGCGTCTGCCGCACGCGATGGGCCATTTCCAAAGTCTCCTTTGGCAACCCTGCTAGCTGCGCGACTTTCAACGCATGAGAATCCCGGTTGACCCCCTTCCGTAGTCGATGGACAAACGAAAACGACCCCGAGGCGCTTTCTTTTACGTCCGTACAGTACCGCCCCAGAGCCTCGAAGTCATGCGTCATGTCCGCGAGAGCGTGGAAGTGCGTTGCGAACAATGTCCGGCAGTTGTTACGGTAGTGCAGATGGTGCAGGCAGGCGAAGCTGACTGCGGTTCCGTCTTCCGGTGTCGTCCCACGACCAACCTCGTCCATGATGACAAACGAGCGCGCTGTCGCCTGCTTGAGGATTGTCGCCGTCTCCAACATTTCCACCATGAAGGTCGACTGATCTCGAAAAAGATCATCAGCGGCACCAATGCGACTGAAAATCTGATCGACAACGCCAATCTCTGCGTACTCTGCAGGCACAAACGACCCGACCTGTGCGAGAATAGTGATCAAGGCATTTTGCCGCAGGAATGTGCTTTTGCCTGCCATGTTCGGGCCAGTGATGAGCCAGATCCGATCTGGTTCCCCCAAGAAACAGTCGTTGCTGACAAACCGCCGGCCCTGCTCCTCCAGCCCAAGTTTGACGGTTGGGTGTCTGCCGCCGATGATTCTGTGAGAAGTTCCGTTGGTGAGAACGGGACGTACAAGGCGCTGTTCGTGGGCCAGCGTGGCGAAGGAACATCCAACATCTAATTCGTCCATCACGGCTGCATTGCGCCTGATCTTCACCAGATTCAGAATCACATCTCGGCGGAGATCCTCAAAAATCGCTTGCTCTTCTTGGCGAATCTGCATTTTCGCCCGGTCCAAACGACCGCCCAATTCTGTCCATGCCGGAAGATAAAACGACCTTGTTGACTTTGTGGAAGACACGTTCCGCGTCACGCCCAGCTCCTCCAAGGATTTCTGAGATATCTTGACTCCCTTGACATGACAGATGTGTCCCAGGCCAGGAGTCCACTTAAGGGAAAGGGCAGAGGACCCTACAGCATCGCGCAGACGTTGAGTTAAAGTTGACTTCTCATGATGCAATTTTTCCAAAGCCTGGTGAAGTCGAGAGAGAGCCGGGCTTGCATCCCGTTTCATAATCCATGTGTCAAGAGTTTCCTCGGTCGTTGCCTTCAATTGATCGTTACTCTTAGCTCTCACTTTCTTCGGTAACGTCTCAATCTCCCCCGGAAAGCCCTCATTGATGGTCACCTCCTGCGCGAGGACCGCTGCCTCAGCGACTGTATCATCCTCGAGGCGCTGCTTCTGCAAAAGACCTTCTTCGTCTATGGCAGCCGAGATTCGGTCGGCCAGCAGACTAGGTCCGTCCAAATGGAGTCGAGCGACCATGGCCAAAAGAGTCTGCTTGGCATCAACAGAACTCGAAGGAGGCGGGCCCTCCACGCCACCGTTATCCCGGTTGGACAAAACCCTTTTGATCTCTTCGGACGCCTGGATAGCCTTGGCCAGACAAATCAGGTCATCCGGATCTCCTCTCCCCAAAGTAAACTTCTGGACCAAGCGCTGGGAATCATAACTTCGCTTCAAGAGTTGTACTATGCCGTCGCGGAGGTCTCCATCGTCGAGAAAGACTGACACAAGGTCGAGTCGTTCATTGATCATCTGTAACGAGGTAGAGGGGGAGGCTAGAAACAAGGCTCAATAAGCTGCTGCCAGGATTTCGGATTGATCAGGGGATTCACACATACTAAGTCGATCCCTTAAAAGGCGAGCTCCGCTCTTCGTAGATGTTCTACGCACCGCATGAAGTAGACTACCTTTGCCAAACCCATCGCGAGCGGTTTCCAAGATCTCTAGGCCTCTGAGACTATTGCGGTCAATGCTCATCGATTCATCCAGATGTCGCCGACGAGGAGGTTGAAGCTTGATATTCGAACCCTGTAACTGAACTCGAATATATTCCAATAGACTGTAACCTGCGGCAACCTCCTCTTGCGTGAAAGGGTCAGAGGTTTGGCCCGCGAGTGGCGCCTCAAGCATAGGGCCCCATTGCGATATCGGCAAGATCTCTTTGGGAAATTGAAAGAATGTCATTAGACGATGGTCATGCCCAATCAGCAATTGCAGCTCTTGTCCAATTAGATCTTGGAGGTCCTGATCAACGAGTATCTCACGCGCACCGATGCGGGCAATCGCTGACGGAAGCATCTGAGGTGTAGTGGATTGCGTGAAGAAGTCACCTGTCGAAAGATCCGACCAGGACAAGCCTACGCGTTGAGACGTCGAGGGTAACACGTGCTGTTGTGCAGACAACTCATCTCTCTGTTGCTCTAATTGCGCCTTCAGAGCCGGCACATCCAGTTGGATCGCCAGTAGAAAGTTGTTCTCAGCAGGGTCCATGAATTTCTCATCAATAAGGGTACCCGGGGTGATAACCCTGGCTACCCTGCGATCGAATAGCAGGCCGCCCCGAGCTTTATCTTCGGCGCCGTTGGCAAATTCCTCGCTGATAGCCACGTATTTGTTCAAGTCTTGAACAAGTGTCTTCAGGAAGCGATCCAGTTGGAAGAATGGAAAGCCTGCCATTGAAACGGGCCCAGCGTTGGTCTTCTTAACGGCGAGCTTCAGATTCAGTAACGGAGCTAGCTCTTCGGCCTGCTCAAAGTAGAGCTGGAGTGAACGTCAGGAATCTATGCTCTCCTGAAATGGGAAGAATAACGTATGTCTAAAACTATATGAGCTGCTAGTCCGTTGCCCGTACCTCGTAAAACCCTCCTACTCTGGTCAAGATGACACAGTTCCCGAACTTCTGCATATTGTTCCGATGTCCCTGAACGACTGGTGGGTATCGGGGCACATCGTCCGTAGCATCGTCATACGGCTCGAGCTTTAAGACACCTTGAGGCAAGTCCTTGAGATTCACTGTTGTCCGCGTTTTTGCCCCTCTCTTGAGCTCGAGATGGGGCGTCTGTTTTGAGACTTCGACGCGTGACAATGGACGACGCACATGGTGACAGATCGTTCGGTGCACGAGGCAGCGATGGGGGACAAAAGTGCCATGGTCGGAATATCGAAGAATTCGCGACACATTTAAACGGGTCAATCGCAAGTCATTGATGCGCATGGTCCTAGGGACAAGCGTTGTTCTACTGCGGTGTTGAGCTGAAGGTGAAATGGCGCGGCGGAAGAAATACATAGAAATTGGGAAACCTCAGGTGTCACTACCTCGCCAAACCTTCCCGCTTTGCCACCGAAATCTGCTCCAGAGGAACTTCCCGACAACTTTCAACGCCTCTCTCTTCAACCATCCAAACCATTAAGGCAGCTTGCAACCCTGCAACAACGAGTAAGCGTGCCTGCTGCAGGAGGATGATCCAGGTTTGTGAAGCCTTTTAGGATCACACTTATCGTTGCAGAGTTCATTTCTTGTCGCAGGTGTTTCGACGCGCCGGCTGAATCTGAGCTCCACCGAGCCTAGACGACCTTCAAGAGTCGTCCCACGATCGTTTTTGTTTCGTCGAATCTGTGTTTGTTCTTGAGTTTATCTTCAAGATGGCGGACCAAAATATCTCTCAGTACAAGTACTCGGCGATGTCCAACCTGGTTCTCCAGGCGGACCGTCGTTTCATTTCTCGCACCAACGATGAAGCGACCGGCGACCCGGAATCCCTCGCTGGGCGCATTAGCATCCGGGAGATGGGCTCAAGGATGGCGCGCGATGATGCGCCAAAGACGAAGAAGACGACCGTTGCACCGACAGATATCGAACGGGGTGCGATTCGAGAGGGCGAGGATGTGCTAGCCCGTGAACAGAGGAAGCGTCGTGGCCAACAACAACTACGCGGCCAAGGCGTTCTTTCTGCCGCAGATGCACTCATAGAAGGGTTGAAATATCGCCCTCGTACACCTGCAACCCGAGCTACATACGATCTCATCCTTACAATGACCGCGAATCATCTGGGCGACGTTCCTCATGAAGTTGTTCGCAGTGCCGCCGATGCTGTACTGGAGTTGTTGAAGGATGAAGATATGAAGGATTTCGATAAGAAGAAGGAGATCGACGATTTACTTGGCAGCTCCATGAACCCCAAGGAATTCAATGAACTTGTTAATCTGGGCAAGAAGATTACGGATTACGATGCACAGGACGAGGATGAAGAGATGGAGGGCGGATTAGACGGCCAGGAAGACGCAGAGCTCGACGAGCGACAGGGTGTCGCCGTAGTCTTCGACGACGAAGACGAGGATGATGAACGGATGGGCACTGTTACCGAAGTACGAGATGAAGACGAATTGACAGATGACGAAGAACCCGACGTACAGGAAGACCCCGATATCGAAGCTGGAACGGCCGAGAAGGCGGATATCGACAGTTTTAAAGACGGAGAGGAGATGGTCATCGACGGAGGTCTGGAACAAGGCGACAAACGACAGAACAAGAGCCTGGTTGTCTCAGCACGACAAATCGACGCCTATTGGCTACAACGGCAAATCGGTTCTGCGTACGCTGACGCTCATATTCAGCAGGAGAAGGCTACACAAGCACTGGAAATTCTTGGTGGCAAAGCTGAAGACGGCACAGAGAAGCCTCTGCGAGACGTGGAGAACGATCTGATGGACCTGTTCGATTACGAGCATCCTGATCTTGTGGCCAAATTTGTCACAAACCGTGATAAGATTGTTTGGGTGACGCGTTGGCGCAGGGTCGCCGAGGACGCAGACGCTCGCCACCTCGTTGAAAGTGAAATGGTTGAGGCTGGCCACCGGGTTATTCTGGATGAGATCCGGGGCAAGGCTGTCCGTGATGAAGCGGCTGGCCGCCCAGAGAAGAAGATCAAGCTTGATCTGATGGATGTCGACGTACCTAGTGCCCCCGCTCCCGAACAGAAGCCTGCCGAGGGTGGCTTAGTCGGGGGCCTTCAGCCCAAGAGGCTGATCAATCTGGAGAATCTCGTCTTCCATCAGGGAAATCATCTTATGACCAATCCAAATGTCAAGTTACCCCAAGGTTCCACGAAACGCACGTTCAAGGGTTATGAAGAAATTCATGTACCGCCGCCTAAGCCGAGAAGGGACCCCGGCGAGAAGAATATCCCCACCACTGAATTGCCAGAGTGGGCTCGCATTGGCTTCGGTAGCTCAAAGGAGCTGAATCGTGTGCAGACTAAATGTTATCCCTCTGCCTTCCATGATGATGGAAATATGCTTGTGTGCGCTCCCACAGGGTCTGGAAAGACAAACGTAGCCATGCTCACCATTCTTCGTGAGATTGGCAAGAATCGCAATGAAGCTACAGGAGAGATTATGCTCGACGACTTTAAGATCGTCTATATCTCACCCCTGAAGGCTCTCGTACAGGAGCAAGTCGGAAACCTTGGTAAAAGGCTCGAACCCTACGGTATCCGGGTGGCTGAGTTGACTGGTGATCGTCAGCTTACAAAGCAACAGATTGCTGAGACTCAAGTTATTGTCACCACTCCTGAAAAGTTCGATGTCATTACGAGAAAGGCATCTGAGACAAGCTACACTAAACTTGTGCGCCTTGTGATCATTGATGAGATCCATCTCCTTCACGATGAGCGAGGGCCTGTGATTGAAAGCATTGTCAGCCGGACGATTCGCAAGGTGGAGCAGACCGGCGAGCCCGTCCGTATTGTCGGTCTCAGTGCAACCCTACCGAACTACCGCGATGTAGCAAGCTTCTTACGAGTTGATCCCAACAAGGGCTTGTTTCACTTCGACGGTTCTTACCGTCCATGTCCCTTGAAACAGGAATTCATCGGTGTCACAGATAAGAAGGCTATCAAGCAGCTGAAGACGATGAATGATATCTGTTATAATAAGGTCATGGAGCAGGTTGGACAGAAACGCAACCAGATGCTCATCTTCGTTCATTCCCGAAAGGAAACGGCGAAGACTGCTAAATACATCAGGGATAAGGCGCTTGAGATGGAGACCATTGGTCAAATTCTGCGTAGCGATGCTGCCAGCAGGGCGATTCTAGCGGAAGAAGCCGAGTCGGTCGACGACGCATCACTCAAAGATCTCTTGCCCTATGGTTTGGGTATTCATCATGCCGGCCTGAGTCTTGCAGATCGTGACTCCGTACAAGCGCTTTTCGCCGATGGCAGCATTCAAGTCCTTGTATGTACAGCAACTCTTGCTTGGGGTGTCAATCTTCCTGCGCACACAGTCATTATCAAGGGAACTCAAGTGTACTCCCCAGAGAAGGGTAGCTGGGTTGAACTTAGCCCTCAAGACGTTCTTCAGATGCTGGGTAGAGCTGGTCGACCTCAGTATGATACCTTTGGTGAGGGTATTATCATCACATCCCAAACTGAGATTCAATACTATCTTTCCCTCATGAATCAGCAATTGCCCATCGAAAGTCAGCTTGTGAGCAAACTTGCTGATAACATGAATGCCGAGATTGTTCTTGGAAATGTCCGCAATCGTGATGAAGGAGTCGAATGGTTGGGCTACACCTACCTTTTCGTCCGTATGCTTCGCTCGCCTGGGCTCTACAGCGTGGGTGCTGACTACGAGAACGATGATGCATTGGAACAAAAGCGGGTCGATCTCGTCCACTCGGCAGCTGTTATATTGGAAAGGGCGGGGCTTGTCAAATATGAGAAGAAGACTGGACGTCTGCAGTCTACTGAACTGGGGCGAATCGCATCCCATTACTACATTGGCCACAACTCCATGTTGACGTACGCCCAGCACATTCAGCCATCCATTACCACCATCGAACTCTTCCGAATCTTCGCTCTTAGCGATGAGTTCAAGTACATCCCTGTTCGGCAAGATGAAAAGCTCGAATTGGCTAAGCTGCTCGGGCGTGTGCCTGTTCCTGTCAAGGAGAGCATTGACGAGCCTCATTCGAAGATTAACGTCCTATTGCAGGCTTACATATCCAGACTGAAGCTGGAAGGTCTTGCTCTGATGGCGGATATGGCTTATGTTACTCAGTCTGCTGGTCGTATTCTTCGGGCCCTCTTTGAGATCTCGCTGAAGAAAGGCTGGTCTTCCGTGTCCAAGACTGCTCTTGACCTTTGCAAGATGGCTGAGCGACGAATGTGGCCAACCATGACGCCACTTCGCCAGTTCCCCAACTGCCCCAGAGATATTCTCCAGAAAGCGGAGAGGATTGACGTACCTTGGTCTAGCTATTTCGATCTCGATCCCCCACGCATGGGTGAGCTTCTTGGTATGCCAAAGGCTGGAAGAGTTGTGTGTGATCTCGTGTCCAAGTTCCCGCGTTTGGAAGTCCAGGCGCAAGTCCAGCCGGTAACTCGGTCATTGCTCCGAGTCGAGCTCACCATTACTCCCAACTTTGTCTGGGACGAAGCGCTGCATGGGACAGCACAGGACTTCTGGATCCTGGTTGAGGATTGCGATGGAGAAGAGATCCTCTTCCATGATCAATTCGTCCTTCGGAAAGATTACGCCCAAGCCGAGATGAATGAGCATTTGGTTGAATTTACAGTGCCCATAACTGAGCCCATGCCACCCAACTATTTCATCTCCCTCGTTTCTGATCGATGGATGCATTCGGAGACCAAAATCGCAGTGTCTTTCCAGAAACTCATTCTCCCCGAGCGGTTCCCTCCCCACACTCCTCTGTTGGATATGCAGCGGGCACCAGTCAAGGCTCTCAAGCGCGAAGAATACCAGAAGCTGTACCCCGACTGGCAGTTCTTTAACAAGATCCAAACTCAAACTTTCAAGTCTCTCTTCGATACAGACGATAATTTATTTCTTGGCGCTCCCACTGGCAGTGGCAAGACGGTTTGCGCCGAGCTTGCATTGCTTCGGCATTGGTCCAGCGGCGAAAGGGGCAGGGCTGTTTACGTTGCCCCCTTCCAGGAGTTGATTGATCAACGTCATGCAGATTGGGAAAAGAGATTGGGCCACCTTGGTGGTGGCAAGGCCATTGTTAAGCTGACAGGAGAGACTACTGCCGACCTGAAGTTGCTGGAGCAGGCTGATTTGGTCCTCGCCACTCCTACTCAGTGGGATGTTCTGTCTCGGCAATGGCAGAGACGTAAGAATGTGCAAACCGTTCAGCTGTTCATCGCAGATGAATTGCACATGCTTGGAGGTTTTGGTGGATATGTGTACGAGGCTGTAGTGTCCCGCATGCATTCGATTGCCCTCCAGCTTGAGAATGGTATGCGCATCATTGGATTAAGTGTGCCTCTTGCCAATGCCCGCGACATTGGTGAATGGGTTGGTGCTAGTAAACACACGATCTACAACTTCAGTCCTCATGCTCGTCCTGTGCCTTTGGAGCTCCATCTTCAATCCTTCACCATCCCTCATTTCCCCTCACTCATGCTGGCCATGGCTAAGCCGGCCTACCACTCGATTCTCCAATTGGCTCCCGATAAGCCTGCTCTCGTCTTCGTGCCTAGTCGCAAGCAGACCAGAGCGACGGCTATGGATCTTTTGGCCGCCTGTGCTGCTGACGACAACGAGGACCGATTCCTCCACGCCGACGTGAGCGAACTCGAACCGCTCCTCAGTCGCGTCCAGGAACGCACGCTGGCCGAGTCCCTTACTCACGGTATTGGCTATTATCACGAAGCCTTAAGCGCGACCGACAAGCGCATCGTCTCCCATCTGTTTACTATTGGCGCGATTCAAGTTCTTCTTGCTTCACGTGATGTTTGCTGGGAGTTGAATCTCACCGCGCATCTCGTGATTGTTATGGGTACGCAGTTCTTCGATGGTCGAGAACATCGGTATATCGATTATCCTATTAGCGAGATCCTGCAAATGTTTGGCAAGGCATCTCGTCCCCAGGAGGATAAGATCGGCCGAGGTGTTCTCATGGTGCCGGCTGTTAAGCGTGAGTATTACAAGAAGTTCCTCAACGAAGCTCTGCCCGTTGAAAGCCATCTGCAACTGTATCTCCACGACGCGTTTGTTACCGAGATCAGCACAAGAACGATTACCTCGACTCAAGATGCTGTGGACTGGATGACTTACACGTACTTCTACCGCCGCCTGCTTGCCAACCCCAGCTTCTACGGCCTGAGCGACGTCAGCCACGAAGGCCTTAGCACTTTCTTGTCTGAGTTGGTCGAACACACATTGAAGGAGCTGGCGGAAGCCAAGATCATCGATCTGGATGAGGAAGACGACAGCGTTTCGCCTCTCAATGCGGCCATGATTGGTGCTTACTACAACATTTCCTTCATCACCATGCAAACCTTCCTCCTCTCGCTCACTGCCCGCACAAAGCTCAAGGGTATCCTGGAGATCATCACCTCGGCTACGGAGTTCGAATCAATCCAAATGCGGCGACACGAAGACCACATTCTCCGCCGGGTGTACGACCGCGTGCCGGTCAAGATGTCTCAGCCTGCTTACGACTCACCGCACTTCAAGGCTTTCGTTCTGCTGCAGGCTCACTTTTCTCGTATGCAGTTGCCTATTGATCTGGCAAAGGATCAAGAAGTCATTGTCAGCAAGGTTCTCAACCTTCTCAGTGCTTGCGTCGATGTCCTTTCCTCCGAGGGTCACTTGAACGCAATGAATGCCATGGAAATGTCGCAAATGGTTGTTCAAGCCATGTGGGATCGGGACAGCCCTCTGAAGCAGATTCCTCACTTTGGCCCTGAAGCGATCAAGGTCGCCAACGAATACAACATCAACGACATCTTCGAATTCATGGAAGCAATGGATCCTTCCGAGAACAAGGACTACCCTACTTTGGTGAAGCGACTTGGTCTTAACAACACTCAGCTGGCACAGGCCGCGGCGTTTACGAACGAGAAGTACCCCAACCTTGATCTTGAGTTCGAGGCGGAGGACCCGGAGAATGTCACGTCTGGCGAGCCTGCCTACCTCAAGATTAAGATTGAAAGAGAAGTCGAGGAGGATGAGGAGCCCGACGCTACCGTGCACGCGCCGTTCTACCCCAACAAGAAGATGGAGAACTGGTGGCTGGTGGTGGGAGACGAGAAGACTAAGAGCTTGCTCGCCATCAAGCGGGTTACTATTGGTCGCAAATTGGAACTGCGCCTGGAGTACATCGTGCCCACACCTGGTGAGCATGAGCTGACGCTGTACCTCATGAGCGACAGCTACGTGGGTGTGGACCAAGCTCCCACGTTCAGCGTGACGGCAGCTGAAGGAATGGAGGAGGATGAGAGCGAGGAGGAAGAGGAGTAGAGGGTCTATCAAAATCTCTGGAAATTAGATGTTTCTGCAGTGTATCTACTAATCATTAAGAATTTCAGCTTTTTGTTCAATGTACAACATGTCAGTTGATGAAATTTATTCGAACAGCCCAGGGCCGTAGTAGAAGTGTAGAAGAGAGAGATGGATGGAGTGATAGTGACTAGGAATAAGCCAATAATGGAAGCTGGGCTGCGATAAGTTGATAACAGGCATCCATCTCCACCATTCTCCAACCTCCTCTCCTTCCATCATCTCCATCATCGTCATTCTACAGTTCTTCCCAAGATCTTCATCAGTTCATCTTGTCAATCTCTTTCATTCATCTTAGACATATCATTGTCAGTATATATTTTTGAGTTGATCCGACATTCGAGGACCAACTATCCCATCAATTCCACCGTTCTCGAGCTCTTGGCGTCGACCTTATCACGCTTGCTCTTATCGTTGTTGACCGGACATGACCATTCGATCAATGAAATTCACTCCGGAGTAAGTTTGCTACAATTTCTGGCAGCAGGCTGCTATTTGTTCTTCAGTTCATGTGCTAATTCACTCAGGGTCCTACTGGGAGCTCCCCGCCGCTCTGGGCCCATCCCCAACTCTGCAGGGACCCTCGCCGTTTACATACAAACCACCTACTCCTTTGACTCCCATTCCAAGACCAATGAAATCCGCGTGCTAGACATTGCCAGTGGTCGATCGGCATTGATCACGAATGACCCAGGTGCCAGCAGTCCCCAGTGGTTGGACAACAGCGACCAACTGGTGTGGCTGAAGAGCAAAGCGAATGGCAACACCAGCTTCATTATCGCAGACGCACGGGAGGTGGATAAGACGTACACGGCGGGTACGGTCCCTGGTCCCGTCTCGGACCTCAAAGTGACCGTGGTTGAACCGGGCAAGATCGGATTTGCTGTGACTGGAAAGGCCAACCCCGATGGGTCTCTGTACAACCCACATGACGCCAAGAAGCCTCTCAGTTCCGGCAAACTGTACACATCCCTTTTTGTACGGCACTGGGACTCGTGGATCGAGCACCAGAAGAACGCCATCTGGTATGGCTTGCTGCAGCGCACGCCGCTCGCCCCTGCTTCCCGGCAGGCGGGAAGATATTCCGTTTCTGGGCTGACGAACCTGATTTCAGTGTGTGGGTTGACTGGAGTTGAATCGCCTATCCCTCCCTTTGGGGGATCGGGCGACTTTGATATTAGTCCGTCTGCAATTGTGTTCGTGGCGAAAGACCCTAATGTGAACCCCGCAACACACACTTCTTGCTCGTGTTACTACTGCCCGATGTTTTCATGGACCGGCGTGGGGGTCCTAGAAGCGAAGGCATGCACGCTCAAGGGGCTCGAGGGGGCGATGTCGTCGCCTGTTCTCTCATCCGATGGTAGCTCAATTGCCCTCCTCACGATGCGCGAGGACGGCTACGAATCGGACAAGAACAGGATTTTGTACGTCCCTAACCCGTGGAGTGGTGAGATGATTGAGATCTTTGCCTCGTCAGATGGTGAAGGTAAATGGAATCTCAGCCCGTCGGGCCTGACCTTTGCGAAGGATGATCAGTCATTATTTGTTCAGGTTGAGGAGCAGGGCCGTGGCGTTTTGTACCAACTTCCTCTCAACGATGTGCGCCATAGCACGCCTGACGTGCTTAAGAAGCTCACACACTCGGGCTACGTCACTGACGTTTTTCCTTTGGCGGCAAGCCCGTCCAAGTTGTTACTCTCTAGCAACAACCTAGTAGACAATAGCTTGTGGACTATTATCGACACCGAGGAACCTTCAAACGTGAGGGTTGTTTCCTCCATCGGTCGAGGAGGTGCCGCCTTTGGGCTTTCTTCGACACAGGTGGATGAGATCTGGTTCCGGGGCGCTGAGGATCATCCCGTTCATGCCTGGGTGGTCAAACCATCCAACTTCAAGCCTGGCAACAAGTACCCGCTTGCTTATCTGATTCATGGAGGGCCGCAGGGAGCTTGGAATGATCAGTGGAGTACTCGCTGGAATCCCGCGGTATTTGCTGAGCAGGGTTACGTCGTCATTACACCTAACCCCAGGGGCAGCACTGGTTACGGACAACCGTTTACGGATGCAATCCGTGGGTCTTGGGGAGGCTTACCTTATGTTGACATTGAAAATGGTTTCAACTATATTGAGGAGAATCTGGATTACGTCGATACGACGAAGGCCGTTGCACTTGGGGCATCGTATGGCGGTTACATGATGAACTGGATTCAAGGGCATCCGCTCGGTCGCCGGTTCAAAGCCCTTGTAACGCACGATGGCGTATTCAGCATGACTTCTCAGCTTGCCAGCGAGGAGCAATACTTCCCCCTTCATGATCTTGAGGGCCCCATCTGGAAGGTCCCGGAAAACTGGGCCAAGTGGGATCCATCTCGCTTCACTGAGCATTGGCAGACCCCGCATCTGATCATTCACAACGAGCTCGATTACCGTTTGACGATAGCCGAGGGCCTCGCAGCATTCAATGTGCTGCAGATGAGAGGAGTCGACAGCGCTTTTCTGACCTTCCCAGACGAGAACCACTGGGTGTTGAACCCGGAGAACTCGCTCGTGTGGCACCAGACTGTTCTCAGCTGGATCAACAAGTATGTTGGGCTGCCTCCAGTCAGTGACCAGAATGGTGAAGCATTTACGGCAAATATGAAAACGCCATTGGAGAAGCGCGTAGCTGGTCTATCTCTTTCATAGGTTGGATTCTGCATCTCCAAGTGTTTCTGATTGCCTGGTGAGCCCCGTGGGGACGGGCACTAGACAATGACCTGTTGATATAGCCTTTAACTAGCCCTGAACATCGAATCAATATGGTTTCATCTTCCCTTTGTCGTTAGCTTGGATTGGAATGGTTGATTACAATGTTTATTGATTTTATTGTCTGGTCTATCGCCTTTGTCAGATTCGAAATGATGAACTCTCTCCTCGAGGATAAAGGCTGGGTTGGCGATGGTCACCCTGATGGCTTTCTGGAGGAACAAAGAAGTACTATTCTTGTCACAAGCGCGCATCTTCATGATGCCTTTATCGGACTCTGTCTATTGTCTCAGAATGCATGGCCCGCATCCTATATAACATAGTAATCTGCCTTCCAAATCGTACATTCTCGCCGCTCGCAAACCCATCTATTACAATCCCCCTTCTGCCTCTCCAAGATACATTGAATCTGTTCGATCTTCCCTACCATCAAAAGCGATCTCAAGATGGACAGCAACAATCCTTCCCTGCCCCGTATTGTGATTGATCTTACATCACCTCAATCCCCCCAGATCTCGTGCGCATTCTCACCATTGACTCCCACGACAGCAAACCGGCCACCAGGACAGTCGCAGATGGACTGGCACTCCAGTAACACCCATCCATCCTTCCACTCCGTCCTGCGCCATCTGCAGACACCGCTCTGCCCTCTCGTCTCCAGCACCACCGGCTTGCAGCACCCTGATTTCCCCAAGACCCTCCTCGCATACCACCTGTTAACCTCACAGCAGCTAGACGACCTCGCCCGTCATTTCCACCAGGTATGGCCTCCGCTGCCAGCAACGATCAGCTATCCGGTGATGATTCGCGCATGGATAGGTACCGAGGACGAGGACATGGTCGATCTACAAACGAAACGGCGGCGATTCGGTCACTTCATCGGGCTTCGGGGTTGCGAGTCTCCTACCGTGACTGAGCGCCGAGGGTCGCTATCCATTTCGATTCAAGAAACTGAGAAGACAGGCGAGGAGCTACTGGAATGGATGCAGCGGGAATGGGAGCAGAGTCTCTTACGGGCGCAGCAGGACGATCCGGACGCCATTCTACGGTGGAAAGCTGGGGGATGTTGAGAGGTCAGTAGTACTTACTCTGTCCCCTGCCAAACTCTCGATTTTTCCTTTTGTCGATAGATGATGCTGATTAGCGTGCCGGGTCTTTTGTTCCTTGGTTGGTCTTAGTATTTTATCGCCTGCTATTAGTTAATCCCTACTACGTATTGAACTTCAGCCTTTTGTTGTCTGTTTGAGTGTCGGCCTTCTGAAACAGCCCACATCCAGATCATCATGTCATCTCCTCGCATATTCCCGCGCAGCCAGACGATATCATGCTACAGAGCATTTTCTATGGAGTACCCCCACCTGAATCCAATCTCCAATCCATCTGAGACTCCGTTTAGGCTGATGGAATGGTGGGGTAATTCCTTGGGGGTTGATGTTTTAGCCTGAGTCGGATAAAACCGAGGTGCGCAGGGAGAGTGGTCTGGCTGTCTGCTATAAGAGACCACCGGAAAACAACGACAGATCATTTGGAAAAGGATACTCAAGAAAACAAAATCCTCCTTGTTATCCCTCATACGCGCTACCAAGGCATATCCATCCACCATGGCCAGCGAACCCCTCGTCAAGCACATCTACACCGCGGACCCCTCTGCCCACGTCTTCAACAACAAGCTATACATCTACCCGTCCCACGACCGCGAGACAGACATCAAGTTCAACGACAATGGCGACCAGTATGACATGAACGACTACCACGTCTTCTCCATGGAGACAGTCGGCGGGCCCGTGACCGACCACGGCGTCGTGCTCAAGGACTCCGACGTCCCCTGGGTCTCCAAGCAGCTCTGGGCCCCCGACGCCGCCACAAAGAACGGCAAGTACTACCTGTACTTCCCCGCGCGCGACCAGGAGGGTATCTTTCGCATCGGCGTTGCTGTCGGCGACAAGCCCGAGGGCCCCTTCACCGCCCAGCCTAACCCCATCCGCGGCAGCTACAGCATCGACCCGGCCACCTTCGTCGACGACGACGGCCAGGCGTACCTATACTTCGGCGGCATCTGGGGCGGCCAGCTGCAGTGCTGGTCCAAGTCCGACGCCGGCGAGTGGAAGTTTGATGCGTCGAAGACGGGCCCGCAGGAGCCCGCGGGCGAGGGCGTGCTGGCGCTGGCGCCGCGCGTCGCCCGTCTGACGGACGACATGCTCGAGTTCGACTCGGAGATCAAGGAGCTGCTGATCGTCGATCCAGAGGGCAAGCCGCTCGCCGCCGATGACCATGAGCGCCGCTTCTTCGAGGCCGCCTGGATGCACAAGTATAACGGCAAGTACTACTTCTCGTGGTCGACGGGCGACACCCACTATCTCGTCTATGCAACGGGCGACAGCCCCTTCGGCCCTTTCACTTACCGTGGACGAATCCTTGAGCCTGTCCTCGGCTGGACCACACACCACTCCATTGCCGAGTTTCAGGGCAAGTGGTATCTCTTCTACCATGACTGCTCGCTCTCCAACGGTGTGGACCACCTGCGCAGTGTGAAGATGCGGGAGATTGTCTATGATGCAGAGGGAAATATCCGGCTGGCAGAGGAGTGATTGGTTGCTGTCTCTTTTCTTTCACTAAAACTTGTATATAGATCCCCCCCCCTTTTATTTGCTTGGAAACGCGCTAGACACTCAATGATATGAATTTCATGGTCCCCCGGTTCTCATCTCACATATAGCCGGTATCTCCACAACGCATATTCGGGCAATGAACGGGGAAATCAGTGCCCCATGCCCCTCTCCTGGTTCTCTCGCACAATGCTCCAATACTTCTCCCGGCTGCGAGTTCGAAACATCTTCCCCCATTTGACCATCGCGAGAAACACGGCGGAGATAGCAAGTCCAACAAACGCGGCGGATATGAAGCAATTTTGGTACCCCATGTTTTGTACCCAGGGTGTAATCCTACATGCGAACCAATACCCCGTCAGCATCGTCACATCAGATGGCAGTCAAGAACTCAAACCTACCCATAACCAATGGCGAATGACATGGTATTGCGCACCAGCATCACGCTAGCCATCGCATCGCCACTCAGCTCCCTATAGCTGTCAACGAGATAATTCACGCTGAGCGTGACTCCACAGGCACTGGTGAGCGCAAGAAGACACATCCCAACCAATAGTCCGAACCAATGAATCCCATGGGCAGCACCAATGCCCCAGAGCAGCAAGGACCCGGGGACGAGTATCAGACATGCTAGAGATGGCCAAAGGCGCTGCTCAGCCTCCATCACGCCACCGTTGCGTCGTGCCAGCTTTATAGTTAGCCAGTCACTGAATCTACCTGTGAAAAGAGATCTAACGCATACTCATTAGAACTGGATCTAGGAATGGTCAACTGTTCATACTGGGCAACTCACCCGGCAATGACCCCCAAGCAGCATGCGATATAGCTTAGTCCAACCATTGATGAGCTGGCATGGTATTAGCTCGTTCCTTACTGGTCACGGCCTACACAGGCCTACCTGAAATTATACGGTGGCGATGCCAGGACGAGAGACGCCGTGGCGTTCAGCACGTTAAACCAAATCAGATATGAGCCGTAGGAGAATCTACTCGAATCAGCCTGAGAAAGCAATGAAGACCGGAATGACGTACCCCGCATAGAATATCACCGGCCAACTGAGATAATATAGCGTCTGATAGAACCGTCTGAACATGTTATTCCGGGTCTGGCGCGGCCCAATAATAGCCAACTTCTGAATGTAGGTCTTCTTGTTGTACACCACTCCACACTCGGCCTCTGAAGGCTGTGTAATGGAAGGCAGCCGCTTCTCCTGATCTTCATTCTCGGATGTCGTCTTTGATGACTCCATGGAATCGTTGGCACTAGTTGTTTCGTTATACACCCGCGTATAGTTTGTCTCCTCCATGAAGAAAAAGAGAAACACAATGGCAATCGCGCAGAATATGGCTGGCCAGTAGAAAACCCATTCCCAACCCTGGTACTGGGCGATGAATCCGCAAATTACCGGCGCAAAGTAGTTGCTACCAGCTAAGAAGAAGGCATACAGCCCCATATAGCTCCCTCGTTGATGCGTGAAATACTATAGGTCGTCAACGGCCGAGGCAATAACGAACTCAGCAATAAGGGCCACTCACCACATCCGTAACTGTCACTTCTGGAAGAGCTTCGATAGGAGCGAGGAAAAAGCCGGAAACGATGCTGCGACCAATCCATTCCCCGTTTGAACGGACGTAGGGACTAAATAGCAAAGAAAAAGCATGTTAGATACGGACGATCTGAGATCTAGTATGGATTATCCTGAGGCATACCCCCATACTAAGGTACACTGTTCATTGCCCCCAAATGGTTAGTCAAAAGCCTTGTACGGATTCATGGAGAGTTTTGCGTCACAGCATGTGTACGACTCACCAAGATCCCGGTCAGTGATAAAATATACGTCAACCGCTTCCCATATTGCAATGCGAAAGGCTGCCAGAACAGCAGGCCCCAGCCTGCAAGGAGGAATAAGAAACCTGTGCCTTGATTGAGAGTGTTGATCGCAACGCCAGTCTCCTTAGAAAGAGGAACAAGCACTGAATAAACAACCGAGGCCGAGATACCTGCGAAGAGAGTGTATCTGATAAGAAATGTATGAGCCGATGCACTTTGAATTCTGGCTTCGGTAGACTTACACACTGACACAAATCGTGGATAGTAGTTTTCGTCGTGGTGCCCAATTTAGAGGATCATCCGGATCATCAGAAGGTGCAGGCACAAGGACGATATCCCGGTCTCCTTCAGCATGACGAGTGGCCACAACATGATCCAAGTCCACTAAAGTGAACGTGCCAGGGATTGCATCTGTGTCCACCTGAGGTGCCATTATATGGCGGGAACGGTATCAAGAAGGTAGAGTACTTCCTAAGTTGTGTGCATATGACCTATAGATACCCTGTATCTTGTGGAGAGAATTGCTTTGGTCAACACGAAAACTCCAGCTGGATTGCGGATCAGACACATCCATGTGGCGACGTCGAGATATAAGTACTCGCTGCAGGATCAAGGACATTCTGTGACGGAGATAATCAAGGTTATCGGAGAACTCTCTTCTTGACAACCCACCAATGCCACCACAGGTATGTGATATCTGGGCTTCACCAGGACCCACGAAAGATAGATATCGACTGTCCCCAAACCTAATGTCAGACGCCTATAAACTGTTACACAAGCACTAGATGCATCGATGTACTTGCCGATAAGCCAGCCCGGAAATATTCCGCCATGATAGGACTCTATGGCATTGGATGCATGTTGCGTAGGGAGTCAAGCCACTTAACCAACTCTGAGTGATCTCTCCACGAGGACTTGCCGATCCAATGTTGGCGAATGGATTAGGACATCACCAGTCCCCGCAAATGTAGGGGACTACCTGTGAGGGGCCTGGACCAGTGTCGAGTGTCAAACAAAGGAAGGACAAGGTTGACGGCCGGCGGGTGACTTCACCAGTACCGCGTCCACATACCTAAAGAGCGGAATCTCTCCTTCTTGGAGAAAGCCAGGCGACAGCTAGACGAATGAAAAAGATGGCGCTGTATTGATGTAGTGCATTGGATAGAAGATCACTGATTGTTGGACTAAGCAAGAAGCTAGCTGTAGTCAGTGGGTGTGTATCTGTGTATCTATCTCAGTCTGAGTGTGGAGTAAGCAGCAGATAGATAGCAGGTGACTTCCCTCTTTCTTCCTCAGCCTTCACCTATCGCAGCTCACATCACCAGAATATCCATGCACCATTGGCCATGCTCGCCGGACTAGAGTCCAGTCTGAGTCCAAGAGCTCTTATCTCCGATGGTCTTGTCTTTTCTGGATAGTCCATACTACACTAATAGTGCTTCGGCTGGGGTTGATAATTCCCCGCACGAGACAGCCTTGTCTACTTAATCTACCGGCATTTGGTTTGCTCCAGCCAGTGGGTTGAGAGAAGGAATCCAAAGTAGCGCAGTCTACATGGAGAAAGTGAATCATGGGTAAGAAACGAGATATACGACTGAAACCGAGACCCGGTCACTACTGATCTATACCTTCTGGTCCGGAGAACACAAGTCCATCCCCAGCCCATGATCAGATATTTTGAGGTCACTGAGAGGACGTACCACCAATGCTGCTGAAGAATGCTGGGAAATCGCAGGTTCTGATCATATTTAAAGCCGCTTGAATGGCTGCCCAACTATCTCCTCACTGCATTTCCATAATGCCCTCCCGTTACGTTCTCCGGCAGGGAAATCTATCTTGGGCAATGGGAGGATTTCGCAATTATCCAGGAATGCACCGGAGCGATCTAGTGACGCATGATTTCTTAGCATGAATCGGTATACAGAGCTGGGTGGGAAATCTACTTGCCTGCAATATCCGGATCGAGGAGGGCTCTCAAAATGGTGGCAATGCCCTGCGAGACGGATTTGGGTACCTGCTGTAGAAGAATGGGGAGATCTTCTCCCTCTTCAATAACGCATCACCGTCAGAGGCACATCACATCGACCACAGGAGACGATTTGGTCAGGCACGCACGTTCTTTCTTCTTCTGAAGCCATGAAGCCACGTGCTCCAGGGAAGCAACAGTCTGAATACTTGGTTTGGTATCTTAAATCGTCAGCTCATGATGGAGACTTCAAGCCACTGGAGCACGAACTCCCCGGGTTCACAGCAAAGGTGCTCATCGAGCGACCAGCGCCAGAGATTGCCAGACACTTGACCATCTGGATATTGGCGAACGTCGATAACGCAAAAGCATCCAGCGGGTGATATGTTTTCCCATCCTGCGAGTGCCAGATATTGCGCAAGTTAACACTCTACAAGAACCGTGCCCACTTCAACTGTCAGAAAGCCACCTGCACACTTACCGAAAACGAGGGATCATCCCACTCTGGTAGCGAAGCTTCAGGCCGAATGCAAGAGCTGACCATTACCACCCTGGAGTCCGCTAGCATTAGATCCAGAAGCAGATTTATCAAAAGAAAATGACTCAGGTAGTTGTGCTGAAAGTGGGACTCCACCCCATCTGCAGTCTTCGCCCACGGTCCAGCGAACAGAGTAGGGAATCCCACGAGCCCGTCGATAGGAATATCGAGCTTCTTGATAGTATCCGCCGCTTTATGCACGGAAGCAAATCTGCCGCAATCAACTGAAACAAAAATCACTTTGACCTTGGGGTGTTTCTGATTGATCTCGTCGATCACCGGCTGCGCCACTACTTGCGACTTGCCCATCAGGATAATGGCTGCTGCATCTCCGCTTGCTAGGGCCTCGGCGGTTGCTACTGGTAATCCGTCCCGATCGACTCCGGTTAAGAGGACTTGTTTTCCGCAGGCAAGATTAGCTCAATTGATCTCTCGGTCAGGGGTTGCATATCCGGCGCACATGTTCTTTTCTTGATGCTCAAGGGAAAGGCCTTGACCACGTCTGCGCCTTTGGTGTCTGGTCCCCACTTGAGTCCCATCTTCTTTCGAGGCATGGATTGAGTGTGAAGGGAGACTGGGTGCGGTTGACTCCCTGATGGGCTGCGTGTATCTATGTTGTGCCGGGAAGGAATTTGGCTCCTGTTTTTCGTCATCATGAGCCCTCCCAAATTACGTAGATAAGACGTTCCGCGCAGGCAGTATACTGGGGAAGAACAATATACTCCCATCAAAGCCTAATTGAAATTCAAGACTGACTTTAGGCAAATAAAGGGAGCTCAATCGATTCATAGCCTGGGACGCAGTGACAATCCGCAGCGGGGACCTTATATAGGCGAAAGTAGAAGGGTGAGATAAATGGGGACTGACGTCCTCTCATCTATTGTCCCACTCTGGTTAACGGATAGGCAATAGAGAATTGATAAGACATGAATGGTGCTCAGTCTGAGGTGCTTTCAGAAGATGTGTCGAGTACTCGGTTCATAATCTACAAACGGGGTCACCGGAAACAACACAACGCAAGTAAGCTGCACAAAGATAGCTTGGTCGAGATAATATGGAAGATGCAAGGAATGGGGATATACAAGAAATCAATCATATGGTGGTATGGATTACACCTCTGCCGTCTACAGGGGATCACACAGGCTTTAGTCTGATCTCGAGGCGATGACATCGTCATCTGAGAGGTCCTGGATCACATCCTTCATGAGCTGAATGAGTTCGTCGATGTCGGGCCGGTCCGCAGGCTCAACTTGCAAGCATTTCCTGACAACCTCCTTGACGGGCTCGCTGATGGTGGCGGCGTTGTCTTTGCTCGCATCATCCCCGCCAGCTCTGCCTTTGCCCTTGGTGGCTCCAGGCTTCTCGTCGGGGAACCGCCAATCCCCGCCGAGGACACACATACTCAAGCTGCCGCCTGTTTCCTCACTACGGGCTTCAAAGGGGCTCTTGCCTACCAGGCAGGCGTACAACGTACACCCTAAAGACCAGATATCAACCTTGGTGTCGATGATTGACCCGGTCTTGACATCAAAGAGCTCAGGCGCTCGGTATGGCATCGTGCTATGCTCAGCGGCAGTATCTTGCACCGCCAGAGCGAGGGAGCGGGAGGTGATGGCTATGGGACTCGGCGCCAGAGAGCCAAGGTCCATAAGGATGGGAGTCTGTCCATCATCGTCGATCATGATATTGCCTGCAAGGGGTCAATGAGACAAGCACAATGCAGATGCCCAGTAGAGTAGGCAGCGCTTACCTGGTTTCACGTCTCTGTGCGTATAGGGACGAACATCTCCCTCTTGAATGCCTTCCTGGCTTCTCGTGACCTCGTCATCCATCAAAGGCTCATTTTCCGAGTCTTCGTCCACGCGCTGGCTGGCTCGACGCTTAGGTTTGCCCATCTGCATAGATAGTTCGGCATCGGTCTCTTCGCCCTCCCGCCGGATTGCCTTGGCTCTGCGTGTAGACCCAGCACCCCTCTTGACGCGATACTGATGCATTGCTTTGAGCGCATTGGCGACACCAAGCATGAGCATCATCAGTCTTTTCTCCGGGAAACGGGTATGGTTGACGAGATTCGCGTTGATCGCATCCTGAAGATTTCCGCGTTGGTAGTACGGCAGCAGAATGTAGACGGTTTTCGATCCAGCCTCGCCGCCATCGGAGCGGAATTTCGAACCCGATTCCGTTGAGACGCAGTGGTCGATGGAGTGAATGATGTTGTTTTGTGACGTGAACAGGTTATAGGCTTCGACTTCTTTCAGGGCCTGGGAGACGGACTCTTGGCCAAACGGACACCGGATCTTCTTCAAGGCAAAGAGTTCTGACGTAGCCTTATCTTGGACGAGGTACACGTAGGAGAATCCACCCTGATCGAGGCGGCGCATGTTAGCTGAGAGAATATTTTGGAGGTGAGAAGCGCATTGAGCATAGCGCAACATACCTCGCCCAGAAGTCGCAATAGTTTGAAGCTCCGGTTATTGATCTTCAGCTGCGGCGTGCTCGGAAAGCAGCATATGCAATCGGTGAAGGTGTAGAGCAGATCGAAGAAGTATTGGGCCATCTTGCGCAGCTAAGGTGTGACGGTCGCAATAAGCTGATTAGGTCGGATATTATAATAAGATTGTTGTCGACTGTGCGTGATCCTTCAATTCCATCAATCTGCGGTGTCGACTCTATCTCCGCAGAATGGGCCGGCTCGTGTGGTTCCACGGCTCCACTGCAATGTGACCACGTAGTATGCGATCGCGAATAGAAGTAGGTCCTATTTCGTAGCGTAGCGGGATTGTATTTTGGGTCGAAAGGATGAGCAATGCGAGGAGAGTTGGAGAGATGAAGTCGGAAGGGGACGAACGGTCGGATGAGGCCAAGGGACGTTGATCAGAAGGAGACCTTGGCGTGGAGGACGTATTGAGTAGAGTAGTTATCCTGACTTCAAGAGTCCTAGTGAAGATATTCTTCTTGAGTTGAGGTCGGTGCTGCTTAAGGAAGACCGAAGTATATATGAGCAGTCAGTGGTGATAAGTGTTGCTAACTCACTGCTAAGTGCTCAGTTGAAGATGCAGATATGTAGTTAGTTAATATATTTGACGGATAAGAAATTAGAAGGGAGTATCTTCAGCCTGACTGACCTTACTTGATCATCTCATCTGGTGGAGCAACAGCTGTTCTCTTACCCATGGACCATGGTTCGCGTTTCCGTGCAGTTTATTATTATTATTATTGTTGTAGTAACTAAGCTATCTAGTAGTAGTTGAGGAGGAGGAGGACTACTGGAAAGAAGACACAAGTTATAACACTGACAGATGTAAAGATACCTAGAGGAAATTCAAGAAATGATGTCTTTAATTAATACCTTCAATCCCTTCAAGCATCCCATAATAATCGGTTGAATATATCCATCCCCATCCTGGCTCCTTAGGCTTCTCCTCTGCCCAAGCTAGCAGCCAAAAGAAAAAAAAAACAACAAAAAAACAACAACAGAAGATCAACAACCCCTTTAACTAACTAACTACGCTGACTGCAAATCACCAGCTTAGATTCGTCGACAAACCATGAAGACTACTTTTAACTAACTACTACTACTAGATGATTCCTATCAATCAAATAATAATAATAACAACAACAACAGATCTATCGTAAGGTACAGGAGGAGCTCCACTCCAAGTACTACTCCGTATAGCCTTCTCCTCTTTCCTTACCGCGTCATCCCTTTCACGTTCCTCTTCTTCTCTTCCACTCCCACTTGAGTCTCCTTCGACTCTCAGGAACGGCTTGTCTTCCCTTCTTGTTCTACACGCGACCGTGACATAGTCTTCCCAGAACTCCATTCCGATGGCGATCCTCGACGACGTTCAAGTCGGCGATGTCGTGAATGTTCCTGGGGGGATGTACGGGACGGTCCGGTATCTGGGTACTGTCGCCGGGAAGCCAGGCAAATTCGCAGGAATCGAGCTGGCGCCAGAGCATGCCAGAAGAGGGAAAAACAATGGCGATGTGGAAGGGAGGAAGTATTTCAAGACCTCGACCCCCGGCTCAGGCATCTTTGTCCCTATGAACAGCAACCGATACGTCACAAAGAGATCTTCCACATCTGCCCTGATGGTGAACACCGCCCCTCCGACCCCCTCGCGACCGATCAACTTCAGCAAATCCGTCGGTCCGAGCCCCGCAGTTCACCGGGCGCGTGTCAGACGCCCGTCGTTGCCTCGCCCGGAATCCCCACGAGGTCCTCCTCCCTCCAAGGTCAGTCTCGCCGGCCTCCGTACCCCATCTACGGCCTCCCGAGCAGGCCCGAGCCCCAATGGCTATCCCCGGAGTCCAGTCAAGGCTCCGTCCCGCGCCTCGGATCGGCCGCCCTCGCGCTTGAGTGTGGAGGATGATATGTCTTCGGTAAGAACGTCGGACTTTCATCGCAGCTCAATGGCCTCGGAAGTGCAGGAGTTGAGGGACCAGATCAAGAGCCTGGAGAGGCAGCTTTTAGATCGTGATAGGCAGCTGGAGGAACAGGCCAATACGCTGGCCGAATTTCACAGGACAATTGAGGATCTGGAAGGCTCGGATGCACTTTCGATCAGGGCTCAGCTGCGCGAGAAGAACGACAAGATTGCGCAGCTGACAGCGGAGTTTGATCTCCATCGTGCCGACTTCAGAAGCACCCTTGATACTCTTGAGGTGGCTGCCTCAGAAACTGAAAGGGTCTACGAATCACGACTGGATGAGCTGATGCAGCAGAATAAGGAACTACAAGACCGGGGGGAGGATGTCGAAGCCGTCGCTAGACAGCTTAAGCAGCTGGAAGAGTTGGTTTCAGAGCTCGAGGAGGGCCTCGAGGATGCACGACGCGGCGAGGCCGAGGCTCGGGCCGAAGTCGAGTTTCTTCGTGGTGAAGTCGAGAGGACCAAGCTTGAGTTGAAGAAGGAACGGGAGCACTCTGCCATCATGTTACGGGATGCCCATTCGAGCCCGGACGGAAGTCGGCATTCCAAGGAATTGGATCAGAAAGATGATGAGATCCGTGGTCTGAAAGCTATCATTCATTCATTGAGTCGTGGCGATCCAAACTTCCCTGGACTGCAGCAAAACGACATTTCGGCAAATTCGCGGCAGGACCACGATTCCGAACAAATCACACACCTGGAACAACGTATCCAGGAATTTGAGCATGCCAACGAGAGCAAGACCTATCGCATTGAAGAACTCGAGCGTGAACTCCAGCAGATGCGGCTACACAATGGCACTCGTACCCGTAGCTCTACGATAAGCACATCAACTACCCATCACAAACCTTCCAGCTCGACGGGGAATATCGGTGCCGCAAATACCATCAACCAAGTCCATCGCCTGTCTGACCGCACGGTGGTCCCTAATGACTGGCTAGATACACCTCAACATGAAGGGCCGCAGTATCAGGCGTACTCGGTGCACCACCGAAGAGCTTCGGAAACCTCCCGCCAACGACTGGAGACCATGCACGAGTCTGATGGCCGCTCCGATGACGGTACATCGTTGTGGTGCGAGATTTGCGAGACTGGTGGGCATGATATCCTTAGTTGTACAAACATTCTGGGTGCCGAAAACAAGGATGAAGATGTACAGCGTGTCGAGCAGTCTCATCATGAGGGCTCCGTCGACGGCAAGTCCACTCCGGGGACATCTATTGCTGGCGAGTCACTGCCCTCAAAGGATGAGGATGGGGCCACTCCTCGAAAGACCGGACGGGATGCCGTCCTGGAGGGTTTAAAGGGCATCGGCGGGGGACTCACTGCTTCCATGACACCTGTTGCTGGGAAAGCAAGTGGGGTGATTGATGAGACAAAATGGTGTGCCCTGTGTGAGCGAGACGGTCATGAGAGCATAGATTGTCCCTTTGATGACTGAACAACGGCTGCTATTCGAGAAATGTCAATCATGACTGATGCCCAACGGCAGTTGTTTCTTTCCTTCTTGACACAGTTACACGGTCGTCTTACTTCGATGGCTCGATTGGGTTTATATGATTGAGAGTCTGCTTACTCGCTTGTAATGCTTCTCACTACTCTTTTTTCCTTTTTGGCTTCTTTCCTGACATATCTTATGCGCCTTGTTTCCTCTGGATGTCCGTGGTCTTCTGGGTCTTCCACTATCACGATTCCATGGGACCCAATACCCTTGCCTCACAGTCTGTGTTAATACCTTCACTTTTCTCTCGGTTGCCACTTGTCCTGTTTCTAATAATGCATCCCTTGGCAAATTTTCCTTTAATTCACCCTCATTTGTATTCTTACTGAACAATTGCCCTCAGTCAAGCTGGCTGCATTTGCATCGACATCTGACCCAGCTGCCGCCTCCATCATCCGGGCCGCCCTTGGATCGCTGGTCCCACATCTCTATCTTTTTTTCACCCTCCACCCTCAGTCTCATGTCTGAGCAAATGAATGTACTTTGAGACTGCATTTTTAGGATTCTTGATGATGGGAACTCAATAGTGAGACATCGCGATAGGGCTGTCGCCATCAAAGGCATAATACATAGCTCATCATCAAGTCCTCCAGGACAGCCCTGCGCATAAAATCGAAGTGTCAATCACTCCACAAACCTGGGAGGCTGTACTATCTCGCCCTCTTTAAATCTTGTCTCCGCAATGGTACCACACGCCTTGCACGTCCGCTTCTCCTGGTCCGCGCCAAACTCTTCCACGACCTCCTTCACCTGCGTCCCCAAGTCCGTACACACAAACTGCTTCTCCCACACGATCTCCCCACAGCCCCTACAGTACCACCGCATCTGATCAACCGCGCCTTCCGCCCGCGGTTGCTCCATAACCACGCCCACCGTATCCTTAAACCGCACAGGACAATGCGGGGTGTTAGCAGGGAGGAGGAAAATCGACCCTTCGTGGATAGGGATATCCTGGAAAACAGGCGGGGAGACAGATGTGTCGACCGTCTTCAGGAGCATGGAGCCCCGGTACTGGTAGAAGAACTCCGGGGTCGTGTTGATGTGGTAGTCGGTGCGGGCGTTTGGCCCGCCAACGATCATGACGGTGTATCCGGCAGTGGCGGGGGAGGAGGGATGGTAGACGCAATAATTATTGACTGGTGGTTGGAGAAGGTGGGAGTTGGCTTCGAGCCTGTAGTTATTCCGCTGTCAGTTAAACATGTTCAGTCTGTCGCGTCTTGTGATGTTGTCTCATCAGATGCTGTGCATTGCGGGGGAGGGGTATGTAGTCTGAAGATCGGAGGTGAGGATAGGTTTACCATTTTGGGATATTCAAAGCTGGGGGAAGCATTGTTTCTGTTGGGTTAATTCAATCTTTTGCGACGCAAATAGCGACTCCTTATCTGGATTGTTGGATGGTTATTTGTAGTCCTTCATTATTGATGGAGCATCATACGAACTGGACTGAGAGTAAATAATGCGGTCATCCCATCTGGCGGAGATAGTCGGAGTTAAAATTAGATCGGGCGGCCCGGAACGGATCATTGTGTCTCCGACAGATTTTCTTTTTTTTTATCAAAATTATCCATTCAGTAGCACTTTCGAGTTCGAAGAGATTCAGCTTGGATTTCAACAACGGAGTGATCGAAGGGTCTCCCAATCAAAGCAGCTATGGCGACCACATCCCAACCTCCCCTCCGATTTACCGGTCACAAGAATTTGGTAAACCGTCTGGTCTTCTCAACCCTAACCGGCCGAACGGTGCACATCTCGCAAATCCGTCCTTCGTCTCCTACGAATCCTGGTCTCGCTCCCCATGAGATCTCATTCCTTCGTCTCCTTGAAGCCGTCACCAATGGCTCGCAGATGGAAATCTCTTACACCGGAACGATCGTCATTTACAAGCCTGGTTTGATCACAGGCGGCATTGCTGGGAACGGAGCCAGCAGTGGAGGTGTCATTCGGCATGAGCTTCCTGCAGGATGTAACCGGGGCGTCAGCTATTTCCTCATACCGCTCTGTCTTCTAGCACCTTTCTCTAAGGCGCCCATCAAGGTCCTTTTCACTGGCCCGGGTGTCATAACTTCCGCCACGCCCACAGGTGATATGTCTGTGGATAGCGTCCGAACCGCAATCCTTCCTCTTTACAACCAGTTTGGCATTTTCAACAATATTGAGCTTCGCATTCTGCGTCGGTCTAATCCAGGGCCAAATGGCAGAGGTGGCGGTGGAGAAGTTCAGCTGGTGTTTGGTCACCAAGTCCGTCTTCCGAAAACTCTGCACCTGTTGAATCCTGGCAGAATTAAGAAGGTCCGTGGAGTGGCATACGCTGTAGGTGTCTCGGCTTCCAACAACTCAAGAATGATCGATGTCGCCCGTGGTGTTCTCAATCCGCTTGTTCCAGACACCTACATTTTCTCCGATGTATCGTCCGCGCCTCTGGTGCCTGCTCCTGAGAAGAACAACGCAGCCGGAAAGAAGAAGATTGGTCTTGGCTTTGGCTTGTCCTTGGTTGCAGAGTCTTCGACCGGCTGCCTGTTTTCTGCCGATGTCGCATGCCCACCTTCAGGTGGTCAACCGCCCGAGGACATTGGCAAACAATGTGCATACCAGCTTCTCGAAGCTGTGTCCAAGGGTGGATGCGTTGCACCTGCTGCTGCCTCAACCATGCTGGGTCTGATGACCATGGGATCAGAGGATGTTGGCCGAATCCAGATTGGACGAGACGTAATGGCCGATGAGAGCATCATTCAACTCGCTAGGGATTTGGCCAAGTTTGGTGCTCCGGGATGGGGTCTGAGAGATGCTTCCGGTGAAAACGAGCAAGGGGATATCATTGTGAGTGTGGTTGGTCGGGGCATTGGCAACGTCGGCAGAAAGGTGGCTTGATAGGGTGCGCACCACTTCAACTCGCCATCACTTTTTTGTGGCTATTTTGGCGGCTCGCCTCGCCTGGTTGAAACTGGTTCAATCCTCAACGGCCATTTATAGCGCCAGGTGGCAAAACGGATGTGCTGTCGCCAAAGTTATCTTGCAGTGAGTCAGGAAGTCACAACCGTCGTGTCCTCAGTTCAACCGGCAGCCTGTGACTTCTGGGACATCTCGGAAGTTTTCATTTCAGGCGGGGGTACGCCAACGACCGCCACTCTTCCTGTTCGATTCAACGTGGAGATGGGGCTGAATCTTAGCTGAATGCTTCATGTGCCATGTCCATGGCTCCCAGGCGTCCTCTTTTAAACTCCAAGGAGCGAGCTTCAGCGTCCGATGCTCGATGAGAGCAATAAAAGTTTCAAAGGGGGTATTTCTTTTTTCTTCTGCATCGCATTATACCCATCGATTACTGAGCTCCCGGTGCCCCCTGACAAGGACCGGGTTGGTGGTACAACAGAGGCGTTGATGGTGTTATCAGGGATCATTGTACTTATTGTATATAGAAATCGCAAGGCATCTTGATGCAATCAATTACTGCTAATCTATTTTCTCCTTTCCTCGCTACTTCGAAGATGCAAGCCCCTTGGGGAAAGAACAACTCTTCCTCCTAGGTAGGTCGATCTTAGTAAGAACGCTGTTCATCCAGCTGTCCGGCAACTGGCCTCCACATCGTCCATTCCACCCCGTGTGGAAGACGCACGAGCAAGAAACTGCTGCTCAATGAATCCATCAAGCCCATATTGTGGCCCGCCAACAGCGCTGAATTTGCACTGAAGACTTTCTGTGACCTTACACAGCAACTACTCAGGCATCAAGCGCCGATCACGGTCAGGCAGAAATCCGAAGAAACTCAAACCAGAGCGTTCTTGCCTCTTTAGGAAATTCATGACGCTATCCAGTGCCGTTGTTCCTTCCTCCTACGTAGTGATTGCCAAAGGGTTCCCAGCCTGGAAGGAGCACTATAAGAAGGCAGTCGCCCCCCTCTTCTCCCCTGTCTCCTTCTTTCCTCCTACATCTCCCCTGTCCTCTCAACATGTTGCCAACGCTGTTCTTGTTCTTCTGCTGCTCTTTTCCTCATGGCCCTCTTATCAAATCAAAGAAAATCATGACTTCCCAGACCTTCCCAGATTCTCGCTGTTCTTTTAACTCATTTTCTCTTTCCATGCGTTTGCCCGTCTTCTCAGTCCTACCGTCACTACTTCCTTCCTGAAGTTGAGGACGGTCTGGGCTGGAGGACTTTCGTAAGCTTCCCTCAGCACTCGGTTTGCGTTGACGTCAGAGATCAGTGACTTTCCTCCGTATAAGCGACTGGGCATGCGAGAGTATCATAAAAAACGTGTGGTATGTTCTTCCTTCGAGGTCCTCTTCAGAATGAGTGAGAATCAATAACATCCAAATAAGGACAAACAATAGTTCTTTTCTCTCCTTGCCGGAATCTTCACTTGAGCATCATGCCTAGCACCGCGGGCAGGCCCAGTAAGTGACAGAGCTTGTAAGCCAACTCTCGATCGACTGAGTGAGTGTACGAGTCCAACTAACCGCTTGTTAGGCTGGCTAAAAACAATCGCTCGCACCGCTGGCCAGTTCCCTCACGGGACATGCCCTGGTGAGGACTTATCCATTCTTCTTGGTTTGCTGGACAGTCCTGACCAAAGTCAAGTTCAGTTGCCGCGTCCTTTTTCTTGATCATGCTGGGGGTCCATCAGTTCGACAACCTGTTAGTGCAGCCAGGCCCAGTATGTGACAGAGCTTGTAAGTCATATTCCCCCGGGTCATCGTGCATATACTTACATTCATAGGCTGGCTAAAAACAATCTGCCACGCCCCAGCGAAGCGAAAGTTCATCCTCTGACTTGGTGAGCTGGCTCTATCCTCTGGTTAGCAAGTATACTGATCCTTTCGGAGGCTCCTGACACTCCCTAATCTCCTTACTGTGCCTCGAATGTCCTGATTAAATTCTGAGGATGCTGATTGATGATTGACGATTAATGATTGATGACTTATGACTTGATGACCTTATGATGCGGTGAGTTGAGCAGTTGATGTTTCGAGACTTGATGTTTTCTATTTTGCTGGTAGCTGCTCTTCTGCTCTTCTGCTCTTCTGCTCTTCTGCTCTTCTGCTCTTCTGCTCTTCTGCTCTTCTGCTCTTCTGCTCTTCAGTCTTTGCTGTTTCAATCTTTGATGCGTGATTCGCGATGTTTTTCTCCTTTGCTGTTTGATGTTCGATGTTCAATGCTCTGCGGCTTTGTTTTTTACTGCTTGATGCTTTGATGCATGATATTCGATTCTTTGCTGCTTTGCCGTTTGATACTTTTGATGCTTGATGTTCTTATGCTTAATGTCTTGAGTTGAAATTTCGCTGCTTGGTGTTCTGATGCTTGATGGTTAGTTCTCGTTTTGGTCCTTGTTGCCTTGATCTCTGATGTTTGATGCTTCAATTTCTGTTGTCTTGCTACTTGATGATTGATTTTGACAATTGATGCTTTGATATTTGACATTTTTGCCTGTTCGTTGAGCCTGTGTCGAGTTGGGCCTGTGTCAAATGCATGTTTTCCCTTGATGCTTTTCGGCTTAATGCTCGGATATTTGATGCTTCCATGTCTACTGTTTTGCTGGTTGATGGTTGATTGTTGACGATTGACGATTGATGATTGATGCTTTTCTGCTTCATACTTTCCTGTTTGATGCTTTGATGTTTGATGCTTTGATGTTTGATGTTTAAGTGTCTGCTAATTTGCTGCTTGGAGAGTGACGAGTGACTAGTGATGAGCGATGATGCTTTGATGTTTTGTTCTTTGGATGTTTCGATGCTCAATACTCTTCCTCGCCGCTGTTTTGTTTGATGCTCTTCTGTTTTTGCTTCTGGTTAATGTTTCTTTGCTTGATATTTGATGCATAAAAGTTTGGTGCTCAATGCTTGGTGCTGATGGATCTGGTGGATGGCGAGAGATGACTGTTGAGTGATGTATCTTGTCTGAGTTGTGTCCTGGTCAAGGTTTTTACCCACGAGGACGTTTTCCTTGGCCTGGTAGGCATCTGTCTACCACCCGAATGGGGGGACAAGGAGATTGATTAATGAAAGCTCTTGACGAAGTGGTATTCCAAACAAGCAGTTAAGAAAGCGGCGTGTAGATTGGGACCGTGGCCGATGCCTGATATCGGATACCCAGAATCGACGGTCATAGATGATATGACCCTGAAGCATTATCCATTCCCAATCAAGTATACAGGACAAGATTTTAGTATTTCTGTCTAATCATACTTTGACTGGAATGCACCCAAGGCCCGCAGGCATATCTGACTCCAATAGGGTGAGATCCATATCTCTATAAGCGGTCGTCTCTATTCTAAACCCAGGCTAAGAAGATCTAGACGCGGATATTACCCTACATTGAGTGTGGAGAAGACAAACATTTCATAGTAAACGCTAATTCCGAAAGAAAACGAGATGCCGAATCATGATGGGGTGAAAGCAAAGAATCTAAAGGCAGAAGAAAACGAAAACAAACAATGATGGTATACCGTCTAACGTCCTTGAGATGCAGGTGATGCAGGGTGTCTTGTATGAAAAAAATGGAAATGCCAATAGTACCTAAAGGAAGTAGAAATGCCAGTAGTGTTTGAACGATTTGTTCTCCTTGGGGAAGAATTGTTCCAGAATGGATGGGGTATATAAGGAGAATGTAAGTGTATGTGGAAGCGAAACCAAAGGGAAACACGAAAGTCGAAAGAAAGGATCAAGATGGAGGGAGAAAGGCGGGAATGGATTCATCATCTAGTCTGCAGCATCCTCATCTTTGCCCGGATACATGATATCCTGGTTGATGATGGCACGGATATGGCTGACAAAAACAAACAGCCACATGCCAACGATGCCAAGGGACATGGCAGAACCAACGCCCAAGATCCCGGGACTGCCCAATGCCTTTCCAAGCGTGATGGTGGCCAAAGTGAAGCCCGTGTTCGGGAAGACCAAGGCCCACCAGTTGAGATGGAAGGAAGTAGGCGGGGACCGGAGGACGGCGATGACGGCGATGAAGAAGAACCACAGACTCAGGGCCCAGAGGAAGATGCCCGCGGTGATTGCGAGCAGCTCGAGGATCCGCGCGTCTTCGAGGGCGTGTGCGTCGTTGATGAGCTTGAACTCGGCGGGCAGGCCCTTGGCCATCCCGACTAGAGCGAGGGCTGTGAAAGCCGGGGGACCAACGCAGATGAACATGCCGGGTCTGTGCTCGCGGCAGGGGAGCCCTGATTCCATCAGCCGGCCGATATAGTGGGCGTACATCATGAAGCTGATCGAGAACCCCAGGCCCTGGAAGGTGACTCCGGCCATGATGACGGGGATCGATGACCGTGCGGGTTGAGCTTCGCCGATGACGGAGGCAATCGTGCCACTGAGCATGATGGGGAAGGCTGGGAGAATCCAGGAGGGCATCATGGTCTGGAGGCCGTATCTGTGCGCAGAGAAGATGAAGGAGTACTGGATCACTGCTGTGGCCAGTGTACAGGCACAGTAGACCCAGAAGAGTACTTCGAGTGCAATCAGGTACGATTCTCGAGCATCGGAGCCGAAGTAGCGATGCAAGCCGGTGATGATGGTTGCTACGGATAGCCAGAAGGTAGGAAAGAAAAGACCCTCGCGCTCATGGCGAAGGGAGTCGAGGAAGCCACCGTGGAGGATGAACCTAGTGGCCATAAGGGAACAGACAAGACCAAACAAGATCAAGTTCACGATGTAGACCACCAGTCCAATGGTCTTCAACCCCTTGAAGGTGTATGGCTGGCTCGCTATCAGGAGAGCCAACCCACCTGTGCTCATGGTCAATGTGTACCAGGCCCAGGTAAAGTGCCTTAACCTCTCACGGAGGCTGAGTCGATGTTGTTTTTCCAGCTGGTTCTCGAGGAAGCCAGAGTCTGACTGAGACGAGGTCGGCGGTATACGATTTTCGAACATTGTGGCGTTTCGAGCGCTTTCTGGCTCTGAGGAGAGAAGAGAGTACGATCAATGACAAAGGGGAGCTGAGGAGTATGATCAATCCCAATGTAGCTATGATGGGAAGAGTGTATCATAAGACAGAGCGACAACAATCAGGCAATCTCTCAAGCCTATGACTTCCACAGATGAGGGAGAACGTTCTGTCTAAATCGGGGAGTTATAACACGAGTGACAGGTGATATAGTCTAAATGTGACTGAAACAATGAAATCAAAATTAGAATTAGATTCAAGGAGAAGTAAAAGAGGATAGCTGTATCTGGGAGAGCCCAGGAGGTTTGCAATTGATCTGTTCCAAAGGTGGTTAACAACCAGACAAAGATGGGATTTATAGAACATGGGAGACATGCCATATACAAGTCTGATATCTCCCAGCCCAAAAAAAAAAATAAAATAAAAACTTCAGGCCGATGTTCATTCCCATCCCGTCTGCTATACCAACTGATTCATGAGCCAAGGATCCAAGAAAATAGAAGGGAGCACATATCACCAGCGGTTGGCCTCACGGATGGAAAGATTTGCAATGCGCAGAGCTCATTGTCCCAGTTTGAGCCATTGGTTCCCACCCAGAATCGGGAAGGTTAGGAAGAGAGCTCGATCAGGCGCATATCAGGGGGGGCACAACTCTAATTCTCATTGTTGCAGGCCATAGAAGAAGGCCCACCGTGGACAGTCTAGACAAGGGGAGTATCAAAGGTAAAACCTGATGCCTAAAGGGTGATGGACTATGATCTTCATGATAGTGGCCATCGACGAGACTTTGCCAAGAGAATGATTTTTTTGATACAGGCCTGGATCTGTTCAGCATAGGTAAGAAGGATGGATTAATCAGTCGACCACGAATTGGCAAACGGTATTCGCCATGCCGATCCGACTGACGCGGTTTTGGCAATAGTCTGTGTACCTAGTGTGTACAGGTCACAGAGTCCTCCGTTGATAGCGGCTTGTCGTATCAGCAAGAAAGGAGAGATAGAGAGAGAGAGAGAGATAAGGCTCAGACTTTCCTTTCTACTAACTCCTTTTCCTCCTTATGGATTCTAATTCCTTTGTTCTGGGCTGTCTTTCTGATTCTCATATTCCGGTCTTCGACTACTGTGGCGTGTAGAACCTTTTCTTTTCGTCATTAAGCTCAAAAATGTGGCGTTCCGTGATAACAGCCATGGTTACGGAGTTCGAAGCATGAGTGGCCGCACCCAGCACATCCCGGCCGTTGGTCTTCGGGCCGACTTGAGCAGGTAACCTGATTCTTGGGAAGTTGCGATGTACCAGACAAAAAGGGAATTGTCCTGGTTCAACAACTTCACCCTTGCTTGTTGTTAGTAGATCATAGGGAGTGGAGCGGAAAGCACCAAAGCTGATTTGATGGACGCGGGTGTTAAGTGTCCTGTGGGCCTGATGATGAGAAGAACCTGGGCTAATCAGACCAACTGAGAGACACTGCTGAACAACATTTGGAATACATCAAGACCACAGCAAACCTCTTTCAAACATGCACTGAGGCATCCAATTAGGGATGGTGAATGTCCAGAAGAATTTGCAAAATATTAAATTATCAAATGTCAGGCCCTTTTGTTCCTATTAAAGATCAAAAATTATATATTAAAAGTGGGTACTAGGCTTTAGCAAATAGGAAGGCATAATTCTAAAGAGTAACTAATTAGATTATATAGAGTATATTATTACCTAATATTAGTAATTAACTAGAATTAACTAGGAGATAGAGGCTATATCTTATAGGCAGCTAGTAGTAGATATTATATTCTCTCTAACTAGGTGGTTATATATCCCTCTCTTATAAGATAATACTTCTATTATCTATTATCTATCATCCATCATCTATCATCAATCATTAAAGGTAAGTAGATTCTATCTATCTTTCTCTTTTAAGTATCTTTATCCCTCTATTTATAAGTAGGGATAACTACCTCCTTATTGTAAGGATCGCGAAGGTCCTTTATGTACTATAGTAAAGTTACCTTTATAGAGGAGCCTACCTAGAGGGAGGATCCTTATAAGAGGTCATGTAAATAATCACATAACATATAAAGATAATAACCCTACCTATAACTACTAAACTCTGAAGTTTAGTAATAATCTCTTTAAATAAGGACATCTATATTTAAACCTATTTATAAATATTCTTCTTTCACACTAGTTTCTAACTCTTATAGATTATAGATTCTTATATTTTATTACTTAACCTTTAAAACTAGTCCATTAGGAAAATAGTATTATAAAAGAGGTTAGTTAGACCTAAACTAACTAGTGAACCCTCCTCTATAACTATATAAAGTTAGATAGCAGGAAAAGAGATAGCCTATAAAGAGGAAGGCTCTAAGGGTGAGCTAGGTTTATAAGACTCTTCTATTCTAGTAGACCTAAAGTTACTAGTAGTAACCCCTATAAGGGAGCATCTATAATAGGAACTATAGCTCCTATAAGAAATCTAGAAGCTTTATAATAACCTAGGGATAGGCTATAGAAAGCATCTATAAAGCTAGGAATAGGATGAACTATTCTTATCTTCTATAAAGAAGACTAATATCTAAATCTAACCCCTACTAGAGTTAGAAAGATACTTAACCTATAACTATATAATATACTAAGCCTTTATTATAAGCTAGGAGTCCACCATAGAGGTAAATAGCTAGGATAAGAAGGAGTATACTAAAGTTATAATAGCCTATCTAGATTATATTCTCTCTAATCTTTAGCAGAGTAATATTTCTAAGGACTTCTATAACTAGGGATAGAAAGGCCTCTATACTTTCTTAGAATTATAGCTAGGTAATCTAGAGAATTATAAGTAGGAAGTATAGTTATAGATATTTTAAATAAGGCCCTATAAGGGAGAGACAGACTATATATACTAGTAGAGGTAGTATAAGTAATAGGTTAAAATTAGGGATAATATAAAGAATATAAAGAAAGTATAGTTATACCTCTTCTTTAAATCCTTCTCTATAGTATTTAAGCAGAAGGTCTATAAATATTTAGAGTTCTTAAAATCTAAGGAAGAGATAGTCTCCCTACTTATTAAGATTCCTTATATAGAGATAAGGATTATTAAGGCCCTAGAAACTTAGGGAAGCCCCTTATAAACTATATTATTACTAAGAAGATAAAGAGAATAGAGCCTACTATAACTATCCTAGTTATAAAAAGATAAGGTCCACTATCTTATACTTCTAGCATCTTATAAGTCTATTTTAATTATAATAAGGAAGGGTATATTATAAGATACTACTAGAGTAAGCCTAAATAGGAGGATCCTATAAAGACTAAATAACTAGTTATAACTATTATTACTAAAGAGTAGGGTAGAGAGTATTATAGGCCCTTACTCTCCTACCTAAGTATATTCCTTTAGGCTTAGGTAGGAGAGAAGGGGCAGGGACTAGCCTTATAAGTACTAGTTAATAATAGAAGCTTAGTTAATCTTATCCTAGTAATACTAGCTAAGGAAAATAATTAGTATACCCTACTATAGTAGGTCTTTATAGAGATATTAACCTTATAAAAGATAAGAAATAAAGGAGTAGTGGAAGCTACTATCCTAGTTAAGAATAATAAAGAAATAGAGTAACTCTTTATAGAGCTTATAGTAGCATCCCTAGATATAAACTATATTATCTTAGGAATATCATAGTTAAAGTAGTATAACCCTGTAACTCTCTAGGGAGAAGATTAGGTAATCTTTAGTAGAGAGTTAGCTCTATAAATTTATCTAGTTCTAGTAGAAGAGTTTGTGGAAGCAGAAGATATAATAATTATAGTAGTATAAGTTATAGTAGCCCTATAAAAGATAGTAGAGAGTAAGGACCCTATACTAGAATAGCTTATAGACTTTTATATAGTCTTCTTAGAGGAGAAGGCCTAGGAGTTACTATTATACTATAAAAATATAGATCTAGAGATAGATCTAAAGGAAGAGAAGTAACTATCCTTTAGACCTCTCTATAACTCCTCTCTAGTAGAGCTAGCAGTACTTTATAAGTATCTTTAGATAATATTTATAAAAGGATAGATCTAAGAGTTAAAGTTAGTAATAAGAGTACTAATCCTTTTTATAAAGAAGAAAGATAGTACCCTCTAGCTATATATTAACTATTATAGTCTAAATTATATTATCCTAAAGAATTATTATCTACTTCTCCTTATTCTAGAGACTATTAAGAGACTTATAGAAGAGAGGATTTTTATATAGCTAGACCTTTATAAGACCTACTATAGGATTAAGATTATAAAGAGGTAGGAGTAGAAAATAGCCTTTTATATAAAGTATAGATTATTTAAGTATTTAGTTATGCCTTTTAGGCTTACTAATACTCCTATAATATTCTAGAGCTTTATAAACTAGCTATTCTGTGACTACCTAGACATCTTTATAGTAGTCTATATTAATAATATTATGATATTCTTATAAGATAAGAAGGATTACTATAAGCATATCTACTTTGTAATGGCCTGGCTCTAATAGGTAGGACTATTTATAAAACTAAGTAAGTATCTCTTTATAATAAAGAGAATTAACTTCTTAGACTATATGATTATACTAGAAGGTCTAGAAATAGAACCTTTATAGATTAATATCATTGCAGAATAGCTATAACTAGAATCTATAAAGGAGATCCTGGTGTTCCTAGGTTTTATAAACTAGTATAGGAGGTTTATTAAGGGGTATTTATACCTTTTAGTATACCTCTTAGATCTCCTATAAAAACCTAGCCTAGGGAAGAAGAGGAGGATTCTAGGGAAGGAGTTCTTAACCCCTAAAGTAGTAAATATCTTTAATAGATTAAAGAAAGTATTTATAGAGTAGATAGTACTTACCTACTTTTATAAAAAGTATTACTTATAAATAGAAATAGATGCATCAGGGTATACCATCTATAGGATACTATTATAGCTAAGTAAGGAGGGTTATTAGTAGCTAGTAGTCTTCTTCTTACAGAAGATG